TATCCAAGGAGAGAGGCCTTCGTTTCAAAGGGAAGATAAAGAAAATCCTTCCTCTTAGCAGCATATCTGCCAGGGACTTAATGAGTCTTTTGGGATCCCTGTTGTCCAGATGGGCTCTGTGGAACATGAAAATTCCCTAAACATTTTTTTCTGTATCATTTCAATTAAAACCTTTCGAAACTTCAGATTCTAGTCCCTTGTTCAGTAGAGCTCTCTCTCCAATAGTTGCTACAGGATTTCCATTACTAGAGAAGTTATTTATTGAAGGGAGATAATTACCACAGATGCCAGCCAGCCAAGATTGTGAGACAGCTTTTTGGCAAGGGCAGATTGCACCATGCCAGGAGAACTATTCCATCCAACATCCTAGTACTCTGAGCAGTTTGGTTAGCACTTCACCACTTCAGCCATCTTATGTAGAATCAATTGAAGATAAGGGTAGACAATACCTCTGTGGTCTGATATCTGAACCATTAAGAAGGAGCAAGGAGCCAAGCTCTTATGTCCATTCTCCGTCCTTTTAGAATATGAGCACCATTTCATCTGAAGGTTTGACTGCAATTTATTTCCCATGTGAGGAAAAATTCACAGCAGATTTTCTCAGCAGAATGGACCTGAACCGATGGGAATGGCCGTTATCAAAAGATGCTTTTTTTTGCAATTTTCCAGACGTTGGCATGTATTTAATAGCCACAGCAAGTCTACAGATTCCTGTTGAGAAGATTTGACCCTTAGGCAGAAGGGAAAGATGCCGTGATCAGTTCTTGAAATTTTTGGTTGGAATCTATAGGACAATTATGCCTTTCCTCCAGTCCCGCTCATTTTATGACAGAATCTGAAGTGCCTTCTCTGAATATGCTGCTTTGAAATACATTTATGTCTCATGTCCTTGCACAGCTGATATTTTGAGTTTCTTGCAAGCAGGTTTTGACAAAGGAGAAAAACAAGAAAGGTCAGCACTAAGTAACCAAAACAGGACGGTAGTAGATAAGGCAGCAACCCAGGGTAAGGGGTCCCTCAAAAACCTGTAGGGGTAGTCACAAAAGATGGGTAGCACAAAGGTACGGTAGAGCTGCGCCACAAACTATGGTGTGAATAGTGGATATATACATATATATATATATTTTTTTTTTTTTGAAGGTACTTTAGGGTCGAGTGCGTTCTTTTGAAGTTAGGAGGGAGCAGATCTTTACTTCTCAGCTGGCCGTAGTATACAGAAAAGGTCGACAAGACGTGAAGAGGCTGATAGTGCGTTAAATATTACCGAGTATAAATATAGCATTAAAATTGTATATACTCAGTGAGATTTAACACACTATCAGCCTCTTCACTTCTTGTCGCCCCTTTCTGTATACTACGGCCAGCTGAGAAGTGAAGATCTGCACCCTCCTAACCTCAAAAGAACGCACTCGACCCAAAGTACACACACATATATATATATCAAAGAGCTAATTGGAGTGAGATGTCAGCCAACTGGAGTCCAATCAATGAGATGAGATTGAAGGTGTTGGTTACAGCTGCCCTACCCTATAAAAAATACACACCAGTTCTGGGTTTGCTTTTCACAAGAAGCATCGCCTGATGTGAATGATGCCTCGCACAAAAGAGCTCTCAGAAGACCTACGATTAAGAATTGTTGACTTGCATAAAGCTGGAAAGGGTTATAAAAGTATCTCCAAAAGCCTTGCTGTTCATCAGTCCACGGTAAGACAAATTGTCTATAAATGGAGAAATTTCAGCACTGCTGCTACTCTCCCTAGGAGTGGCCGTCCTGTAAAGATGACTGCAAAATCACAGCACAGACTGCTCAATGAGGTGAAGAAGAATCCTAGAGTGTCAGCTAAAGACTTACAAAAGTCACTGGCAAATGCTAACATCCCTGTTAGCGAATCTACAATACGTAAAACACTAAACAAGAATGGATTTCATGGGAGGATACCACAGAGGAAGCCACTGCTGTCCAAGCAAAACATTGCTGCACGTTTACTGTTTGCACAAGAGCACCTGGATGTTCCACAGCAGTACTGGCAAAATATTCTGTGGACAGAAGAAACCAAAGTTGAGTTGTTTGGAAGAAACACACAACACTATGTGTGGTGAAAAAAAACCACAGCACACCAACATCAAAACCTCATCCCAACTGTGAAGTATGGTGGTGGGGGCATCATGGTTTGTGGCTGCTTTGCTGCGTCAGGGCCTGGACGGATTGCTATCATCGAAAAAAAAAATGAATCCCTATGTATCAAGACATTTTGCAGGAGAACTTAAGGCCATCTGTCTACCAGCTGAAGCTCAACAGAAGATGGGTGTTGCAACAGGACAATGACCCAAAGCACAGAAGTAAATCAACAGCAGAATGACCTAAACAGAAGAAAATACGCCTTCTGAAGTGGCCCAGTCAGAGTCCTGACCTCAACCCAATTGAGATGCTGTGGCATGACCTCAAGAAAGCGATTCACACCAGACATCCCAAGAATATTGTTGAACTGAAACAGTTCTGTAAAGAGGAATGGTCAAGAATTACTACTGACCGTTGTGCACATCTGATCTGCAACTACAGGAAACGTTTGGTTGAAGTTATTGCTGCCAAAGGAGGTTCAACCAGTTATTAAATCCAAGGGTTAATATACTTTTTCCACCTGCACTGTGAATGTTTACATGGTGTGTTCAATAAAAACATGGCAACATTTCATTCTTTGTGTGTTATTAGTTTAAGCAGACTGTGATTGTCTATTGTTGTGACTTAGATGATGATCAGATCACATTTTATGACCAATTTGTGCAGAAATCCATATCATTCCAAAGGGTTCACATACTTTTTCTTGCAACTGTATATATCCACTATTCACTCATAGTTTGTGGCGCAGCCCTACCGTACCTTTGTGCTACCCATCTTTTAGGTCTTGACAAAGGCCTAAAAAAAGTTTCAGCTCTTTCTGAACTTACTAGGACTAGATTGGCACTTAAGATTTATACACTTTATTAAGGCAATTTAAAAATCAGAACTATTAGCAATAAGTTTTGTCACTTAGAACATCCATTTGTACCTTGGAAGAGGTCCTTCTGAATATCTTCTGCAGCAAAGTTATCCTTCGTGTTTCTCTGACTTACGACCAAGGGTTTTCCAAGGCCAGGCATTCTCCAGTGAAGCCCCTTTCACCCTCATTCAGGAAGATAGCTATTCTACAGACTGATCCTGAGTTTAGTGATCTCCTCCTTTCATGTTCATTAGGATATTTTCCTACCTGTTCTTTTCCATAATTTTGGTACAGATGAAGAGAAGAAATGGCATAATCTAGACTTGGCCACATCTCTTTCAGTATACTAGGATATCTCCAAAAACCTCTTGACAATTTTGTTCCCCATTCAGGAATTATTAAAGGCAAAGCGTCTACTTTTTTTTTTTATTGATGGATTTTCTCAGGCATTGCCAGTGCATGCTAATCCAGGAATCTTCAGGTACCATCAGGGCGTACACTACAAATGCTCTTTCTTCTTCATGGGCTCCAGCCACAGGTGTCCCCATGGAGCAGATTTGCAGACCTGCCACATGGTTCTTTAAAGTTACATTTTTCATATACTATCACTTGTGACGAAGGTTACAGGCAGAGTTTTCTTCATTCTGCTTTATCTTCAATATGAATTCAAGTGTGAATTTTGTATGCATTTGTTGCCCGGTGTTTTTATAACTTTGGTATTATCTATACTGATTCTACCATGCATACAGCCAGGAAAATAGAAAATATATTCCATACTTACCATAACTTTCCATCATCATAGTCCATGGTAGTTTTATAATCTCTTACTTGTCTTTATGTGTGTGGGCTAGTTACCAGACAGGAAAGGAAGGCCTTATTTTTTTGTTTTTAATTACCTGTCCAGGAGGTGCTTTGGGCATGGATATACCCACAGTGATGCTGCCATTGACTTTGACCAGGAAAATAAATCTATGGTAAGTATAGAATAAGAGAGTTAGGTACCCAAAATAATAGTCCAGTTTCCCTATCCAAACTGTATATATTTCAGCCTGAGAGCAACCGATTTGCAGGTCTGTTATATCCCATTTCTTCTAATCAGGTTACTCAAACTAGGTGAAAAAAGAAAAAAAAAAAGAAATACAAATAAAATATGCTACCACAAACAAAAGTACACACAGCTACATAAAAACACGAATGGCTTAAAATGCACCCTTGTCAAGCACCTAAGTGGTTATGCTGAAGAGTCTACTGGACTTTCTAACCGTTTTCAAACTTGAGTAGAGTCCCAATGTGTGGAAAATGCAGAGGCATTCAGTTGTGCTGGAGAACCTAATTTTCTGGAGCATTACTATGGGCGGCCAGTGAACACTGCTGCCTAATCAAATGCTTCTGCATACGATAGGACATCAGGACATGAAGCCAGACTGGTGTCTAGAAAACTCCCCTCGATTGTTACTGTTTGAAAACAATTTAAGACTTAAAAGTAAGAAAAAGCAGGGAGCCCAGACAACATAACTATTTCACTAACAAAGTGGTTTTGGTGTCTGCTGTGTTCCTCAATCTAACCCCGTTCCAAAAGCAGTCAATTACCAGCTCAATTTTACTCTTCATGTGTACTGTTAGCTTTCTTACTTCCATCTAGAATGTGGAGAGGGTAGTGGACACATGCAATAGAGGTTAACACAGTGAGGGAGTTTAAGCATGTGTGGGATAGACATGAGGCTATCCTAGACTTAAGATAAGATCAGGGACTAATGAAAGTATTTAGAAAATTGGGCAGACTAGATGGGCCGAATGGTTATCTGCTGTCACATTCTATGTTTCTAATAGGTTAATATCACCTATAGCATGTTATTTTTTTCCAGGAGATTCCACATTTTTAATTTAAAGTTTATAATAAATAGTTAGCCAATAACATCGTCAGCTAATTCAGACAAGGCAAAGATAGGGCAAACACTGCAAAGAGGAGAAACAGAAGCATTGTTTCGTTACTCTATTTATCTGTATACTTTCTCTATGCGGACTGCCAGGTGGACAGAGTGACAGGAAGTTAAGATGGAAGCGTCAAGTTTCAGGATACAGTGGTGTTAATGCAATTTTATATCTCCTATTTCACAAATAAGTATTAGTTAAACCCGGGTTAGTGACAGTTCCCTTTTAACAAGAGGTTAGGTGGATTACAGTTTGTTTTATCTTGTCATTTTTATCTGGTTGCTTGTGCTACCAATGGACAAATATTGGATATTTATGTGGTTCCATCTGCAAACAGTGAGAAGAATAAATCCTGTAGAAATTCTGAGTTTCAAAAATATGAAGAATATATATTTTTATAGGATTCACATATAAGAATTTCTGATTTTAATGCAAACAGTGGACTATACTTAATATAATTTGGTGGAAATGACTCAGTCTGCTGGTTTTGTCTTTCATAAACATATCAATTCCAAATACCACATTAGTGAACATATGAAAGAAAAAAAAAGTTTACATTTTTAAACAAATAATGCTCAGCAAGGAAGCATTTTGTAAAACTGTATTTCTATTTCTTCACCAGGCACCAGCATTCACTGAAAACAAATGAATTTGTTGGCAATTCAACTGCACAGTCTGAAACACGATATAATCAAATTTATAAAAATATCATTTATAGGCATTAAGAACAGCTGCCACAATAAACAATTTTACAAGATGGTTGTACTGGTAATTGATCAACTGATTTAATTAAACAATACAATGCATGTCTTCCTGATTTTCCAACAATAAATGTATTTATGTAACAGGAACAATACATACATCTGGGCAATCCCAGTGGTTTAATGGTTTCTTATTAACAGTCAGACATTTATTTTGAGTTCAAAGAAAAAGAAAATGTTTCGGTACTATCCTGTGCCTTTATCAAATCTTGATAGTGCCGAAACGTCTTCTTTTGAACCACTGGGAGTACCCAGACATATTAAAGGGACACTATAGTCACCTGAACAACTTTAGCTTAATGAAGCAGTTTTGGTGTATAGAACATGCCCCTGCAGCCTCACTGTTCAATCCTCTGCCATTTAGGAGTTAAATCCCTTTGTTTATGAACCCTAGTCACACCTCCCTGCATGTGACTTGCACAGCCTTCCATAAACACTTCCTGTAAAGAGAGCCCTATTTAGCCTTTCTTTATTGCAAGTTCTGTTTAATTAAGATTTTCTTATCCCCTGCTATGTTAATAGCTTGCTAGACCCTGCAAGAGCCTCCTGTATGTGATTAAAGTTAAATTTAGAGATTGAGATACAATTATTTAAGGTACATTACATCTGTTTGAAAGTGAAACCAGTTTTTTTTTTCATGCAGGCTCTGTCAATCATAGCCAGGGGAGGTGTGGCTAGGGCTGCATAAACAGAAACAAAGTGATTTAACTCCTAAATGACAGTGAATTGAGCAGTGAAATTGCAGGGGAATGATCTATACACTAAAACTGCTTTATTTAGCTAAAGTAATTTAGGTGACTATAGTGTTCCTTTAAATTGTTCCAGTGGGATTGATTGGGAGTTGACCTTCCTGGTATGGAGCACTCAGGTGGGACTATTCCCTTAGTGAGTGTGTGCATTGCCTTTTACACTCTGCAACTATATTTGTGTAACAGACTTAATACAGTGAGTCAGACAAACAAAACAATTATAAAATCTCTCCATATACAGTCACCCAAAATGCTGATTATTAAACCAATGTATCACACCTCTGTCTCCGCTACACTGACTGGAACTCATTCAACTATACAGAGTATTCTAAAAAGTGTTATGTATAATCTTTTTAGAAGATATGGGAATATCTGTTTATTAGCTGCATGCTGCTGCCCCACTAATTCAGCAACCATTAGTGGGTAAGTATACAAGAAGAATCGTCAGGGCTGGTAATGGCTAACTAACAATCCTGTTTAGTTATGCTTTCTTATGGACTTATTTATTTAAAAAGATTTCTTAATTGCAACAGTCCATTTGTCTAGGAAATATCCTATCTGAAGTGGATGTTGAACCAATAAAAAAAAAAATCATTTAAATGGCACAATGGAATAATTATAAATCAACATTGCACTTCCTTATACAGTACAAAATATCATATATGCACATATACACAATTATATCTGTATAGTCCCAAGATGATATTACAAGTGTGTTAGGAAACTTTACAGGAGTCAAACATCTATAATCTGGAACAAGGTTGGGGATTAAGGTTTTGTTCATAAAATACACACATACATCTAGAGATCGACCAATTATATCCACCGATTGCAACTCCTATTAGTAACAGCACTGTACATGCTGGGATCCCAGCATGTACTGGCTGCCTGAGAGTGATGAGTGTGATTGTTGTCAGCCAGCTTTGTGTAGAAATGGTGTTGCTTTTTTAAAAACTTTAAATGTACAGAATACTGGCACCGGTTTTCAGCAATCTACCGAAAAGGCAAAAGATATCACATCTGCTCTGGGAAAATGATATCGGTCGATCCCTAATTTCTGGTCATCTGCCTTTCATATTCCTGTTCAATTCAGACAGTCCATCCAGGATGTATTCAATAGAAGCAGGGTCCTTCTTCTCCTGTGCCTGCTTCAGTGCTTCCTTAAAATTCTGTTCAGCTTGTTCCAAATATTTAGGGCCTGAAGAAAAACAGAGGTAAAAAAACAAAGAAAACAAGCAACCCAGGGGCAGATGAGTGTACTTAATACAATAAACAAAAGTGCTGTTATAAAGGAACATAGCCGCTCCATGTAGAGATTATATTGTCTTTAGCTTTGGATGATGTCCAAACCACACAGAAGAGGCTTGACAAAATCCAGGAATCTCCACGGCACAAGGAAACTGCCCATTCCTCAGCCACATTGATAATGTGGTATTAATACATTAACATTGTCAATTTTGTCCAACTTAGATGACAATGATGGCGGAGAGAGCTGGGCTAATCTGCAACGAGAACTTCAGAGAACAATTGCCATCTAGGTTCAACATTTTATAAAAATACAAAATAAATACATTTAATAAATCCTTACTCTGCTCCTTACCTTCATTCTGTTAATTTACCAACCAAAACTCACTACCAGTGGCACATTATAATTCATTACATCCCATTAGCTACCCCTCCCTATTTTTAAAACAGACACAAAAGCACTAATTGACCCAAACCCCCTCCCAACACTTCAAAACCACTTACACTTGTGTCTAACACATGACTTCATTACCTTCTGGCAATTAATCTCTTCCCAAAAGTGCCCCTATCATTCTGGCATAAAGTTGTCCTTTCCACAGTAGACAACATCAAAATGGTCTGATGTGAATGCTTATTGTGAATGGAAGATTAATGTGAATAATATATAGCATAGTGTAAAATAAAGACAACTACTCTGATTGTCAGTACAGTCTATAGTAAGGATTTGTTCCATTTACCTTTATGCATAAGGATCATGGCTAAGTTAGTCTGCACTACATGCTGATCTGTGTGCTCTGTCTTTTTAGCAAGCTCCAGTGCTTGGGACACTTGGTCAAAGGCCTCATCATGGTGACCTTGAGCCTCCAGAACAGTTGCCAGGTCATTCATCAAGGTAATAGTCTACATCAAGTAAGAAAACAGAGTCATAAAAATCAAATCAAGAAAGTGAAAAACTATTAAAGAGTATATATAAAAAAATAGTATGTTTGCTAGGCAGTTAATTTTAATATTTAATCCAGACTCCTCAACATTTCATTAAAAGGACACTATAGTTATCCATACCACTTCATCTCAATGAAGTGTTCTGGAAGTAGCGCCCCTTAGTCCTGCAATGTAATACATTGCAGTTTTTGAGAAACTGCCATAATTACATTGTAGGACTAAGAATGCCTCTATTGGCTGGCAATCAGACAACCACTAGAGGCACTTCCTGGTGGCCAATTGACTTTGGTCGCATAAGTGACACTGGACATTTTCACGCTCTGCATGAGGATATCCAGAGTCAGTTAAATTCTCATAGGAAAGCATTGAAGGTCCTAATGTGCTCGCTCCACTTGCTGCGTATGCGAATTGGTCGTTCCTCCTCCACCCCCCCACCCCTTCGTGTCAGATGTCGTTGGAGGAAGCGGAGCACCGACCCAGTGTCGAGAGAGTTTGGCACAGGAATAGGGTAAGTGTTAAAAGGGTTACAGTGCCGGGGGGAGGGGAGGCGGAAAGAATTATAGTCTTAGGAATAAAGGAATTCTATAGTGTATTCCTTATACTATAGAATCCCTTTAATTTGTCTCCTTTACCCACCTGTGGGTGCAGTTCTCCTTGCTCCTCCTTACAGATCTTTAGAGCCTTTTCATACACTGCTTGTGCATCTGCAAATTTTTCTTTGCTCATTAGATAACGTCCGTATGAATCCAGACATAATCCGAGTAGGAGGCGAGTGTTGCTTTTTTCCTCCTCTGTTGAATGAAATAAAACACAAAAAGGAAAATAAATTATATAATAATAAGAAAAAACACAAAAATCCACATTCTGAACAATGTAAAGGCAGGGGTCTTCAGTTGTAAGGTTTACAAATATTTATATTATAGAGTAACAATATATGCATCTGTATTTACCTCAGAATGATTAGGAGAGTACATGCACTTTTATTTTACACTCGTATAGAGAATATTAGCAGAGGTCTCACCTGCCAGGTCCCTTAACTCTTCATCCGTATTCAGCTTCTCTGTCAAATTTAATATACAGAACTGGAATCCTGCCACAGCCAGATCATACCTGGAAGAAAGCAGAAGAAAATCCAAACCCCAAATCTAAAATGAGACAACAAAAGCTCCATTATCATACAGATATAGAAAACCACCAGCCATGGTTTTCAGAACATATCTTCACACACTGGGACTTACTGGTTTTGTGCAGCATAGATGCATGCCAACTTGAGAGATATCTCAATAAAGGAATTTTCATTCTGGTAATAATCAAAAAGTATATAAACATAAAAAGTAAAAACAATGGAAAAAAGGTGTGAAGTTAGAACATAAGGAGAGATCAAGCAAAATATACCTGTTTAACACCTCGATCAAGCATGTAAACCATAGTTATCTTGAAGAGCTTTACTGCCTGCAAAACACAATATAAATAATCATTTAATATACAGTTCTGGACTGGTGAGTGTTGCATCTAGAAAGCAAATGACAGTATAATTTACTTAAGAGAAGGGATGATAAATAGAGAACGATAAAAGAGTGTATGCTGTATAGTCTGAATAGATCACAAACAAACATTCTAAATTTTGTACTACAGGCCAGTGATCCAAAGTTCCTGAACTACACCTCGAAGTTGGCAAAGCCTCGCTGGAGGTATAGTTATAACAGTAAGGTAATGAATACATTATTTCATCATGGCCTTTAACCCCTTAAGGACACATGACATGTGTGACATGTCATGATTCCCTTTTATATCAAAAGTTTGGTCCTTAAGGGGTTAAAGGCAGAGGCACCATTAAATATAAAATAAGGAGATATGGTGTGGCGGCCAAGGGCCTTCTTGTGGGGGCCTTTCCTGGATGAAATTCGCACACAGGTGAGAATTGCTCACCTGAGGCCTACGCTCCATCGACACTTCCTCTGTGTGCCCACTAGCCTATATGGGATGATGGTCCAGCAGAAGATGTTTGCTAGTGATCTGTCCATAGTTAATGAAGAGTTCCACTCCATCACAGGCAGCGTTAAGGCCACTGAAGACATCTCTCACATTCCACAGAGTATGACCGCTACTGCTGAGATGGTGAACGAATTGACACATTGGTGCTCTAGAAGATTTATCTACTCAGAGCATCCAAACTCCTCACACAGAGATGTCATTATCCATTGCCAAACCTTATGCGGCAAAGCCTGCATTATGCCGGCTCTTTAGAATAAGATTCTTTAAGGCTTTGAAGAGCACCAACTTTTTTTTTATCACAACTTACATAGTTTTACACTTTGGTGGTACATTATGAGCCCTATTACTCAAATAATAAGAAATGCTGGGATTTCCTACAGATGTGGTCTATCGTGAGCCCTGGTTGTCCAGAAGGAAGTCACCCTACACAAATATCCTCACCTGATAAGAGCCATCAATTCCACGCTGTGCTGAATATACACCAGTCTCCCTTGACTTCATCTGCGGCTTTTACCACCCACGTTTGGGATGTTCGAAAAATTACTCAAGTTATTCCTAAGGAGCAAGCTAGGGCTGAAGTATGACACTCTAAACTGTTCTTTTAAAATGTATTTTGCTTTTATACAATTTATTTTAGTTTGTTGACTGTTCTAAGCTCTACTGCGTTAGGCCAGATGCTTGCAATGTAAATAGGTCGACCACCATGGTTTAAGTCTTAACCTAATTTTTTGTCTATTTCCTCCACCCCCTCCTCCCACCTCCACTGTTCCCTTGGTTAGGGGTTTTAAGTTTGAAACCATATCCTGCTCGGATGATGCAACATTATGCTTCACCTCTCTACTTTCATTTGGTTTAGGTTGTCATTAGTCTTATCAAGGCTTCATTTTTATTGCATGCCAATGTCCTATTAGTTTTATTGCCACTGTATATCTTCTGATGATATATGGAGTGGGGCAATTGTTTTGTTATTGAGGCTGTACTATAACATAGTAAAATGGGAATGTATGCTTATGCCTTCTTGCTACTTTTGCAAATTGTGCATGTTTCTGGCATTTTTAGCTTTTTGTCAGGCATCTCCCACATATAAATAAAAGAAACATAAATTATAAAAAAATAAAAAAAAACAACAAGTAACAATTGGTGTAGAAAATGATTTAGCTATTCAACTCTGCACAATTTATAAATGACCTGTATACTAAGAAATACTTGTAAATATAATTTTATTACAAGTTGTATAAGAAAAATGTTAGTAGGTTAATATCTAGGGATTCCACTGGTAATGTCAAGTTATTCAAAATTCTCACATTTTAATCCTGGCATTGATGTAAAACAAATCAATTTTTGTTAACCCCTGTCTGGGGTTCTATAAATTGAGACCTGTTTGCAGTGAGGATTGGAAAAGAACGTCATGCTCCTCTGGCCCCAAACAACAACTCAAAATAAATAGTTGACTAAAGTATTGCGCATAATATGTTTTAGTATGTCTTATCTTACATAATGATAGTGTTCTGTGTCATTTTACACAGCGTGGGAAAATTCCAAAGAACTTTCCCACGTTGTGTAAAATGACACAGAGCACTGTGAATGGATGGCTTTAAATCCATCCAATCACAGTGCTCTGTGTCATTTTACACAGCGTGGGAAAGTTCTTTGGAATTTTCCCACGCTGTGTAAAATGACAAAGAGCACTCTGATTGGCTTAAACCCACCAATCAGAGTGTTCTTAGCATAATTGCAGGGCGGGGCAAGGCTTTATAAGCCTTCCCTGCCCTGCGGAGCTCAGTCTGCGCGGAGCCCTCCATGGGTGAAGAAGATGGATTTTTTTGCGCTCGGGTTTTTTCTTTTTCGTCGGGTTTTTTTTTTTTTTGCGCTCTGAATTTTTATTTAGTCACCATTGATGGGGTGAATTTGACTTGGGGCCCCCACCCGCCGCCGCACCCCTGACGATGCCTAACAAGGCTGAAACGATTGTCTGGGGTTGCTGTATCTCTCGTGCAGAGAGAACTTGCTGGCATTTCGGGTCTGGACTGCCCGTATGGGTGGGACCAGTCTGATATGCTTCAGATATGTTCTCTCTGTAATGGCACAAGTTGAGCTAAAACCAGCATGAGTTCTGAGCGGGGACCCACCGAAGGGCAGGCTATTTTAGCTGCTGTCCGTTCTCAGAATACTCTTGCGACCCATTGTTTGCTCTCCATTAGTCTAAAGGGTAATCCAGACGTGGACCCCTTGCTCACGGTGCCTAGAGAGATATCAGCTATGCCTCACTGACGATGCCTAACAAGGCTGAAACGATCGTCTGGGTTGCTGTATCTCTCGTGCAGAGAGAACTTGCTGGCATTTCGGGTCTGGACTGCCCGTATGGGTGGGACCAGTCTGATATGCTTCAGATATGTTCTCTCTGTAATGGCACAAGTTGAGCTAAAACCAGCATGAGTTCTGAGCGGGGACCCACCGAAGGGCAGGCTATTTTAGCTGCTGTCCGTTCTCAGAATACTCTTGCGACCCATTGTTTGCTCTCCATTAGTTTAAAGGGTAATCCAGACGTGGACCCCTTGCTCACGGTGCCTAGAGATATCAGCTATGCCTCACTGACGATGCCTAACAAGGCTGAAACGATCGTCTGGGGTTGCTGTATCTCTCGTGCAGAGAGAACTTGCTGGCATTTCGGGTCTGGACTGCCCGCATGGGTGGGACCAGTCTGATATGCTTCAGATATGTTCTCTCTGTAATGGCACAAGTTGAGCTAAAACCAGCATGAGTTCTGAGCGGGGACCCACCGAAGGGCAGGCTATTTTAGCTGCTGTCCGTTCTCAGAATACTCTTGCGACCCATTGTTTGCTCTCTATATATATACATATATATAAAGTTTGCAAAAGTTACAGACTTGCCTAAGGGAGCTCTTATCAACAGACTTTCATTCTGGAGCCGTAATTGGGCACGCACGCCATGATGGCTTTACAATGTTTCTCAATGAGTGAAATACAGCATATTGACAAGAGGGGAAAGCGCTTGACACTTCTGTTAGGTCTGTGGTGTTAACCAAAGCAGAAGAAAACCTCCCTGTCTGTCTGAGTGGCTGCCAGGAATGTGTTTATGCCTCCAATTATAAACGTTTACATTTCTATTAAAAATGGCACTTCTATAAACTGTCAAAAAAATTACAGACATAGAAAAAAGGTCCAGGCACGCCAAGGTACAAACCAGGCAATTTGATTGAACCCACTCCATCACAAGGTTTCGACCTACACAGTCTTTTTGTCAAGCTTGACAAAGACGGTGTAGGTCAAAACGTTGTGATGGAGTGGGTTCAATAAAATTGCCTGGTTTGTACCTTAGAGTGCCTGGACCTTTCTTCTATTTTTGTTACTCACCATTTGGTCTCTGGTACTGAGACTGTCCAAGTTGCACCCAGCTACATACTACATAAAGGGATAGAGAGCAGTTCCACACCCTACCATAACTCCTTTTCAAAAATTAACAGACGTCAGCAGGTCTGAGGTTATTTATGTGCCTGGAGTATTCTTTAACTTTACTTACGTCATCCAAGCGCCCTCTAAAAAAAGCCAAGTTAGCCATCTGAAAAGAAAAGAAAAAAAGTCATAGTTATTCGCTGATCAAGCACGCAACAGTCACCTAGACAATATCTGGGATATTCAATAAAGTGAGAATTAAAAGTGAATTTCAAATTCATGGAAAAATACCTGAACTGATCAACAATGCTTCCAGTTTGGCTACTTTGGCCTTAAGTTTAAAATTCACTTTGAATTCTCACTTTGGTAAATACTCTTGTATGATTCGTATGAATACTTTTCCAAGAGACCGACACAAATCACAAGATAAATATATGGTAAAGGTAACTGAGAAATACAGTTTAACTGAGGAATTTGCAATTGCTATTGAAATATAGTTCACTCAGTATTACATGAGTATTGGCGTCCAGGCCGTTAAAAGCCTAATTTAATTCCTTCATGGCACTACAAGTCAGGACTGCTATAGTGCAAAATGCATTCTCATTCTTGTACAAAAACTGTTTAAAACATTCTTAGAATCAGCAGATTTGTCATTTTATAATTAAATGGACACTATAGTCACCAAAACAACTTTTGCTTAATGAAGCAGTTTGTGTGTGTAGATCGTGCATCTGAAGTCTCACTGCTCAATTCACTGCCATTCAGGAGTTAAATCACTTTTGTTTCTGTTTATGCAGCCCTAGCCACACCTCCCCTGACTGTGACTGACAACAATCTCTGCACAAGAAGCAACTGCACTATATTCTAGATATTTCAATGGCTGGATTCGTGACACACAAAACTATATTTTTGGTTATGTAGCAAATACATTCAGAAGAAAGAAAAAAAAAATACTAGTAGTTGCTATTCAAAATATTCCAAAGCTTGTTGCTGTGCATAATTTGCATGTCAAAACTGCTTGAGAAGAAATAAGACAATGAAAACTACTCCATAAAGTGACTTCTGGATAGAAGAGGAGTCTTCTATCCCATTAATAATTAAGCATGATATTTTTTTTCTTTTCAAGAGAATAGCTGGAAATCTATCCCAGTGTAAAATGGTGGATGAAAAGCAGAATTTCACAAGTTATAAAATTACACACATGACATTTTTTTTTTAGAAACAGTGCTATTGGTAGACCATTTCAGAGGTCACAGTAGTGCCGTAACTCCCTGCCATCAGAGAAATAATATACATTTTAATATCATGTAATCTAGTGTTGGGAGACATGTGGGGACGGACATTTAATCACAGGCCTCTTGATGGTACATCCACAGGCACTTTGAGGTTTAGTCTTGCATAAAGCCCATGTGAATGATATACATTTACCAGGTCATAGGTGTAGATAATGGCTCTCTTCGAATCAGACTCCTGACCCAGATGGAGAGCCTGGTGTAGTATATCTTCAGCTTCATCAAACTCACCTTTCATTATGCCCAACTGTGAAAGACAAAATAGAAAAAAAAGATTATTTGATTTCCTATACAAGATATTATAGATGTATTTTTGTGACATTCATTTTTTGCTTAACCTCTTATTGACCAATGATGGTCTATGGCTCTATGCAATCATCATAATATGAATCAATATGACGTTTACTACTTGGTCTTTTCCTGGAAGCTGTGCAGCCATAATAAGCTTAGATTAATTAAAATTACAAATTAAAATTTTAGAAGAAAATATGGAAGCCCAATGTGGCCATTCTGCATCATGAAAAGAAAATGGAGATATTTGCATAAAATCTGCAATAAAGCAGGATAAGATTTGGTGTATTCATAATATAAATTATGAGTTAAACCTACAACTACATTGTGCATACAGATTTTATTCAGTTCTTATGAAAAAAGAGCTTATTGTGTTTGCACAAGCTCTCACATAGAAGGCCATGAGGCACTTCTCCTTTCCTCTCGCTCCACCACTTGCCCGCTCGATCCTATCCCATCTCACCTTAGCATATCTCTCTCCCCGCTGTCTTGTGCTTTCCTTAACACATATCTTCCCCTGCTCTCGCTTTTCTGGTGTTGTCCCTGCTGACCTTAAACATGCCACTGTAGTACCTATCCTGAAGAAACATCTCTTGACCCGTCCTCCCCCTCTAACTATCGTCCCATATCCCTGCTCCCTTTCTCCCCAAAGCTTCTGGAAAGACTCGTCTTTACCTGTATGTCTCACTTCGTCAATTCCAACTCTCTCCTCGACCCTCTTCAATCTGGCTTCTGCCCTCTCCACTCTACTAAGACTGCTCTTATCAAAGTTACTAACGACCTAATCACAGCTAAATCCAAAGGCCACTACTCCATACTAATTCTTCTTGACCTCTCTGCTGCCTTTGACACCATTGATCATGCTCTCCTTCTTCAAACTCTTTAATCACTCGGTCTCTGTGACTCTGTCCTGTCGTAGTTTTCCTCTTATCTCTCCCAACGCTCATTCAGCGTCTCCTTTTCTAATCATAACTCCTCCCCTCGTCCTGTCTCAGTTGGAGTCCGTCCTTGGTCCCCTTTTATTTTCTCTTTATACTGCCCCTCTTGGCAAACTTATTACCTCTTTTGGATTCAACTACCACCTGTATGCTGATGACACCGAGAGATATCTCTCCACCCCGGACGTCTCCCCTGCAACGTGTCACTGCTTGCCTTTCTTCCATCTCGGACTGGATGTCCTCCGGCTTTCTGAAACTCAATCTCTCTAAAACTGAGCTCCTTGTCTTTCCTCCTCCTAATACTGATCCTCCTCTTTCGCTCTCCCTTCAAATGAGTGGTATCCACATAAGTACATCCTTGCAAGCGCTGTGTTAGCATCATACTTGATTCTGGCCTCACCTTTGAGCCTCACATACAGTACGTTGCCAAATCCTGTAGATTCCTTAAAAACATAGCCCACATTCGCCCCTTTCTTACGCAAGATGCTACCAAGGTCCATGCTCTAGTAATTTCCTGCATGGATTATTGTAACCCTCTCCTAATTGGGCTTCCCAAAAGCCGTATTGCCCAGCTACAGTCTGTAATGAATGCTGCCGCCAGACTGATTTTCCTCTCTAGTCGGTCCTCTCACACCTCACCCCTCTGTCAATCCTTACATTGGCTTCCTGTATCCTATATGAGTCAAGTCAAAGTGCTAACCCATACCTATAAAACACTGAACAATTCTAGCCCCTCATAGCTCTTCACAGATCCATAAGTATGCCCCTTCTCGGTCTCTCCGCTCTGCCCATGACCTTCTTCTGTCCGCTACTCGCACCCGTGCGGCCAACTCACGCTTGCAGGACTTCTTGCGGGTGGCTCCCTTCCAATGGAATAGCCTGCCGCCACCATCAGACTCTCCCCCAATCTTCAATCGTTTAAGAAGTGCCTTAAAACCCATCTCTTTAGGAAAGCTTATGGCCCCCCCGAGTAACCTCTAGCTTACATACCTATCTCTTGCTCTCTTCTAAAGGGCAGCACTCTACTCTCTCTCCTCCAGCTATGCTTCACTCCCACCTTATTTGATTGCTATTTCCTGTCCTAGTATGTTTTATACCCACCTCCTATAGACTGTAAGCTCGTTTGAGCAGGGCCCTCTTCAACCTATCGTTCCTTAAAGGATCACTATAGTGTCAGGAAAACATACTTGTTTTCCTGGCACTATAGTGCCCTGAGGGTGCCTCCACCCTCAGGGTCCCACTCCCATGGCACTGAAGGGGGAGTAAGGGGTTTATCTCTTACCTTTTTTCCAGAGCTGGGACTCTCCTCCCTCTATTGACATCCCTGGCTGAATGCCTCCTCTCATAATATTATAAAGCGCTATGGAATCTGTTGGCGCTGTATAAATGGCAATAATAATATTGAGAGAGCCTGATCACCCACTTAGGATTTTACAGCTATATACGATGATGTATTTACAGTTGCATTGAAGAAGAAAAAAGAGCTACAAGAGGTGGGGATTAAAGGTTCTAGGATATGTTGGTCACTACTTGGCAGTAATCCAATTTTGAAAACCATAAATGAAACCACTAGCTGGTGGAATTAGTATTGACTTACCTTGGCCTTCTTTAAAAGATATATTATTTTTTCTTCTGATTCAGTGATTTTGTCCTCCTTTTCATGGTCGAAAAGTTTAGAAAACAAAGAAAATGCTAGAAAGAAATATAAAATATAATTAAAATGTTGCAAACAATATTTACAGTGGTTACTATGTTCCAAGTATCATCTGAAGCATATATGAACTCTAAAATGGATTTATTCATATATAGCACAATATAAAACAAAGAAAGACAGGTGGCTCATGCAGGCTCTAATAGGCTATTAACAGAGCAGGAGAAGAAATTCTAGATTAAACAGACTGTGCAATAAAGAAACCTAGAATATGTAGATTTCTTTTCAGGAAATGTTTAGGAAGTTTGTGCAGGTCCCATGCAAGGATATGTGCCTAGAGCTGCATCAACAAAATTATTTAATTCCTAAATGGCAAAGATTTTAACAGAGAGACTGCAGGGGCTTGATCTATACACCAAAATTCCTTCATTAAGTTAAAGTTGTTTTGGTGCCTATACTGTCCCTTTAAACACATAGTTATTTTAATAGCCATTTCAATCACCATAAAACTCCTCACAATAGCCCCAACATCCTCCTACAAAGTGATTCTGATATGTCCCCTTTATGCAGCTTTCCCACTTTTCTATCCTCTCTGTTTAGGTTTGCATGTAATTTTTAAACTCCCTCTCCATGCTGGCTCAAAGCGCATGCATGCGCTCTAAGACAGCTAAATGGTCCAATCAATGGCTTCACTTGACTGTGCGTCAGCTGCCCTTACATCACAAGGGGGTCTTGAAAGCAGCGTTGACAGTTTTGCCCGGCACTGCAATAAAGCATTCAAAGAAGCATGGAAGTTGTAGTTCAGCAACATCTGGAGGGCCGAAGTTTGGGGAAGCCTGGGTTGGAGTAACCATTTAAAGGTATACTATAGCGTTAGGAATAGAAATGTGTATTTCTAAAGCTATACTGTCCTAATCACCGTTTAGGTGCAATTCAAGCGCGTGCAGCACTAGAAGCTTATTTAGGGTAGCATTTTGGTGTGCTAAACCACTTCCCTTAGTCTGTGTCATATTGTGTATGTCTTTATTTATGTGCGGTTATTGTTCTAATAAGTTACATGTTGTAATCCCAGAATACCCGTATATGTATAAAAAAAATTTTTTTTAAAGTATCATGTGCACATTTCTTAGCACTTCTAAAAATCATGCACATAATACTTTTTATATCATGACACTACCCATGTAAAGCAAGTGATCTTGATACAGTGGACTAGAAATTTGTGGGGTGTTTTTATATATATATATATACACACTGATTACAGTACAAAGAAAAGAAAAACAAAAACCAATACAACCGCAAATAAATCTGTAAGACTCATTCTTACCAATGGGTAGCTAGAAACCATTTTATTTTTGTTAAAAAAAAAACTCGGTTTTACCGCAAACTAGTGCAAATAAAATGGAGTTAACGATGATATGAATCCAGATGACCCCCATGTAAGGCATTAACCCTCCGGTGACATAATAACACACTGTAATGACAGCCATGGCAGGCACAGCGCTAACCTGCGGCAGTGATAATGAAGCCCCGCTTCCTGCTCCCCTGAGATCCTCCATAGCTCCCCCATTTAGTGCTGGATATTAGTGACGTCGTCCTGGGGTAAGCTGAGGCACCCACGGACCGACCGGCCCAGTGCGTTCCACCGACACCCCGCAGCCGCCATGTTTCTATCGGTATGCCAGACCTGGCAGCCCTGACTAAGCCCCGCACAGCGCAGGGAAACATGCCGCCGCTGTCACGTGACAACCGGGGGCGACGGCTTCCTGGGGCACGTGCCTTCCGGGGCACGTGACCCGGCTGTGTGACCACGTGATTCGACAGGACCAATGACGTTTCTTCAGAACACACAACCGTCCTGTCTCTTTGCCACCATGGCTTACATGTAAACATACAGCTCTGGGGAGTACCCAGGGCGCGCCCAGTGGCTGTATGCTAGGCAGTAAGGTCGGATGTACTAACCTGCCACAGCTCAATTGCTTTGGGGAATTGGGAATGAGTAATGTATCCCAGGTTGGCCCACTAGATGGCAGTAACATCATTTATTATTTATTTATTTTTTTTAAAGGATTACTATAGGACACTATAGCATCCTTATGACCCATCTCCCCACCCTCTGGGTCTCCCACCCTTGGCGCTTACCTTTATCCAGCGCCGGGCTCCCTCAGCGCTGCTGACCTCTCCTCCCCCGCCGACGTCAGCTCCCGAGCGGAATGCGCATGCGCGGCAAGAGCCGCACGCGCATTCAAACAGTCCATAGGAAAGCATTTTTCAATTGTTTCCTATGGACGTCCCGCACGCTGGATGCAAATTTCACATAAGCGCCTCTAGCAGCTGTCAGGAAGACAGCCACTAGAGGTTGGATTAACCCTGCAATGCTCTGAAACTGCTATGTTTACATCTGAAGGGTTAAAACCTGGGGACCTGGCACCCAGACCACTTCATTGAGCTGAAGTGGTCTGAGTGACTAGTTTTGCTTTAATGTATTACTGGCATTTATAAAGCACCATTATATTCTGCACAGCTGTACAACTGAGAGAACAATACAATATAAACAGAGCCATACAAAAGGTAGATGGCCCTGCCCTTGAGTTTACAATCTAAAGGTAAAATAGGGAAATGAGACAAGAGGTAGCAGAGGACATTGAAGATGATGGCAGAGAGAATTTATAGTGTGACTGCAGGGATTAATAACATGCGAAGGGAATGAGGAGGTGATTGACTGTGTTTGGAAACAGCTGGGGGAGTCGTGCTATATAGTTAGAAGGAACCAGGGTGGGTAGAGCAGTGTTCAAATTAAGTTTCTTAGTTGCAGAGATGGACGTTAAATTTGGCCTGAGGAGGAAGGATGCATAGTTATATAAAGGAATGTACTGCTAGGAGTGGCAAGCAGAGGGATGTTCAAAGGAGGGGAGGGAAATTTTTCCCACGCTTTGCAAGAGCTATCATAGCGTGGCAAAGCCTATAAAAGGGCTTTTACCGCTAGGACACTCATTCTGCGTCGAGCCTTCAATGGGTGAAGGTGGATTCCTTTTTTTTATTATTGTAATGTGTGATAGGTAATGAATTTTTACCTATGCGCAATGCTTAGTGAATATTCCTCTAGACATACAGAGCTATACATAACATATATATTATGTTATAGGGTGTCAGTCTCATGTCCTGCTTTCTACTTCTGTATTTCTTATTACTAGCTAAAAGTAAATACTATATACAGGGCTTGGAAGATTGAATGGTCAGTAAGCCTGATTATAATACAAGATATGCATGCTTTGAAAGGGTTAAACTGGCATTCTTTAAACCTACTATATTTTTTCTGTTGAGAGCCTGACTATGTTTTCCAACGGCAGAATGTTTATACGCCATAGTGGAAACTAGTGTCAGGCTCTCAACAGAAAAAATATAGTATGTGTAAAACTAGTTTCCACTATAGCTTATAAACATTCCGCCATTGGAAAACATAACATTTCTCTCTAACCACCTGAAAATTTTAATTGGGTTCCTAAATCAAAGACGGTCATGAACATCTGTTTTTGTCTTAGTCTGCAAGGGTTAAAAGCAAGAATTGTCTCTCTTTGTAATCAGTTACAGTTTTACACATACTCCCTTTTTTATCTCACAAGATAACCCTGCATAGTTTAGAGAAGACATGCTAGACATAGATTTCCTGTAATAGGTAATGTTATATGAATAATTATACTTTTTGCACTGAACGTCTATGATTGGTTGATTTTGTCTTCTGTTGGATACACCCCTATGAAAACTGTGTTTGTTTCATATATACGCAGTACCTGCATTAAAAAAGAAGCACTTCTTTCTTAAACTTCATAATGACTGGTCTGCTTTAATTGTACATTAATTGTTCTCTGTATTGAACATATACAAAGATTAAGGAAAGCAGAATGTGTTACCAGCATAAGTTCATGGCAGCCTAAAGGGTTACAGACTCTGTATAATTGTGCAGCCTAACAATGTGATTTTTATTTTCTGGCGTTTTTTTTTTTTTTACATTTTTTTTAGTGATCAAGCCTTTTTTTATTTTAAGTAGTGGCAGATTTTATTTTGCTCTTTTTGAGACTGAAGAACAGAATATTTCTGATGATAATACAGATTTTAGATTGTTGGCCCCATCCACACTATATTAAGGTAAGGGGGGTAGGTAGGGACTTTATTATAACAGCTTTATCAATAGTATATTCTGTCAAACAAAAACATGCATAAAATAATCTCGTTACGTCAAAGATTTGCTAGTTTATGGGGTACATCAAAAATATGTTCAAAATGTGAAATAGTACTCCAGGTGGCATTAACATATCTCTCTGGCTAGTGTATCCAGTTGAGGTTAATCTACATATTGTAAGTCTGTAATATACAAATCTCCACTTGGTGGTGCCAAAACTCTGGTATAATGAAGTATGTCACAAACTATTAAAGCCTCAAATGCAAGAGAGCATTAAATGACCAGAGGAATATGGAACTAAACTATCTGTCTGTAAATAGCATGTCTAAAGCAATAAGTATGTAAACCATCAGTCCAATATATGGCTCCATTCTGCCTAAGCTGTCTGATTGGCTCAAAACAACAAAATTCCTAGCAAAGAATGCAACGGGTAGGTGAGCTAAACAATCACCTAATCCCAAATGTTCCATAGAAAAAGATAGTAGTGAATTAAATTAGAAAACCAAAGGTGTATACACATAGTAAAGAAATCCAGTCATAAAGGCAGTGCTGTATTTACAGTGAATGCTAAGAAGGCATTTGTCTTGGGCGGCACTTTCAGGGGGATGGCAAAAAGCGGCCTGGTAGATGCCTTGTTAGCTTGTTTCATGGGAGGCCCTGGTCAAGACAGGCCAAGAATAGGGAATGCCATAAATTGACACAGGCAGCTGACAATGAGTAATCAGGATAATCCAAGGTCAGGGCTACAGAACAATTAAAGGGCCACTATAGTGCCAAGAAAACAAACTTGTTTTCCTGGCACTATAGTATTAATAGGTCTCCCCCAACCTCATGGCCAGGGCCGGACTGGGAAAAAAATTATACACACAAAAAAAAAGAACCACAAATAGATTTTAAAATAGATTTTAAAGGGGGGCGGAGCCGGGCCGCTGAGCTGGACGGTCGCAAGTCAGAGCGACTCTGGCAAAACACTACTGAAAACTCGCTAAAAACATCTTTAACCTAAAGTGGACCGACAGCACAGATGCCCAGTGCCGGGGGACAGCTGGACCCGGGGAGAGGCTGGCTCGCTGAGCTACAGTCCCCGGGGGGAGTGGATCTCGGTGCCCTAACCCGGACCTTCTCCGGCGGTGAGCGGGGCAGACGGCCGCTGCCTCTCTATCCTGCACCACAAAGCCCAGCCAAAAGCCCTGATCGGCGCAGACCCGGCTCCGTCCCCCCCTCCTCTATGGACCGGGGGGGGGGGTGATCCCGGTCCTCACCCAGTAGGCCATAAGCGGGATTCTGCAATTGAGGCCGGGGAGCCTGTTCGCTGCCTCCAAGATGGCGGGCGCCATGTGCGCTGACGGCATGAGGAAAAGAAAAAAACCTCCCTCCTAGTGTCCACTACCCACAAAACAACTCCTGATATAAGATCCCGCCACACAAGGAAGCACCAATGTTCGTGCTAATCCCCGCAACAACACAAGCCAACAACACGAGCAACAGGTGGCTCGAGGGGGTGGGTGACAGCAGCGGCACTTAAGAGATAGGATACCAAGCATCGACCATTCCCGTGCCATCTGCCCAGCAAAACACTTCTGCTAGCAGACCAACCCTGTACCCGCTTACTACTCAGACTTTAACAGGACACCCCGGAGAGCTACAGATCTCCGCGGATACCCCCAACGCTTAAACATGGCGGACACCAACCTGCGGATGACCAAAAGCGGCAAGCCCACCCTGCTCAGGCTATACCTCGGAGGACCACAGTGAACAACGCAGAATTACACACAGACAACCCATGCTCCGAGGCCTGCTCTGAAGGACGCTTGCTCCCCACTACATAGTCACAACAGAGCAGGTATTGGGGAAAAACTGGACTGCACCTATATGAAAAGTCTTGGACTCACTAGGATGCCAACCCTTTCCCACGGAGGCAGCTCGGGGACCCCCCGATCCACCAGGGTGATAACCACGCATTTTCCAACTATTACTATACTGCATAACATGCTTATAAGCTATAGCCTCATTAACATGGTTAATCTAATCTAACATTGTTTCATAGCGACTACCTAACTCTAATAATATGATAGTAGTGTTGTTGTCCTAGCTTGAAAAATAACTGTTAATCGACTAAACATATTATTAACCCTGGAAGTACTTAGGAATGTCATATGCATGTCTAGAAAGAAACAAAACTTGTTGTTCTCATGTATAAAAAAAAAAAAAAAATGTGCTGTATCAAATGCCACTCATTGAAATGCCATGAATATGCCTGCAGTTGCTGTCGTGGCCATGCACGCTTGTCTGTTATTTATATGCACATGCAAAAATAAAGAATTAAAAAAAAAATAGATTTTAAAGAACCACAAATAGATTTTATACTTGAAGGGATTTTAGAAAACAATTTTTTCTGGTTTAAAGATTCATTTTTTTATGCAAATTACAGGAACAGCGATGGGCACCAAGTTCGCTCCCAGTTATGCAAACCTTTTTATGGCATACTGGGAGAAGAAGCTAGTGTTTTCACATATGGCGGCAGCGAACTTGGTGTCCTATCATCGATACATCGATGATATATTTTTAATCTAGAAAGGAGGAGAAGAAAGTCTTAATTTATTTTTAGATGAATTGAATAACAACAATTGGGGGATCATTTTAACCTCTACGTATAGCACTAACCAAATCAATTTTTTAGATTTGGAAATTTTTATTTTAAATTCTACTATCCATACTAGGAATCATTTTAAAGATGTTGATGCAAATAGTTACATCGAGATGAATAGTTGCCATTATCCACCATGGCTAACAAATGCACCTAAGAGCCAGTTCTTACCGATACGGAGAAATTGCACGCAAGATGTTGATTATGTTTCCCAAGCAGAAAAAATTAAAGAACAGCTTGTAGAAAAAGGCTATGACACCGGAAAATTACAAAATTGCATGGAAGAAGTTAAGAAAATTGAAAGAAAAGATCTTATATGTTACAAAAATAAAAAGATACATAATAAATCCTCTAATAGGAATACGTTTGACATACCCTTTATATGCAAGCATAGTGGCAACAACAATAAAATTAATGAAATTATCAAAAAATATTGGCCTATTTTAAAAGAAGATCCTTTATTAAATAAAATTCTACCTCATAATCCTAAAATGGTCTATCGAGGATGTAGAAATCTTAAACAGATTTTAGTGAAAAGTAGTTTTAAAACACAACCTACAGAACATTTTTTAAATAAAAATAAAGGATTTTATGGATGTGGTTCCTGCCCTGCTTGTAGAGAAACAAAAAGACATATTACCTCCTTCACATATAAAGATAAAAGAGAATTTGCTATCAAAAACGAGCACTTGTTTTTCAAAACATGTGATTTATATTTTAAAGTGTCCTTGCGATTTAATCTATGTTGGTAGGACTATTAGGTGTTTACATGTCAGAATTGCAGGACATCTATGCAATATAAGAAAAGGTCTAGAAACACATAGTGTTTCACAACATTACAACATTTATCACAATAGTAATCCAAGAGACCTATTCTTTTGCGCAATTAAATTAGTACAAAAAAATTGGAGAGGTGGAGATTTTAATAAAAAAAATAGGTGAGGAGGAGATGAGATGTATTTATAATTTTAACCCCTTAAAACCGGAGGACGTACAATTACGCCCTCTAATAGGCGGCTCTAAACGCCGCCGGGCGTAATTGTACGCCCTCCGGTTTTTGTTAACTTACCCGGTCGCCGGCGGTCCCACGCCGGCGATCGCGGTTGGGGGGACTCCCAGGGAGCCCCCCGCGGCACCTCCGTCCTCCTGGAAGCCTCCCGGCCATGTGAGAGTGGGGTCCTAGCGAGGACCCCACAATCACATGGCCGGGGATAGCTGGCTTCTGTATTGCCGGCAGGGGGGCTGCCTGTAATGACAGGTGGTCCCCCTGCTGGCTGGAAATAAAAATAAAATAAGTTAATGGTGTAAAAAAAAAAAATTATATATACTTAGATCATATATATATATTATATATATATGATCAAAGTATATATATACACATATACATACACACATGTACACCGTCTAGGTGTATTTTACTATTAATATATATATAATTATATATATATATAAATATCAAATTACACGTAGACTGATACTGATTAAATATATATATAATTATTGTTATATATATATTTATATATAATATAAAAAAAATAAAAATGTAAATACGTTAAAAAATAAAATTAAAAAAATAATTAAAAATAAATAATTAAAAAATATATAGATGTGTGTTATTTCGCTCTAACTGTATTGTGAAATTAATATATATATATATATATCAAAATACACATAGAACGAAATAATATATATATTTATACACATAAATATATACGTATATATCACTATATATATATACCTATATATAAATAAAAATATTTTTTAAAAATTATATAGATATATACATATATATACACATACGTATATATATACATATATTGATTCTACATATATATTTATGTAATATTTTTACATAATTAGGTATCTTAATTAATTACAATTAGCAGGACCTGCATGACAACCCATGCCGAAAGTAAATGGAATTTAATTTGCTAGCACTATATTTAACCCTATAACTTTCCGAGACACCATAAAACCTGTACATGGGGGGTACTGTTCTACTCGGGAGACTTCGCTGAACACAAATATTAGTGTTTCAAAACAGTAAAATGTATTACAACGATGATATAGCCAGTAAAAGTGACGTTTTTTGCATTTTTCACGCACAAACAGCATTAAACGGACAATATTATTGCTATGATACTTTTTACTGTTTTGAAACACAAATATTTGTGTTCAGTGAAGTATCCCGAGTACAACAGTACCCCTCATGTACAGGTTTTATAGTGTTTTCAAAAGTTACAGCGTCAAATATAAGGCTTGCGTTTCATTTTTTTCACATTAAAATTCGCCAGATTGGTTACGTTGCCTTTGAGACCCTATGGTAGCCAAGAATGAAAATTACCCCTATAATGGCATACCATTTGCAATAGTAGACAACCCAAGGTATTGCAAATGGGGTATGTCCAGTCTTTTTTAGTAGCCACTTAGTCACAAACACTGGCCAAAATTGGCGTTTTTTGAATTTTTCACACACAAACAAATATTAACGCTAACTTTGGCCAGTGTTTGTGACCAAATGGTTACTAAAAAAGACTGGACATACCCCATTTGCAATATCTTGGATTGTCTACTATCGCAAATGGTATGCCATTATGGGTGTAAATTTCATTCCTGGGCTACTATAAAGTCCTAAAGGCAACGTAACCAATCTGGCGAATTTCAATTTCAAATGTAACGTGCTAGATTTCACCCTGTAACTTCCCAAAACGCCATAAAACCTGTACATAGGGGGTACTGTTTTACACGTGAGACTTTGCTGAATATAAATATGTGTATTTTATTGCAGTAAAAGCAAACAGTATTATGACACTGACCGTTAAAATATAATGTAGAACTAAAAAAATCCAAAAAAAAACGTATTTTCTCCCATTTTTTTCATATTAAATTATGTTTCATAGCTAAATATTTGATATTAAATGAAAGCCCTGTTTCCCCTGAATAAAATGATATATAATAAGGGTGGGTGCATTTACTAAGAAAGAGGTGTATTACGGTTGGACAGACATGTAGCGCAAATGCCAGCTTTTGTTTACATTTTGTTTTGTTCACAATGTGTACATTTGGCTCCGTCCTTAAGGGGTTAACACACCTATCCCTAATGGTCTGAACCAAGATTTTGAATTATGCCATTTTTTATGTTAATTTTTTGTATTTGAGTTATCTCTTTTACTTTTTATTAGATTTATATTTATGTGTATATTTCATTGTTAGAAATGATCTTCATTGCTAACATATCCTTTCTCATGTACCCTCCATAGGAGTGGTGATATACATTTTATAGGAGTACTCTCTATAGGAGTGGTGATATATATTTTATGTGTATATTTTTAATAAGATACAATTGGTAGAATTGATTTTTATTGTTAATTATCCTTTTCCCATGTAATCTCTATAAGAGTGGTGATATATATGTTTTTTAATCACCACTTCCATCCTCACTTTTGTTAATTCTATTGTCTTGCTTTTTTAAATTAGTAAAGACTTCATTTGTATGTATACATATATATATTTTTGCTCGGTATGCTTTTTCTTTACATTTCCGTTGGTGGAACGCATTTGCGCATTTGCGTTCCACAGCCGTCATATCCGTTTGTATTTAGTGTAGGAGGCGGATGTGTATGCTTAATGGAACGCATGTGCGTTCCTCGAACGACGCACCCGATCACATGATCGGCAAAACAGGAATCTGATGGCGAACACATCAAGCTGAACCGGAAGTGAATTGCCTACACCGGATGGAACGCAGGATGCATTCCACAACAGCGAATCTGTAGCAAATGGAAGGATATAAAAGAATCACAAGGACTTTGATGCACAGCATACACCAACTGAGGAAGCCTATCAGGCGAAACGCGTTTTGGTGACTATTGGACTTTTAATTATGCTTTTGTTTTTTATTTGACCTATCTTTGGAATAAATTATATACTTTTATAGAATTTTAAAGTATTTATTATTCCTGAATATACTACTTGAAAATCTTCCCTATCATCTGGAGTGGGGTTTGGATCTCCCCTTGAGGATCCTACTGACATCCAGACCAGAACCAGGTTATTTTATGGCTCTACCTTTGTGAGTGTCCTATTTAAAGATATCGGATTTACTCTGTATTTATCAAACTATCTGCACTATTGTGTTTCCCTCTGTTTCTGCTTCAGCTTTGTTGGCTGTATTTTGAAGAGAGGGAAGTATTTTACAGCTCCACCAATTTTTGTGTATATTATTATATGTATGTGTGAAGGTGAAGGGGAGCTGTTTACAATATTCTGGGACATACTTTTCTTTATTGTTTGGGAAAAAAAAATTAGTGCTGTGTGTGTCTGGGGGTGCTGTGTGTGTCTGGGGTTGCTGTGTGTGTGTGTGTGAGGGTGAATTTATTTTTTATCTAACTTTATATATTTTTTTTATTAATAAAAAAAAAGTTACATCCCACCCTCCCTTCTTACCTTTAGCCTAGGAGGAGGGGAGTGGAGTTCTGCCATGGAGTGGGGAGCCATGCTGCTTTCCCTGGTGGTCCTAGTGGTGAGAGTGAACTCTCGCCTGCAGGGAGATTTTTGATTTTCCCGGTATGCCCGATGGCCAGTCCGGGCCTGCTCATGGCCCCCCTCCCGCCGGGCTGAAGGGGGAGGAAGGGGTTAAACACTCACCTTTCTCCAGCACCGGGCTCCCTCAGCGCTGGGGACTCTCCTCCTCCTTTGGACGTCAACGGCTGAATGCGCATGCGCGGCAAGAGCCGCGCGCGCATACACTCAGTCCATAGGAAAGCATTCTCAATGCTTTCCTATGGACGCTGGCGTCTTCTCACTGTGGAAATCACAGTGAGAAGCGCGGAAGCGCCTCTAGCGGCTGTCAATGAGACAGCCACTAGAGGCTGGATTAACCCATATGTAAACATAGCATTTTCTCTGAAACTGCTATGTTTACAGCTGCAGGGTTAGCCGTAGATGGACCTGGCACCCAGACCACTTCATTGAGCTGAAGTGGTCTGGGTGCCTATAGTGGTCCTTTAACCAGTAAATCAAGTCCAACCAGAGTCTTATGTCAATATCCAAACAAATCAGGAGAGACTTACTAAAAGCACTAACATTTCTGCACTAGCAGAAACTAACAATGTTTCTGACTGAATGTTTCTGATTGGTCCACGTAATGGTCCAAAATTATTGGTAATGGGGTTGTCTGGTGAGGCCTAATAGAAAGCAGTTGTTGTTGGTTGATTCCATTATAAGAGGTGTGGAGATAGACAATGGTGGTCTTGTGAGGTGTCTTCCCGGAGCTACTGCTCACAGAGACAGGAGACGTATCTGTAATATTGTTAAGCAAGCAAAGCAGGAAGGGGAATTGGATGTACTTGTCCATCTAGGGACAAATGACTTGGCTTGCAATGAGGTTTCAGAGGTTAAGGAAGTTTTTTGTGTTTTTGCCAATGATATACGGCAGGTTGCTTCCACACTGTCATTCTCTGAAGTTCTGCCTGTGCATAACACTCAGAACGACAGGCGGATGCGTATTAGGGACTTTAATTTGTGGCTTGGTGAATGGTGTCGGGAGCAAGGATTTGGCTTTATTTCTCATGGTAACTCTGTTTGGAATGGAGATAAGCTGTACAAAAAAGATGGTTTGCATCTTTCTCAAAAGGGAACAAATGTTCTCAGTGAGCAGTTCAGAGGTTTTGCTAGGATGTATTTAAACTAGGAGGGGGGGGCAAAAGGGTGATAAAACATCAATCCAATTGTCCCCCAAAACAAGGACAGAAGGTGCCTGTAGCAAGTGTGTTAAAAAATGATAAGCTTAGAGTCATGTCTACAAATGCTCGCAGTTTAGGGAATAAGATCCATGAACTTGTGGCAATAATGGCAACTGAGTGTAGATTTAGTCGCTATTACTGAGACATGGTACAATGAGAAAAATGACTGGGACATAGCAATACCAGGGTACTCTTTATATAGGAAAGATAGGGAAGGCAAGAAAGGGGGAGGGGTGGCCTTGTATGTGAAGGATAGCATAAAATCTAGCCTAATAAAAGTTAGTGAGGCAAACATAGAGTCCGTTTGGGCTACGTTAGAATTTGGTAATCACACAGTAACTCGTGTAGGTGTGATTTATAGGCCCCCAGGACAAATTGAAGAGTTAGATAATCTACTAGTTGAGGAAATAGCTAAAATGACAATGAAGGGGGAAGTTATCATCATGGGTGACTTTAATCTTCCTGATGTAAATTGGAAAACAAAATTAGCTACTTGTGCCAGGAGCACACATATTCTAAACTCCCTACTGGGATTGTCTCTAAAACAAGTTGTTGAGGAGCCAACTCGTAAAGAGGCCATACTAGATTTAGTGTTAACAAATGGAGATTTGGTATCAGATGTTACTGTAGGTGAAAGTTTAGGATCCAGTGATCATCAGTCAGTGTGGTTTAATATAAGAACAGTGACTGAGTCACACCACACAAAAACAAAAGTTTTAGACTTTAGAAAAACAGACTTTTCTAAAATTAGAATATGGGTAGAGGAGTCATTATCAGACTGGAGCAATTTAAATGGAGTCCAAGAGAAATGGGATTATTTAAAAGTTGCACTATTGAAGGCAACAGAAAATTGCATTAGGCTTGTCAGTAAAAGCAAAAAATTCAAGAAACCACTGTGGTACTCTGCAGATGTGGCCAAAATAGTTAAAAACAAAAAGTTAGCATTTAGGAATTATAAAAAAAACCAGAGTGAGGGAGACAAAATGATCTATAAGATTAGGCAGAAAGAGGCTAAGCAAGTTATAAGAGCTTCCAAATCACACACAGAAGAGAAAATAGCAGTCAGTAAAAAAGGGGGATAAAACATTTTTTAGATACATAAATGAGAAAAGAAAAGTAAAACAAGGATTAGTTAGATTAAAAACAAAAGAAGGAAGGTATGTAGAAGAGGATAAAGGTCTAGCTGACTGCCTCAATGAATATTTTTGTTCTGTATTTACAGATGAAAATGAAGGAAAGTTGAGAAAAAGGATAAATGAGTCATTTATTACACGTGAGTTTACAGAGGAAGAGGTTCTATTTCAACTGTCAAAAGTAAAGACAAATAAGTCAATGGGACCTGATGGAATACACCCAAAGCTATTAAAAGAGCTTAGTGGTGTACTAGCAAAACCATTAACAGATTTTTTTAACCAATCATTGTTAACAGGAGTAGTCCCAGAAGATTGGAAGTTAGCGAATGTTATGCCCATTTACAAGAAAGGTAATAGGGAGGAGTCGGGCAACTATAGGCCAGTAAGCCTTACTTCAGTAGTGGGGAAAGTGATGGAAACCATGTTAAAGGATAGGATTGATGAACATCTAAAAACACATGGATTTCAAGATCAGAGACAACATGGGTTTACTTCAGGGAGATCATGCCAAACTAATCTTATTGATTTTTTTGATTGGGTAACTAAAATATAGATCAGGGTGGTGCAGTAGACATTGCTTACCTAGATTTCAGTAAGGCTTTTGACACTGTTGCACATAGAAGGCTTATCAATAAACTGCAATCTTTAAGTTTGGATTCCAATATTGTTGAATGGGTAAGGCAGTGGCTGAGTGACAGGCAACAGAGGGTTGTAGTTAATGGAATATATTCGAAGCTTGGACTTGTCACCAGTGGGGTGCCTCAGGGATCTGTACTTGGACCCATTCTCTTTAATATTTTTATTAGTGATATTGCAGAAGGTTGATGGTAAGGTATGTCTTTTTGCTGATGATACTAAGATATGTAACAGGGTTGATGTTCCAGGAGGGATAAGCCAAATGACAAATGATTTAGGTAAACTAGAAAAATGGTCAGAATTGTGGCAACTGACATTTAATGTGGATAAGTGCAAGATAATGCATCTTGGACGTAAAAACCCAAGGGCAGAGTACAGAATATTTGATAGAGTTCTAACCTCAACATATGAGGAAAGGGATCTAGGGGTGATTATTTCTGATGACTTAAAGGTAGGCAGACAATTTAATAGAGCAGCAGGAAATGCTAGCAGAATGCTTGGTTGTATAGGGAGAGGTATTAGCAGTAGAAAGAGGGAAGTGCTCATGCCATTATACAGAACACTGGTGAGACCTCACTTGGAGTATTGTACACAGTACTGGAGACCGTATCTTCAGAAGGATATTGATACCTTAGAGGGTTCAGAGAAGGGCTACTAAACTGGTTCATGGATTGCGGGATAAAACTTACCAGGAAAGGTTAAAAGAACTTAACATGTATAGCTTGGAGGAAAGACGAGACAGGGGGGATATGATAGAAACATTTAAATATATAAAGGGAATCAACACAGTAAAGGAGGAGACTATATTTAAAAGAAGAAAAACTACCACAACAAGAGGACATAGTCTTAAATTAGAGGGACAAAGGTTTAAAAAAATAATATCAGGAAGTATTACTTTACTGAGAGGGTAGTGGATGCATGGAATAGCCTTCCAGCTGAAGTGGTAGAGGTTAACACAGTAAAGGAGTTTAAGCATGCGTGGGATAGGCATAAGGCTATCCTAACTATAAGATAAGGCTAGGGACTAATGAAAGTATTTGGAAAATTGGGCAGACTAGATGGGCCGAATGGTTCTTATCTGCCGTCACATTCTATGTTTCTATGTTTCTATGGATGACATGGTCCCTGCGTGTTCAAACTCCTACTTATATAGCCTATGATACAGAACTATACAGGACTCTCTGCTGACATTTCATTTTATGAGTTAAAACGAATGCCTTAAGGATTTCCACACGAGCAACTGAATAGCTGATCCCAGACGAATGACGAGATAATGAGCAACCTCAGCAAAGACCTATGTCCCTATGGTCGAAAATCTGTCACTTTGTTTAAAGTAAGAGATTTCTTTGTTTTTAACAAATGTTATACTTTTTATAACAGTCAGAACTCTATGTGTAGTTTTTGCAATTCCCCCCCCTGTCTTTTACTGGTTTTAAGCACTGCTATGTTCTGCTGAAGATAGAATTGGAGGGAAAAATAAACTTTATAAAGGACACTTCTGATATTAAAGACTTTTTCACAAAATAATTTTAAACGTTGACATTTATATGTTTGGCCACCAATCCTGGACACTTATTGGAAAGAAGTGTTATAGAGCACAGATATTCTTGTATTTGTTTTGCAAGGAACTGCAATACAGTGACACAAAACTGCTTTAATTGACAGATATAGTGAATGAAATGGTAAACATGTGCAATTTGTTTTGTTCTGAATGTATATTCGGACAAATTTCATGAAATTTGGATAATTACAAATGTCCGAATTGCCGAAGTTCCAAATTACCGAAGTGGGGGGCGGGGCCGGGCCGCCGGGCCGAACAGACGCACTAAACATGGGCTCCGGCATTAACCTGAGCAAAAAGGCACAAAAGACTGCTAAAAAGTCGGCTATCCCGACAACAACTAACAGGGAACGACCCCAGCACACCCCAGCACACCTCGGATGCCGGCAAGAAGCACACCACAAGGTGGACGAGCAACGGAGGGCGAGACAGGCCTACACGCGGCAGAGCATCCGGCCGAGACAACGCCACGCGGCAGGACGCCACAGAGAGGCGCAGCCCCGAAACATTTCAGCGGGAGAGACGCTGCACAGATGGTTCCCTTTGCACACCCGGCCCGGGGCACGGCCCTGCCCCCCCCCCCCGGCCGGTGGGGGTTATCCCGGCCGCATGGCGGTGACCTATGCCACGGCGGGAATTCCCGCGTGGGGTGTGCGCTGGCCGCCTACACTGGCAAAAGCTGCATGTGAAGCAGCAAGCCAGCAGAAACTGTCATTAACATGGAGGGAGAGGAGAGCTAGAGTGTGGAGACACACAGACCCCGAATGAAGGGAGGCTGCTCACTCCCTGAAAGATGGTCATCCGTCAGCCTTGGCAAGACAGACCAGGAGCTGAAATGAAAAGGACCACCTGCATTCTTATGGAACTGATCCGGCACGGCTCACCGCACCCAGAGGACCACGGAAAAATGTAATGAGGGGGACTGGCATGGCCAGCTCAAGCAGGCCCAGACGATACTGAGCGCTGGACGGGGCCTACACACCGCCCACAAGCCGACTGGAGCAGTGAGTACCCCAGTCTCTGGGTATGGAGGTCCCCGGAGAATTATGTCCCTGGTGTCGTGAGCCCTGTGGGGCGGGAGTGCGCTGCCCTGCCGGCGGACCGGTGGCCGGGGGGGCTGGGCACCAGCTTTAAGTGTGAGGCCGGCACCGGGAGAGACATGGGGGTGCTTGCTCCATAGGGAACAACGTGGTACCGGGGAGGTGCAGGGGGCGAGAGAGTTGTGGACTTTGTGGTGGGGTCCAGTGGACAATCTCTGCCCCTGAGTGCCCACGGCGCCGCGGAGGACCTGTCTGGTGGGCGGGGGGCGGTGTGGGGTGAACGGACGGAGGCTCGGTGACCGGAGGACTGCATCGTAGCTGAGACATGTTGAGCCTCCCTCAGACTGCCATACAGCCCCCTCTCAAGTTCCTGCCAACCTTGCTTCCATATGGTTACGGTCCCTATTAATGTTTTTGTTGGCCTATATACTTCATTACGTATATTGCATGACTAGCCACAGCTTATTTCAGATTGACGCATTCGGAGCCACCCTGTGGATTGATAGCTCGCGTTTGTGGCTTAAAAGTTGCATTCATTTTTTAAGCTTTTACATAGTTCGCAGGTTTAAAATGCCAAAGGAATGTACAGTTTATGCTATAATGCCCATAGGGACCAAAGGTTGATAATGTCCACTAATACATACTAAATAGCTGACTGCAGCTTATTACTGTAAGCCTGACATCCAGATAGCTTTGTTATATATTAACGCACTGCAGACTGCGAACAAATATGCCCCATATGTTAAAAGTTGGGAAAAGTTTTTGTATTTTGGATTATCGCTTTCAGTCTGACTCTAATTAGCAAGATGGTTAATTTGCCTCCACACAGGCGACAGTTTGCATTCACTAACTAGCAAACACGCAGCACCTGCACACACCAGTTAGCACAAAACACTTACTTAACGCTCTCACCGAACTAAAAAGACAACACAGTCCGCCTCTGCGCAGGCAACCAAAAGTATACACTGTGTTGAATCAATGCTTAAGCCCCTGCGTGGGCAACCACTTGCTTTATTACAAATCAGTTTGACGTATGAACCTATGTTATGCATACAATAAAAATATTCAAAACAAATTACCGAAGTGCTTTGGATTTCTGAAAAGTGGCGAGAGAGGGAGGGAAAATTGAAGATTATGCTTGCACAGTGTACTAATAATCTTAATTTTAATAATGACAGGAGGCGAGTATTTGCATTAACTTTCTTTACTAACTCCATAGCAGCAAAGAAAAAAACTTTTAAAAGAAAAAAACAATCAGACTGCGTCAGAGAGTATATAAGTCCAAGCATGACCAATCATTTCCGCTTGGCTAGTGCCACATCACAAGTCAGTAAAATAGTAACTTTGTCCAATTCAACTTGAACTCTTAATCCAACGTGGAAACATTAGGGAATATAATCTTCTCAATCCCTGAGCCTTGTTAAACTGAAAAGAAAGAGAGACTAGTATCAGTGATACGGAACAGGCCGTATGAAGCATATGTCTAGGAACGTATGTATAAACTCCTAAATGACTATTAAGATGTTATGTTAGCTAAATCACGTTGCAAGAGATAACAATACTCTTCCCCTATACATATGTATTCCTACTTAACTCAAATACTGGAGACAATTTATATCCGTTAACTTTAACCTAGCTCCATAAGGGTGGGAACGTCAAGATGAAGGGGAGGGAAATACTCACCTCCTGTCATTATTAAAATTAAGATTATTAGTACACTTTTTTCTTTGCTGCTATGGAGTTAGTAAAGAAAGTTAATGCAAATACGAAGCCTCCTGTCGTGTTATAAAATTACATGAATGATGACAGGAATCTTGACCAATAAGCTAATTCCTGGCACTGGGAGCCCTATGGATGTGTAAGTGGTTGTGGTGGCAATCCTGGCACTGGGAGCCCCACAGATGTGTAAGTTGTTGTGTTGGTAGTCGGGGCACTGGGAGCCTTACAGATGTGTAAATGTTTGCAGTGGCAGTCCTGGCACTGGGAGGCGAGAGCCCTACAGATGTGTAAGTGGTTGTGGTGGCAGTCCTGGCAATTTCAGAACTGAACCAAATTTTTTGTCCATGCACACCCCTATTGAATGTTATGTTTTAAATGTTTTAAATGTTAAGAAGATTACAATATATATATATATATATATATACATATAAATGTTTTGATATAAATAAACAAACTTTTTTTTTATTGTTTTCTCTTCTTTTTAGCACAAACGACCTCTGCTCCATTATTACTTTGAGATAGACTAACAGAGAAGTTCTCAGGGAGCAAATAAAGTGTTTGTTGAATCCCTTACACACAATAGCAGCTTTCAAAATTTATTTGAGAAACCAAACTACCACAAGGTTGACATTTCTAGTAAACTTAATGCCATTTATTAGTCATATAGGTATATAAGCCTGGCTTGTTAGTAGTTGTAGTTTTGTAATTGTGGTATTTTGCAGTTGTTTAATAAAAGTAACAAGCTTATAGCTAAATAATATTGTTAGAAGCACAGACATTCAAAAAACAACGGTTTTTATTTAGATATTTTTGTGCGCCAGTCATGCATTAACATTTTTAAAATTAAAATGACTTTACACTATAATTGTAACTTTTGCTTGGAGGCATGCTTAGGAAAAATGGTATATGGGGGGGGGGGGGTGACCCATTTAAGCTAAGTGGTTACAATTTGATGAGACAATCTTTACGATTTTTGTAAGGAAGCAAAGTTTTAAAAGTATTAAAAATATATATTTTTTCCAATATCTAAATGATCAAAAGAACACTCTAAATCCCTAACATTATGTGTGAAAAAGTAGAAACTGACAATTTTATAAATGAACAACCCTTCCTGTTACTTCTTGGTTTGGTTAGCTCAGTGGAGCTAAACTCAAGAGGCATCAATTGCCCAGAGCACCTGCTTTGCAAAGACTTCTCACTGAGCTGCATTGGGAAGTATGTGATTGGCCAGCCACAGAAAGTCTGGGCGGGATTAGACAAGAAATCTGCAGCTTTTGCAAGCTGCTTTTAGATATACCTAAATTAAAGAAATGCATAAGTACATGCATATTTTAATTGGGAGTATGTACTAAGTAGTGCTTTTTATTAATTTATGTATTTATTTTATTTGGGCAGTAAAGTGTCTCTTTGTCCCTAACCCACGTCTGATTTGGTTTGAGACAGTAAAGTTAATTTCTATCTGAATAACGTTAAACATGGTGAACTTCATCAGAATCTAATATTTAGGCTGCTTTATGATTTTATAGATAACCTTCATAATGTTTGTGGTGAACTCCATGTTTATGCATATGCTGCAATGTAAACTAGAAGACTAATATATCTTTAAATATACTCAAGACAAAACACTGGCATTTTCCAATATACTGCAGTGTACATACTCATTACTTCCTGTTCTGTATCAACCACAATGGGCTGTGGTGATTATCTCCTTCTCCTAGCTCTGAATGCGTCATACTATACTGGTGAGTATAAATAACATAATTAAGTTGAATTTAAAAGGGAATTCATAAAAATGTATATTATAGCATAGTTTTTTTTTCCCCCAAAATGTTATTTGGATTTTCTGTTTGAAGCAGATGGCATGTGTCCTTTATAGCAGTGTTCCCCAACCTAGTCCTCAGGGACCACCAACAGTCCAGGATTTAAGTATTTCCCTGTTTTATTCTAATGGAGATACTGACAAACCCAGTGGTCCCTACAGACTGGGTTGGGGAACACTGCTCTATAGGATACATTATAAGTCATGCATCATTAGACACGCGACTAAAGGCCTTGATTTAATAAGCTTTCAAAATGATTCAGTATTGTTAGAAGAGTTTCGAAATGATTTATCTACAGAAGTCACCATTGAAGTCTTTGGGACGTTTCTGGAGATATATCATTTGGAACTTTTTCCAAAAGTATTGCATTATTGGAAAAGCTTATTAAATCGATGTCTTTGTCTGCAGTTCCCCATACTTGCAGACATTAAATCATGGTTAACCAAGAGTTAACTCATTAATAACTAGTTTTACTTTTGCAAAATGTATAAGTATTACTCTTGATGGTGAGTACATTTTAGATGTGGCTAGTATCTCAGGAGATTACATTTTTAGCCTTACTACCTGATAACATTCTAAGTAAAGTAATAAAAAGTAATTTAGAAATATATTTTCGAGACCTGAGCGGGGATTTACTGTATGACAAGCTATTGAGTTTCTCTAAGCTTTTGTCCGTTTTCCTATTCTCTGATTTTGTTGCAATGCATAAACTTGGCTCTCCTCAATTTAAAAGGGTAATCCAGATGTGGACCCCGTGCTCACTGTGCCTAGAAGGCTATTGATGTAGAAATTTGAAGCATGGAACCGAATGGGGCCATGGACCGAGGTAGCACTTTGCCATCCCTGTACACGTTAACTAGTCCGCAGCAAGCATTTATTTGTAGAGCTTTTCCTCCTCCCAGGGCCACTATCAATACATGAGTCAGGGGCCCTGTACGTGTAGTTGTGACTGTACCTGTATATTTATTTTTCTGCGAGCATGTGTATGTATTTGTATGTTTCTTGATGTAGATATTCATGAGTGTGAGGCTGTATTTATGTATCTGTGCGCATCTGTATGTGTGAGGTTGCGTTATGTATCTGTGTGTGTTTGCATGTGAAAGGCAGAAGTTTGTTTCTCAGACCAAAATGGCTGATAAAATCACAAAAGAAAAAATGTATAAATCAAAAGAAAATTAAACTTTATTGATTTATAATCTCAAAATAACACACAACACATAAATACCCTCTGATGAACCTTCTCTGGCGAAAAGTGCACGTTAGGGGCTCAGACGGCATCCCTTCTTTTTTTGTATATATATATATACAACCGGATCAACCAAATCAAGTAAGGGATGCAGTGATAATGCTCTTTTTTTGTTTTTAATATGTTCATTGGGAAGGTATATACTATAAAACTTTAACTATTTAGGAATTTTTATGTATTTTGCTGTAGTTCTGCATTGCAGCTAGGTGACTATTCAGGGCTGTCTTAACGCATGGACACCTTGGACAGTTGCCCGGGGCCCCATGAGCTTAGGAGCCCCATAGACTTGCCAACGTTTTAGTATGTTATTCCGGTAGATTTATTCAGAGCTTTCAGACCCTCTTTATTAAAATGTTTAGGTGGACTAATCAACTCAGTATCAGCTGTTTCAAATACATATCTTGACCTTGTTAAAAAAAACAACATATACGTAATAATTGTACATAAGTATGACAACATCAACACACATACATTTTTGAAGCAATAAAGCTATAATAAAGTAATTCTAATATTTTTCACAGTCCATGCCAGTTGCCTCCCCCTGCTATTTACTAAACATTTGTGTGGATTAATCTCTGCTTTACAGCAGGTTTCTTTAATTTTTTTGTGTGTTTGCATGTGTGTATAAATGAGTGTATTTCTGTGTGCATCTGCAAATTGATGCCTCAGTGACAGATTGCACTCTCTATATGTGTGTACTTGAGTAAATTAGTGAGGTCTAATTATTTTTTGAAAAAAAAAGTTGCATTTGAAAATGTGAAAGTGCGCTGCTATGAAATAAAATGCCCTGGACAGTTGTTGTTCCAAGTCTACTCCGGACAGCTACATACACATAGCCACACACCTCACCCACAGCTACTAACAGTAACAGATAAGAATAACCATACCTCACAGTAACTTACATCAGTCACAGCTACTCACACACATAGACGTGCGCAGCCTATTGCATTAGGGTGTGCACCCTAAAGCACAAGCACACGCCGCATATATGTATGTATGTATATATATATATATATATATATATATATATATATATATACTGCTGTGTGTGTTTGTGCTGTGTGAGGGTGCTGGTACTGTGCTATGTGGGTGTTTGTGTGTGTGTGCGACTGTGCGCTTGTGAGGATGCTGTTAATGTACTGTGTGTGAGGGTGCTGTTTGTGTGTGAGGGTACTGGTAGTGTGCTGTGTGTTTGTTAGGGTCCTGTTAGTTTGCTGTGTGAGGGTGCTGTTTGTGTTTGTGACGGTACTGTTAGTGTGCTGTGTGTGTGTGAGGGTGCTGTATGTGTGTGGGTGCCGTATGTGTGTGTGTGGTTGCTGTGTGTGTGTGTGGGGGGGGGTGCTGTGTGTGGGTGCTGTGTGTGTGTGGGTGATGTGTGTTCTGTTTGTGTGGTGTATGTGTGAGGATGTTGTGTGTGTGTGTGTGTGTGGGTGATGTTTGTTTGCTGTATGTGTGTGGGTGCTGTGTGTGGGTGCTGTGTGTGTGTGTGAGAGTGTGGTGTGTGATGTGTGTGTGCTGTTTGTGTGCTGTATGTGTGTGCTGTGTGTGTGTGCTGTTTGGGTGATTTGTGGGGGTGGAGGTGGGGGCAGATTAGTTAATAAAGATCCCCCCTCCCTTCTTACCTTATGTAGGGATGGGGGACCGTGCTGCTGCCTTCCCTGGTGGTCCAGTGGAGGTGGGGGTAGATTGCTTAATATCCCCCTCCCTTGTTACCTTATGCCAGGGAGGGGGGATCCTTTCTGCCTTCCCTGGTGGTCCTAGTGGTGAGAGTGAACTCTAGCCTGCGGGGCTAGAGTTCACTCTCAGGAGATCTGAGTGTTGCCACGGTAACCGCGGCAACGCTCAGATCTCGCAAGAAGAACCCGGCGGAGCTGCTGGCAAGAGCTCCCCGGGTCCTCTCCTGCCTTCCTCCCTGCCTGTGGGTCGGTGGGGAGGGAGGCTGAGAGCAGAGCCGGCGCTCGGATAGCGCCGGCTCTGCATGAGCCGACAGGGGGGATCCTGAGATCTCCCCTGCCGGTCTCAATACATAGACGTGCCGCGGGGATTAGGGTGTGCCCATGCACACCCGGCACACCCCGTGCGCACGCCTATGCTCACACACCACTCACAGCTACTCACACAGCACTCACAGCCATGCAAACATCACGCATAGCATATTTTGGTGCACATAGTTTTGGGGGGGAAGGAGGGGCAGCATTTCATCCTTGGACCCAGGCAGCGCAATGTCTTTACACACTGGCCCACAAACAAACACAAACAATGACCTGATGACACACATTGACTCAAATACACACATTTACTGATCCATACACATACAAACACACTGTCCCACATTGTGAACCACATGGTTACATAAACATACATAGCTACACATACAGTTATACACTGTTACACAGACATGTAAACACATACTAATACTCACACAGTTTAAAACTGTTACATACACACACTGTTACCTACTAACTGTAGACTCACATTTACGCATGTTATTACCTTGTCTTCTTACTACATTTGCATGTGCTGAGTGTCTCAGGCATCCCAGCAACCTTCTACCAAATACAGTAGATCACTGCCACCACTGAAGCCCCCCTCACATCTCCCAAACCCACAGTCCTGCCCTCCCTATTACATGGGCAATGAAGCATTTTTTTTTAATTAAAGGAAGGTTTCACAGGCCGCTTTCAACCCCTGACTGAAGCATCATTGTGAAACCCACCGTTAATATAAAACAAAAATTTGCTTGTGGAATGGAGAAAACAGGACTGCGAGTTGGGGAAATGTCAGGGGGGCACTTGTGACACCTGTCCCCTCTAATCCCCCTTCACTACACCTCTAATCAGTACAATGTAGCTATCTATATGGTCCTGTATAATAAAGGTGCCTGCTAGGGCACTACAAAATAAATATGGATATTTTGTACATTTTGTCTCTATAATTTATGTATGTGTATTTAGTTTGTGTGAACTGTTACTTTTTAGGGTAGTTTTATTTTTGTTAGTGATGCCCCTCTATATTATGGAAAGACATCAAAGAACTGCTGATTTTTGGAAGTATGGGTAAATCAAAAAAATCTGTACTAACACGCAAATAGAATAGAATACAGGCCAAGGTGTGTGTGTATAGTATAAAATATAGTTTGCCAATGCTACCTTTAAAATAATTTCCTGTTTTAATAATGCAAACAGTTAAGAAGTATTGTCCATTTTCACAGTTTCATCAAATTCATACATAGCCACAAAATGCTACCCGTTTGGCTGATATCACCCCTTAATTATATTATATCTATAGGCAGTTCTTTATTTTATCTTTAATTTTTAAAAATAGGTAATGTTCATTTATAATCGGTGTACTAAATATGTACACATAACTGTTTGTGTACTGTATCAGTAAAGACTATGTGAGCAGGGAAAGCGCTTTACAGATTTAATAATGTGTTTTGTGCTGGCATTGCAAAATGTGTTTCATGTAGTGGATGATTGAACATGTCTGATTTTCATATTAATCACATTTTTTTTTTTTACAAGTTAGTTTCAGTTGCCAGCCTTCAAACTACATCCACGAAGTCCCTGTAGAATACAGTGAAACTGTGGGTTATGTCGCTTCTGATGTCCTACTGACTTGCGTCTTTGACAATGAAACAATTGGACAAGCCCGGTGCAATGATACAGCTGTTATCTGGAGTTTAAACACCAGGATGCATTTAGTTGAATTTAATATCCATAAAGCTTCAGTCCAGTTTTGGTACAACTGGGGTCACCGCATTGAAGTTGGCGAATATTTGAAGAGCAAAAACTTTTCCATAATATTGAAGAACATCAGTTTACCTGACAGAGGCAATCTCACCTGTATCCTTTATGATGGAGCAGATTACATGATGGCTGTAAGAACAATTCACCTACAGGTATTGCAACAGCAGACTGCAGGTAATATAAAGGAACAACATTTAAAATTTAAGTTTGACATTTATCCAGGAAATCTTTAAATATGCAACTCTTGTGAGGTAGCTTAGTTGGAAAATTCCCTGACTTCAAAGCCTGTTCTAATATACTAGGTCACAGGTTCAAATCAACTCAGCCCTTCATCCTTCTGAGGTCGATAAAATGAGTCCCATCAATTGGGTAATAATAACATCTATTACTATTCAGCTGCCGATTTGATTAATTCCAAGAGCGTGCGCTGAAAAGTGTTTTGAGTCCCACTGGGAGAAAGGCACTATATAAATACTAATTACTGATATTATAATTAATAAAGGGATCTTCAATGGTACTTTACATTCATTATTTCTTTTGAAACTCGCTAGGAACTTCTTACTTACTTCTTTAATATGGTATATAGCTTATTGCACATTTTGCAAATTAGTTATATTTCGTCCCTTAATCAATTTTTTATAAGTTGCCATGTTCTGTATATTATATGTACGTATTATAATCTGCTTTAAATTGATACTATAGAGAGATCTTATTATATTTTTTCATTCATTATATATACAGCAGAAAACGTTGGCTTAACATGTAGCAAAACAACAGTACAGGTGATAAATGTACAGTACAATTCTGTCAACATATATTTTATGATAGTGATAATGTAGGAAAACAATTTTGTGACAGACCCTCTAGAGTGACAAAATAGTATGGGTACGAACTCAGTAGGTACACAACCCCAAGGGTCTTAAAGAGAGATCTTATTCACGTCAAAAGAAAATACAAATACATGTTTTACAAGTAACATGATGCAGTGTTTTCTGGGTCATTTTCTTGTCAGATATTTTCCATGTTGGCATGAAATGGTGCGATTTAAAGGTAGAAGGATGAATGCAATTACATCCCTTTGTATGTTCACATTTTCTGATCATGGGGCCCGATCAATTGTATATCTATAATAAAAACAAACCAAACAATTGTTTTTTCACACCATTACGCATTTTATTAAGAGTTAATAAATTGTACTATAAAAGTAGAGGAATATGCAGAGTTAGTAGTTAAGCTGTATTATTGCCACGACCGAATGCAATTTCAAATAAAAGTCCTGCTATTGTTTTGTCAGTAGTGAAGGGGTTAAGTATGAAGGTCAGAAAGTCCGTTATATAGCAGGGTACATACATACACATCGCTTCCTGTTCTGTACTGACCACAATGGATTGTGCTAGTTATCTCCTTCTCCTAGCTCTAAATACATCATGCTATCCTTGTGAGTATAAATAGCTTTTATTTTGTCAGTTACATATGCACTTCAATTTGACATTCAACGAATAAACCCCACAGTATTTAAAAGTAGAGAAAAATTAAGATGTGCATATAATTGTTTTTGTTGCTAAGTTGCATGTAGTTTGTTGGAGCATCCATGATTTACAAGGTTAACCTGCGGTAGAATATAATGATTTACATAATTCCACAGCACGTTACAACTAAAAATAAGGGAAATAAAACAGATAATTGCCAAATAGTAGAAATTAATGTTTGAGCTGTCTGGACTTAGATTTGCACTAATAAATTGAAAGGAATGCCAAAATTCACTACAGTATTTATTATGAAGGAGGTTGCGCTTATATAAACCTGTTGATAAAGCGCTTATAGGAGACGCAAAACGCGTCCTCATCTGTGCTTGGTAATGTCCACCTAATGTCCACCTGTCTTTTTTTTTTTGTCCCCCGTTGTTGAGCCAATTTTCTAATGATTTTTTTTTTTTGTGTTGCTGATGTGCCATATTTATAAGATTTAATATTATAATGCATTTCTAATAAAAAGAAGATCTTTTGGATATAACTCCTTACAAGCATTTTCTCGCTGTGGGATAGTCAATTTTAAGATTTATTTTTTTTCTTCTTTTTTGATAATTTGTTATTTTTGATGTGCATATAAGTACAAATCAGCATTTAACGCCACAACAGCGAAGGCATGCTTACAACATTTTTAAAACAGTGGCATGAGAACTGCACATTTAAAAAGATTAATTAAACAAGCTAGGCTGGCATGTCTATATCAACACCAGTAATGTGGGACTACTTAGTCAGGAGTGGATAGACATCTGCGTACGATTCATTAACAGACTGAGTACGGTAAAACATATAAAACTGAAATCATGGCATAAGCTGATTGTAGGTAAAAATACGATTACTCTAGGACATGTTATAGAAGAGTGAAACCACTGGGGTTAAGTTTAGCATTACTTCACCACTCCTCAAGCAATAAAATGAAAAGATAAAAACAAAACAGCAATATTGATATCATTTAGTGAGACTAAAAGGCAGGTATGCATCTGTTCTTAGAACAGGAGATGGTAATGCAGGCGTTGAACTTGTAGCTAGAATCAGCCGATTCCCTTAAGCGGCAAGGTTAGCGTTACTGTAATGATGTCTGGTAGTAAGGCCACATAGCAGTTCCAAGGTGTTGCGATCTTGCAGGCCAACCACCATATTCCCCAAGCCTGGGCGCTCCCAGTGATAAAGGTTTTCCTCTGCTCGGGATACCCCGAGAATCCAGGCATTGGTCGCTGCTTTTGGCAGGTGTTCCACTGCAGCCCCACAGCTCTCCGAGCCCAGGACTGAACGGGAGCCATATACATTTGTCCACGGACCCTTGTGCGTTGGGCGGCAGGATCGGGACCCTCATGGGCCCTGTGGGAGAACTGTGTGCCGGAGTAGCGGACTGCTTTGGTGGATCAAGGATGGCGCTGGGTAGTTAACTAAGTACCTGTAAAAAACAAAAAAAAAACTTACCATTTGATGTCTTCTTTTTTCTAAAATCTTATTTTTTCACCCCCAAAAAAGGCCAAATAAAAATCCTTAATGACCGTTGCAATTAGAAAAACAAAACAAAAACCCGAGCGCAAATTTTTTTTTATCCAGCATGGAAGGCTCCGCGCAGACTGAGCTCTGCAAGGCGGGGGAAGGCTTATAAAGCCTTCCCCCCCCTGCAATTAGGCTAAGAACACTCTGATTGGCTGGATTTCAAGCTTACCCATCAGAGTGCTCTGTGTCATTTTACTCAGCGTGGGGAAATTCAGAAGAACTTTCCCACGCTGTGTAAATTGACACAGAGCACTTTGATTGGCTTAAACCAACCAATCAGAGTGTTCTTAGCCTAATTGCAAGGCGGGGCAAGGCTTTATAAGCCTTCTCCTGCCCTGCAGAGCCCAGTTTGGGAAAGCCCTCCATGGATGAAGATGGATTTTTTTTTTTTTCGCTCTGTTTTTTTTTTCTAATTGCGACGGTCATTATGGATTTTTATTTGGCCTTTTTTGAGGCTGAAAAAATAAGATTTTAGAAAAAAGAAAACATCAAATGGTAAGTTTTTTTTTTTTTACAGCTACTTAGTTAATGGTCCCCTCATTATTTTTAGGGTGAGGGGGGTAGGTAGGGGTTAATTTTTTTAGGGAGGGGGGTCACTAGGGGTTTGGGGACCCCTAGTCACCTGGGAGGGTTACATTTTTACTTAGTGCCCCCACCTGTTGCGGTACAGCGAGTAGGGGCATAATTTACTAAAAGACCAATTCAGGTCTTTCAGCCTTTTAGTAGATAGTTTCCTAATACCGTGGGAATAAGGGAGTTATCTACTTATTCATTCCTGTCATTCCATTGATTGGCTAAGTAACTTACATTTTATATGAATGCGTGTTTCTTGATTGTTGTAAGTGTTGCAAATGCTTACGGCTGAATCCTGGCTATGTTTGTATACTTTTTATTTAAAACTTGTATACAGTGTAACATTCTTCTTCTTCCACTGGGTAAGTATATTAGTAGATAGGCAATACTGTGCTTCGGAACTTCGGCACTTCGACACTTCGACACTTCAGAAATTCGGTAATTTCGGAACCTCGGCAATTCGGCACTTCGGCTATTCGGACATTTGGAAGTACCCGAATGTCCGAATTGCCCAAAATTCGTCCGAATTCATATTCGGACTGAAACGAATTGCACATGTCTAATATATGCCATCATATGCCCATTTGGTCTTTTTATGTTGGACGTACCATACGCTCCTTAAATGTACGCGATCAGGAACATCAAAAATGGTTTTGAGAAGCACAGTCTTTCATTACATTTCATAAAAATGCATAATAAAAATCCAAGTAACCTCCAATTTATGGGCATACAAAAAAAATCATACCAAATTGGAGAGGTGAAGATCTGATACAAAGAATAGGTCAGATGGAAATGGGATGGATTTTTAATTTAAATATAATAATACCTCAGGGGCTGAATAGCGATTTTGAACTTTGTCACTTTTTTTTAACAGTTTAATAAATATTTTATTCCCTCCATATTTATGATTGCTAATATGCATTTTCTATTTATTTTTACTGTCTTTTATTATGTTGTTCAACATACTTTTTAATGTAAGACCCCTCATTTCTTATATCCCTATTCAGAATACTATTTTATATATTTCTAATATGTTGATTAGGCTGAATGTCCTCTGATCAATACTGGACTTTACAATATTTAAGTTGAGGGATAATTATATTTACTTGCAACATTATCATAAGCATATTGCCAATATGTAACTTTCCTGTTACTTGTTTCCGTTTTTATCCATTACCTCTTATGGGAGAGGCTGTATACCAATAGAGACTCTGTTGCCAACTTGCCATCAAGCAAAATGGCGATCATGGACTCAGCCATATACACGACTAAGAAGGGCGTCACGTCACTTGCGGGTGACGTAATCGGAACCTGGCAAATCACACATGATGGAAGCAGAGCGGTTGGTGGAAACCACGCAGCAATTACCCAACAAGGACTCCACTCACCATTTAAAAAGAAGACTGGACACTGGAACTCCACACCGATTGAAAAAGCCGATATGGCGAAACGCGTCTCGGGAACCACCCAAAGGATTGAAATTTGTGAAACTGTCACGTATTTGTTGTTTTATATTTAAAGTATCTTTTACAATAAATTAAATTTTAACTTAAAACCACATCTTCTTCTGTGGACTTCAAAACCAAGTGTTCCAGTTACCTAAAGAAGGGGTTGTATCCTCTATTTGGTACACAAGCTACTATACTTAGAGCCAGGTTTAACGGCTCTAATCAGGATACATCACCTGAAGGATTCGTGATCCTAAATACAAGCCTGCTAGAGTGATCTGAGCCTGTAATAATTAGGCTCAGAACCATGTGAGTGAATCCAATTAAAAACTATCTACACTTTCACCCACTCTGAACGTACTATACTATTTGCTATTTCCCCACTCATGTTACCAAAGTCCCAGGGGGTGAGTTATTTTATTCTGAGCGCTCCACCTCTGACTGGGGTTGGTTTTTATACCACACAGTTAACTACCATATTCATCATTTGCTTTGTTCTAAGGAGTGAGAGAATTACACATTGGTGGTAGCAACACAGACTTATTCACTGCTGTACTATCATTGTTATAAGCCCCTGTATACACAATATCACTGCTATTGTTATCTTGTTAAGTGCCTGCTTAATCAATTTTCTAAAATAATCTACATTTCTCTATTTTCATTTCTTTGTTTCCCCTAGATTCCTGATTATACTTATTCTATCTCCCTATTAACCCCTTTATCCCCTTGTGCTATTAACTGCAAGAAAGAAAATCTGTGATTTCTCTTATTTTATGTATGATTCTTTTTTCGTCTTCCCTTGTTAAAAAGTTGAGTGCCACTAGTGCCATTTTTTTCTCCTTTCTTTTTTCTTTTCTTTCCCCTCTAGTATTTGGGACCTCCCCATTTGTTGACTAGTGGTTGGAGCTGTTTCCGATTTTATTTTTGTTTAACCAACTTTTTCGGTCTTCTGCATAATTAATAGTTGTGATCTTCCCTTCGTGAGATATAATAATTCTCGTTGGGAATCCCCATCGATAATTAATATTATTCTGTCTTAGAATTAGTGTGCCGTCAGAGAAGGTCTTCCTTTTTTGTCTGGCTGGCCATGAGAGATCCTGGAATATTTTCAATGTTTTGTATTCTTCTGCGCATTTATTGCTTGTTATGGCTCTCAAAATTTGCAACTTAAGGTTATTTCACTCTGTGCCATCTTTCCATTATGGAGATTCTGGGGACCCATTCCACCATCAGATGCTTAAAGAATTCCTCTATGTATGCTTCCAGATTTTTTATATTTATTTGTTCTGTTACTCCTCTAATTCTTAAGTTAATCCGTCTTGACTGGTTCTCTAGGTCTATAAGTTTGTACTACATGTCAGCCATCTTTTTTTCCAGCACCAGACGTTCTTCTTTGTGGACCTTTTCCTTTAGTTCCAACCTGTTTCGTTTTTCTTCTATTGCTTGAAAACTTTGGTTGAGAGTCAACAGTTCTTTCTTTATGTCTGGAGTATTAGCTTGGATTTCTTCTCTCAGTTTTCCAAACTGTGTATCTAAATGTCTGAGTAGGTAGTCATATTTATTTCTTCCTTCTCTTGACTCTTGTGTTTCTTCCGCTTGTTCTTTATTGATGCCTTCCTCTGATGGAATATTAGAGAGAAGAGATTCCTCCATGTTTGTTTTATTACTTGATAGGTTTGGCGAAAAGAAGGAAAGGCGTTTTTCTGTTTTGTATTTCAGGCTTCTTCTCTTTTTTTAAGTGCTTGCCGTTTTGTGTCTTTTTTGTAGCCATTTGTATTTTAATTTGTATTTGTGTTTTAGTTTAACTCTTTTTCCTGGAGGTTATATGCTCTTTAGGCTAGAACTATCTTTGCTTTTAGTGTAGTACCCTTTTGTATCTTGCGTTTCTTGCTCCCCAACTTCTTATGCTCCTCACCTTCACTCCCACCTTCACCTTTCTATCCTGGCACACAATTATGTTTTATAATTTTTTTCCCTTTTTCCTTCCTCTTCTGTTTCCTATTCTGTTGCGCAGAAAATCGTGCTAAGTAACAGGAATAGGTGAGAAGCGCAAGTGGTGTGAGAGCAAAGAGAAAGATCCAGACAATATCTAGAAGGGAAAGCACTAGAAGTAACAAAAGCCTCTGGGCAAATCCACCTGGCACACTGCAGACCTTTTTAGTAGACTTTCCCATGCTATGGAAATTAACTGGTTTTAAATAATTTTTAAATCATGTATTGCCCCCTGATTGCAGATCTCTATAATATCCCTATTTCACCTCTTCTTAGGGGTCCACTGATTTTCAGGAGACTCAATGTTTATTCCAACCCCTGCAGAGTAAACATATAATGTAAACAGACTGACAAATTAGTAACAACTGGCACTTAGCTTGCGGAGGTGCTCTCCCGCTTGCTGTTTTCTCCTATTATCCATGTTTTCTATTCGCGTTGAATGTACTTGCATGAGTTGGCTCCCTTGGGTTTATCCGTTGGGGTATCTGGCTGGCTGTGGCTTTGTCCGGCGTAAGGATAGCTCCCTACATCCCCCTGCTTCTCTGTTTTATGCGACACCCTGAGTGGCACACCAAGTAAGTCGGGTTGTCTCCTCCGCTAGTCAGCTCCCTCGATCGTTCCCTCAGCCGCAAGGATATTTTGGATATTAAGAACCAGCAAGCTTGGATTTTAAATATAAAATCCTCTCCTGTTTATTTGAAACAGTTGCAGAACAACATCAAGGAAACAAAAACAAAATAGAGGATGGGATTATGATTCAAAAGGACCAGGGACAAAAACTAACAATAGACTGTACAAAAACTACAACTTCTGGATGAGATCCAAAAGGTTAAAACTTTACAGTCTATGGTTACTGTAACGGAGCTCCAGTACTCGGACCAAGTACCTCCGCCAAGTCTGCTTCCTTGTAGCTATCAGGGACCCTGAAACACTTCAGACCCAGACACCGAGGCTTGACTGGGATCACTTAGGGTTTTTTCCACCCTGGACCAAACACCAGACGACACATGGTGAAGGTTAAACAGCAACTCTTTAATGAATACAGCACACATAGTTTAAGCCCCCAACAACCTCATTTACATACAATAGGCTAAAAAGAGCACCACAGTACATGGAAGGGTGGAGTCAGACAATAGCAAGGGCTTATGGGAGATTGAGGAGGGACAGGGCAGCCAGTTTAAACTGGTCTGGCAGTGTCCCTGGGACAACGCCCGGCTGGGGAAACAATAGGACAGGAAAAAGGGGGACCAGCAATACATTCAACATACCCTGCACAAATAATAGGCACAGTGTGACAAAACACAAAAGGAGTTTGGGAGCCCACCCATAGTGTCTGTCTTCCATCTCCAGTGACGGTAACTACCGTCACAGTTACTTTTAATCCCTTGGTATTCGAAACACTACGCATTCTTTAGTTAAACAAAAAGCTGTGTTTAAACAGTGCTCATCCTAACAACTTTGCTAAATCCTGGACACTTGTATACATTGCAGAATGGAGATGCAATCATGATCTCATTGATAGTGAACGTTTGATCAGACAGCATCAGGTTATCAGATTAAGAATTATTTTTTGATACTGTGGAGTTTAAAAACAACGAATTGTAGAAATAAAATCCACATTACAAATATATACTAGAATAGCCATTCTGTGATTATAGCTCAGTTATTTTCTCAAACAGCTACTGTTGTCCTCATTTTGCAGTTTGGGGTTACATTTCACTACAATTCTATGTTTAGCAAATAAACCCCTTAGTGTACATGGATGTCCTCACCCAAAGTCCAACTTTGCAGATTCCGCACTACTGCACTAATCTAGTGTAAGAGACCAAAAGAGTCATGTAGTATATCTCTCACACCTTACTTGAGCAAATAAAATATGTAATTATCACATTGCAAAATTACAAAAAAAAATGTAAGTTAAAATATCAGGGAAAAAATACACATTTGTAGACAGAATAGGTACTCCTGGTGGACATGCATGTTTGGTAGCTGCCTTCCATGCCTACTGCAATCCAGCCCTGATTGCCACTGACTGTGAGAGGGGACAACAATAGATATTTGTTTTGTTTGTAAAGGAATGCAATTTTATTGATATTGCAGCATTTGTTAAATGTATTGAATGACTGGGCATCTCTGGTGTTTATAGTAATAGTATTATTTTCTCACAAGTTAGTTTCAGTTGCCGATCTTCACGCAGCATCCATGATGCTCCTGTGGAATACAGTGATACTGTGGGATACGTGACTTCCGATGTGCTACTGTCCTGTGTTCTAGACACTAACACAATAAAACAAGCCCAGTGCAATGACACATCTGTTGTATGGATTTTAGGCACCGGGATATATTTGGTCGAATTTAACTTTCAGAAGGATTCAGTGCAATTTTGGACCAGGTGGAGCCAGCGTATTGAAGCTAATAAGGACTTTTTGAAGACTCAAAACTTTTCTATTGAATTTAAGAATGTCAATTTGTCTGATGGAGGTAATCTGAGCTGCATACTGTATGATGGACCAAAATATGTGATGGCTGGAAGAATAGTCCACTTGCGCATATTGCAGGTATTGCAGCTGCAACCCAAAGGTAACGTCATTAAATAAGAAAGCATAATTTTAAATTAATACTTATTCATCCCATTAGCTCATATTTGCTGTAGATTTAACCGTGGAGATTGATCTATAGGGGCAATAAGATTGGTTTTCTAGGGGAAGCGAGATAATCTAAAAAATATGAAAACAAACTAGATTAACATACTCCAACCATTTCCATATATATTTCAAAATAAAATAAAAAATCTTTCCCCCAATTGGTTGCTGTGTGGAGAAGTTCTTTTGAGAGCAACTAGGCATGTCAAAAATATGGGACAGTTTTGAAATCTGTCCTATTTCAGCAGGTTTTGCACATGTCTTATCTTATAGGAGCCGCCTATTGAGTTGCTATTCGACCAGCAGAGCTAGCTGCCCATTAGTGAAGTCATACTATTGGCCTTTCTATTCAGGGGCCATAATTGGTTCATAACACCAAAGGGTGGGGTTTCAGAGACCATAGCAGAGAGAAGTAAGCAGCTGCTGTCCCCTGCCAGATGTAAATGTATGATATAAGAATTTTGCGGACCCCTGCAACCGGGTGCCCACTGCCATGTGTTTTGGCCCCGGCCCCCGCGGCAAATCGCTGGGGCCGCACATTCAAGGGGCCCATCGGGTGGCCCATGCTGTGAGGGCCACCTGCTGGAGATGAATTTCCAGGGGGCTCCGGTCAGCGCTGCGGCGCTTTTACAGCACGACTGGGCCCCCTGTGATGACATCATAGCTGGGAGTAAGTGACTGCCCATTACTCCTCCTAGCTATCAGTGAGAGCCCTTGCGGGAGGAAGGAGTCACAGTGGGAACCAGGAGGGTGACTTAAACATTTTGTATATGTGTGTTTTTGTTTGTATGTGTGTATGTGTTTGAGTGTCTGTCTGTCTGTGTGTGTGTGTATGTGTCTGTATGTATGTGTCTGTGTATGTCTGTCTGTGTGTGTGTTTATGTATGTGTATCTGTATGTGTGTATGTGTTTGTATATGTGTGTGTGTGTCTCTGTATGTATGTGTGTATGTATCTGTCTGTGTCTGTGTGTCGGTCTGTATGTATGTATGTATGTGTGCCTGTCTGTCTGTATGTGTCTTTGTATGTATGTGTGTCTTGTGTGTATGTATCTGTGTGTGTGTGTGTGTGTCTGAATGTATATGTGTCTGTAAGTATGTATGTGTCTGTCTGTATGTATGTGTCAGGGAGACAGCCACTAGAGGCTGGATTAACCCTGCAGTGTAAACATAGCATTTTCCCTGAAACTGCTATATTTTCAGCTGAAGGGTTAAAACTAGGGGGACCTGGTACCCAGACCCCTTCATTGAGCTGAAGTGGTCTGGGTGCCTATAGTGGTCCTTTAACCCCTTAAGAGGTTATGATTCCCTTTTATTCCATAAATTTGGTCCTTAAGGGGTTAAAGTGCTCCGTTACTGAGACGCATGTTGTGGCTAGTTGAAAAATTGTGTGAAGTCCCACACCGCATGAGTGGGCTGTGACTCAGATTCTGGTTTCCGTCTGTAATTATTGTTACTACTGTGAACCAAGCCAGCTACTTGTTGGCTCCATATTACTATTGCAGATTACTTATATTGCTAGTTGCAAAGGTAATAAAGATTGTATCAGTATCCTGCTGCTCTACCCTCCTAAACATGAATCTGACATGTTACATAACAGCAGCAGAATTCACTAGAAAGCTATAGTTTTCATAACAGAAGCAATATTGAAGTTGAGATCAGAAAAGGGAAGAATAGAGAGCTATTTTACTGTGTGATGATTCATGCCTCCCAATAGTCCAGATTTTAGTGGGACAGTCCTGATTTTCGGGTCCTGTCCCGCCGTCTCGCCTTTGCTCCCTGGCATTCCACTTTTGCGGACACCAGGGAACCATCCCCAACAATCATAGCATGACTGCATCATAATACGAGCTCACACTATGTTCAGGGCACTTGGACCAATGCAGGGAGCACTGAAACAGTGCTCCTTGCAGCGTCAGTCCTCATTGGGCAGGCAGCCTAAAGTGTATTCACACAAGGCTGAACTGTAAGTAATGTGGGCGGACCTCCTTTTGGCCAGAGTCTTTGATCACGTCACTGGCCAGCTCCCTTTACCCCCTCAAACTGGCCTCCCGATTTTGGGACTGCTGATGTTGGTAGGTATGGGTATCTCTGTATTGCAGCTCTGTGTAATCCATCACAGTGATCCTGGCTGTGTGGGATAGTTATGGGAATCTCCTTATTGTGCCCAGCTCTGTTGTATACAACAGAGTATTTCACTCAGCTCAGCTTGTTGTATTGGTATCTCTGAAGTACTCAGCTCTGGGTATTTAAAGTGTAACTTTGTGTTGTGACAAGTTCAGTATGTTGTATGTGTACCTCTGTATTATGCTCAGCTCTGTGCATTGTATTGGTATCACCTAATTGTACTGGGTTCTTTGTATTATATGGTATCTCTATATACCTGGCTATGTGTATTGTATGGGTATCTCTGTATTGTACTTAGTTCTGTTTATTGTATAGGTACCTCTGTATATCTCTATATAATAACTAACTATAAATATTGTGTGGGTATCTCTGTATTGTACTTAGTTCTGTTTATTGTATAGGCACCTCTGTATATCTCTATATAATAACTAACTATAAATATTGTGTGGGTATCTCTGTATTGTACTTAGTTCTGTTTATTGTATAGGCACCTCTGTATATCTCTATATAATAATAATAATAACATTTTCTTGTTCTAGAATTAAATTCAGACATTGTAAGGTCATCCTCCTAATAACCTAAGTGAAGGATTAAAGTAACATAGAACAGTTACACATTTATAATGTTGGTAGCTTGTATGTACTATGACGGTTACAATGTAAAGAAACACTTTAAGAAACATAACTTTTACAGTTCGATGTAGAGATCATGTCCCCTAGAGTGTGCAATCCCCCATTTTAAAATAAAAACATTTAAGAACAGTCTGATATTAACCAGTACTCTTCTTGGCACCCGGGGACTGCCCTCTCCTCAGAAACATGTGATAATGTGAATCACTTACATTCCATCTAAATAGTACTGATTGGCCGATAATACTGGCTCATTCCATTGGCCTCCTAGAAAAGCCCTAATTTATATCAAACCATTCTTAACGTTCTTAATTTTTTGAAGAAAAAAGATACAGGACATCAGAACGTAGTGGAATATATGACATTGGAGAAGTAGAAAGTATCAAAGCCAGGTAATATGAGTGTTGGTGATACTAGTGATACATAAGATTGTGCCATTGCAGTATATCAAGAAACATACCCCAGAAAAACAAATAAAGGTAACAGTGTCAACTATAGGCCTATGAATAGAATGTCTGAAAGAAGAGGAAAAAAGAGTGAGTGGCGGAAAGGGAAAAAGAACAGGGCCAGAAATATTTTAATTTATTTTTTTCTTATTGCTTTCATACACTCTTACAATTTGAAAAATTGTTATGGTGCCATGTTTCTTTAAGGAATTAACAAATGGTTTAACTCCAAGCTCTACAAAATGACACTTGATTTCATATGCAGGTCCGAGCCTGCAATCAGAGTGTCTTTAGACTCCTTAGTTTTAGATTTAGTTTAATTTAGATTCCTAATTGAAGCCACGGGCAGCCATAGGATGTGGAGAGGCAGAGTGATCAAGCACCATTTTTTACACATTGGGGTTAAAGTGATCATTAATGGTTCAACCCCCCTAAGCTCTCAGATGGCATTCTGAAGCACCTTACACAATAACAACTTCATTGCAATGAAGTGATTATGGTGCCTGGAATGGTCCTTAAATGGACATGCTCTGCCTTCTTTTACATTTATATAAAAGATTTAGCAAAGTACATCATAATCTAGTTCAGGTAACGCAAAGAGAGAGCAAACATTGTAACGAAGAGAAGAAACAGAAACATTGTTTCATTTCTCCTATTCTCTGTATGCTTTCTCTAGGCTGACTGTCAGCAGCAAGGGACAGAATTTATACCATGTAATTAGATGCTCTCAATATTGGTTATATAATTTGGTTTCAAAAGCATGTATTAAATGTTTTGTCTTTACTTTGTCTTCTGTTCTTTCTCTTACAGACAATCACAGTTTTCTAGTTGTCCGCTTTTTTGGTGGGCTGGTCCTTGTACTGTTTGGCACGGCTATAATCTCCGTTTTGCATTTCAAGGGTAGGATTAATATTACATATCATTTTAATTTTCTTTTTCTATCTGTTTTCTATGCAGATTTATGAAAGCTTAGAGTTCTTTCTAGACACTAATATCAACAAAGGTTTCTTGATTGGGCAGACTAGATGGGCCAAATGGTTCTTATCTGCCATCACATTCTATGTTTCTATGTTTCTATGTTTGATTTATAGCTCATTTTATACTTATTGCAATTCATTTAAGCTTCACAGATATATTTTAATCAGAACTATACAAAAACAAAATAAGAAGGGTAAATAGCTCTTAGAAATGGTAACATAATATAATCAGGACAAATGTAAGAAAATAAAATTTACTTTAAGAGAAATGTGTATACAACTCGGCATGTAAATAAAAACATAACACATTCGTTATAACGCTGCAGAATTTGTTGGCGCTTTATAAATAATAAAATAAGAAAGCAAAAAGTCTGTCAAACACAATCAACGGAATCAGATTCCATAGGTACATTTTCAATGTTCAATGTATAGAATTCCCAAGCAATTTTATTTGTTATTTAAGAGGACCGTATTTTAATCAAGAACATAATTTTATATTCAAATTACAAGGATAGTGCATAAAGGGACTATACAATGTGAATACAGAAAATAGATTAAAAAAACATATTCACTGGAAAAGTCTCACTACAGAATGATGCCTTTCTATAGAGACAGAGGTTAGTACAGCCTGTCATTGTTTGCATGTCACAAGAAGACATTGTGACATAGGATACAATATATTATATATATATTGAGAGATCCTGCACGTGAGAATATCTTATCTTTCCCCTCTTTCCTACTATGCCACTGTCCGAAGTCACACCTCACACCTCAATACATTTAACAGTGATAATTGACCTATGGATTACAATTCTGTCAAATCTTACCTTCTTTGGATTAATGTTTTTTTTCAGCTTTATTTCAGGGTTTTTGATCTCTTTATTTTTTTATATTTTTTAAAATGTTTAAATAAGACATACAAAAATGATAAAAATTACAAATGTTATATACAATCAATACAAAAATAATTCTAGAGTATAGTTATTCGTAGGTCTTCATATCTTCCATTATCCATACACTTTATATTAACGGACTGGAGACTAGTATTCCCACGACACTATATTCCCAATTGACCTTAAATATACGATACATAAGAAAACAACATAACAAAACAACATTCCATCTGCCCAGAGACTATCTATAGATTGATATATTTAATTAATTGATTAAGGGTATTAGTTAGAACTGTAGGAAATTTGATCAACCATTTCCCCCAAATATTCTTAAACAAAGACAATTTCTGTCTATTGGCATTATAGCCACGTTCCATTATACTTTGGTTGGAGATCTGATTTTTTATTTGAGACAACTCAAGGGCTCTCCTAAAAAAGGATATATTTTCTAGCTCAGAGTGAAAAATCGCTATTTACGGGCATGCTGGTATTAATATTTTAACTAATTCTGCAATCAAACAAAAGATTTCAAGCCAAATAGTATTAATGTTGTCACAAGACCACCACATATGAAGAAGGTCAGCCTGGTCTTTTTTAAATCTCCAACAGTAACAGAATTTATAAAGTTTTATCAGATAATAGTGCCATCTTTATCCTATTTTGTAATGTAGTTCTTGAATTTTTAAGCCGTGAGTGATTTTTCCAATTTGGATCCAAGATGCGACCCATTGTTTTTTATCTATTGTTTTTTAAAGCTTCTTTCCCCAGTTCTCAAAGGCTTTGGATTTTATATTTTGAGCTTTATTTTCCAGATTGTCATACCAGGCTCTCATTATCTTCTTATTTGATATTTAATAGGTTGTCTAGGTAAGTTTGTTTATTTTTATCTGGATTTTTATACATATTAAAAGGGATATAATGTTTTGCTCTAATTATGGAGAAGTAATCTTTTAAGGTAGCATCATTCTGTTTTCTATAATTTGATTTGTTTCCATAAATTTAGAAGTTTGATACAAATTTGAAATTCTTAGATTTTTATAATGGAAGCCTCTTGATAATTTCATATCTTTCATATTAAATTCAAGAGCTTCTAATGGTGTAGCCATATTACATTTATCCTTTAAGCCATTTTTTTGTTTAAACTGAAGCCATTCATTGATTAGATGAATTATTATTCTAGACGTACAACGTAACCGTAACCGATATTTCATGTCTTTCTCCCCATGCCATGATGTTATTTCTGAATTAGAGATTCCCATTAACTGTTGTTCGTTTAAATACCATTCCTCTATTTTATTTGTCTCTAGTTGAATTTCAGATATATGAGTTAAGAGGCTCGCTTGTTGATATCTAAGTATTTCTGGTAAACTCCTTGTTTTTTATTTAAAAATAAGCTATATTTGGAAATTCTTGGTTTTATACCTGTCCATATAAACCTTCCAATTATTGCTTAGAGATTTTCCAAAAGTTTTTCTGGGGCTTTTAACCGAATCATTCGAAATATATATAGCCATAAAGGTAATATATAAGATGCCACACAAATAAAGTCCCCCATGCACAGGAAGGTACCTCGGATATGATCTTTTATTCTCGCTAAAACCCCATTCAAGAAGTTAACCTGTATCTTACTAGGAGCATATATATTTAAAATTGAATATTTTTTATCATTAAGTTTACATATTAGAAATAGATATCTTCCATCCAAATCTTGTATTTTATACGTCTCTTCATATTTAACATCTTTAGAAATCAAAATCATAACCCCTCTTTTTTAGCCTTTGGTAAAGAGGCGTGTAACACTGTAGGATAAAATTTGTTTTTAAGTCTATTAGTGTGGCGGATCCAACCTCGCCACTATGCACTGGAGAAGCCTGGTTGCCCGCCTGCTGCCTTTAGACCATGACCCCATGTTGAAACGCTTGATTTTCCCCTGCGTAGACACGAAAGCCGGGTCATTCGGTACTAGCCCTGTTTGAGCAGTGATACCCCAGATAGCTATGCCATGGAGCCCATTCGTATAATGAAAGACTATCGGAAAGACTTTGGCTCCATGGCGATTTAACTGTATGTGTGTGCTCTGAGCGCCATTCAGTAATAATGTGCGCTCAGATCTGAGCTATCTGGGGATATGTTGAATGTACCTGTTTTGTGCAATGGCTGCACAGTTATATATTTTTATGTGTTTTATTGTCTTTTGCTGCCATGTGTTCAATGGAGTTTTGCCTCTGTCCTTGGAGATAATTGGATTACTTCCCAATTATCTCCAGGATAGAAGACTCTGTGGAACTGGTTTTGGGCAGAAAAGCCATGCTTCATTTGGTCACAAAGGACTTCGATCTATCTTTTGAACCAATGGACCAATTTGGATGATTTTGACATATGTTTGTATTTGGAGTATGCTGATTCTGATATGTGAATGTGATTCATACTTTTCAAGTTATGAATAATGTGGAAAAACTGAATTTCTCTGGTTGTGATAATTACATTACCCATTGTGTAAGGTAATTGTATCACAGGCAGAGGGGAGGATTTTGTGTGGGAGTGTCTGAGTGTATTGTACATATTTATTGGTTGTTTTCCAAAACCCTGTGGGTGGTACTAATGTGTAAGAAGGTGTATATAAAAACAATAAACCCACAGCTCTGTCTGATTCTGCTTAACCCTGAAACGAAGTGTCGTCTCGTTAATGGGGGAATTGGATTGTATGCTGACTGCCAGGAGTGTAAACCTTTCGTATGGTTTTTCCTGTTCAGCTTTTTACAGTATTCGTGAGTTTCCTGTTCGGGAGTTGGAGAATTCGTGTAGTTTGCAGTTCGGGAGATTGGTGATTGCAGTAGCTGTCTGTGCATCTGAAAGGGGAATATCGCCTAAACGGTTTTTAACCTCTTGTGGGCAAAACGTCCGTTACAATTAGCATCTTCTTTGATACAGTGGGTCTCTTGTAAACAACAACAATCTTTTTTTTCTTTCTCAGCATTTAAGTAAGTGCTAATCTCTTCTGTGGATAATTAATACCCTGAATATTTAAAGTTAATCTCCCATTATGTAATATTTCCAGAAACGTTTCTGGTTTTTAGGTCACCTGGTGAGGTGGAACAAAACAAACAATAATCAAAACAAACAGTTAAAACATATACATGTAAGTGGCTTTCCACTTTTTTGTACGGATAACTCATAATGGTGTACTGCCCTCACACCTTAGAGTATGTAACACACCCTTATGTAAATTGTTCAGTTGTCCCAGGATTTCTAATTTTATACTAAGCTTTTATTTAAATTCTCTTAACCCGGAGATTTCTAGTTTTCAGGAATTAGTTAATTAATAGTTAATTAATAGTATGAGGGAGAAAAGATGTATGGAGAAGGAAAGAGAGGAGAGAAAAGTGTTCCACTTAATCCCCTCTATCCCATCTATTTCGGTAAGTTTTCTCTCTCTCTCCTTACCCCCTCAGTCTTCCCCTCCCTTATCTGTAAAATCAAAATTAAAAAAAAAAATTCTTTTAACTTTCTCTTCCATTTTCCCTTTCTTTCCCTCTCTTTGTTAGAGAAAGAAATAAACAAATGATTTTAATTTACAGACTTTACTACAATTTTGTGTGTTATATCATATGGTGTATATACTAATTATACTAATAATTATGTGTTCAAATTCTATCATTTCCGATCCACTTGGTTGAGGGTAAAGAGGATAGTCTCAGGATATCTTATGTTATATACAATCTACCTATGGCATTCAGAAATCATATAATGTCTTAGATACATAGTTTTATTGTTGTTTAATTATCTTCTATCAATCATCCCCCTTTCCTTTCTTTATGGCTTTCATCCCGTTCTCCCTCCTCTCAAACCATTCCCCTTGCTTTCTATTGTATCTTTTTAATATATTTAATTTTACTTATTTTTCCTTTTATTATTTTCCTCCTTTTCCTTCCTTCTTCCCTTCCCTCTTTTTTGTGTAAATCTAATCACATAAATCTAAAAAATAATTTGCATTTTTTGTGTGCAATCTATGTGAATTCTGATATTCTTCACTCAATAAAGTATAATTATTTATTATTAGTGTTTTTTTATTATCTTTATTTTTTCACCCACTTAATTTAAGAAAAAGGGTGAGCCCATTTTTCTTTACATTGTTAGTTCTATTATACAAAATGGAAAGTCTATGACCTCATGATATTTTATTGGGAATAAGTGATTATTCTTCTTGTATTATCATCTTTTCTAAACAAAAACGTTTCGGTAATTTCCTTTAGCTCACAATCTTCTCCTTTTTTTATACCTTCATCCTTACCCCATCTATTATCTATTTCCCCACCCTTGTATAATATTTATTCATTTATAAAATATTTTACCAGGAAAGATACATTGAGATTTCTCTTGTTTTCAAGTATGTCCTGGGTCCACAAAACATTGCATTGATACAATAAAATACAAAACCAATATCAATACACGATATATACAAAATTTAACATAGAACAAGTAGGAAATATATAATCAACCATAACACGTGCATTCTGTTTTGAGGTATGTAGGGAGGGATCTCTTAAAGGACTTTAGGCTTGGGGAAGATTTTAAAGTGTGCGGGAGGTCATTCCATAATTGCGGCGCTCTGTAGGAGAAGGAGGATCGGGCTGCTTTCTTTTTGTACTGAGGCAGACTAAATAAAGTGTTGGTACTGGATCGGAGGTTATAGGAGGTAGGAACAGCCGAGGAGAGCATTCTTCTAACTTTTTCTAGACTTATTCTTATTCAATTATATATAAAGATGTAATTCACTTCTTTATTAGCCATATATCCTTGTATACTTCATTCCTCCCTGGTATTCATGTCGCCTTCTTAGCATCCTCTTTGCAGTGACCCTCACTGCCCTCTACCGATGTAACATACTTCTAATTAATTAAGTGACTTGGAAAAAAATAATAATATTTTTTAGTCTCTTCCATTCAATTTTACTCTTCCTTCAACATTTTCATCCACTCGTTTTTCTTTTCTTTTCTTTTTTAGTTTCCTTTTCCGGATATTTTTCTTTTCTTTTCAATATTTCCAATTTCATTCTGTGGAAATTGTTCTCTTTTCTTAATTAAGTGGTTTTCAGGTTAGTTTTAATCCAAGTTTTGGCTTCTTCTGTGTTGTTAATAATATATGTATTGGCTTTGTATTTGACTTAGATTTTAACCAGATATCCCCAGTTATATCTCACTTTTTTTCTCTTAGTATATCTGTGAAGAATTTAAAAGGTCTTCTTTTCGTTCTAGTTTCAGTAGACAAATCTTGAAAGAAGATTACATTATTAGATTTTTGATCTTCTGGGGAGAAGTCTTTTGTTGCTGGGATATACTTTCTGTGTAATATAGAAGGTTGAGAAACGCCCATGATGTCTCTTGCATAATCATTTTGTATATTTTTTGGTTTATTGAGTCTATGGGCTCTTTTTTCTAATGAAAACATTATGGGCCTCTTGAATTCTCATAGCAGAGAATTTTAAAATTCTAAAAGATAAAAAATTATTTGTGAGGTAGTGATGTTTACAGCTATCCGTCTTATTTGTAGATTTTTCCCACGTGAGCGATCTTCTGCGTCTATAATTTTCAATTCCAATATCTCAATTTTATTTTTCTGGATCTTAATCTGTTCTTTTGTATCCTTAAGTTAATTTCTAATATTCTCTATATTTTTTTTTATTAATTTGGATTTTTTTCCCATAATTTTTTTAAGATTTTCTTTTGTTTCTTTAAAACCTTAGTTTACCTCCTCTTTTATCTGTGCAGATTGTTTATCCAACGCTACTTGAAGGCTTAGATTTAGATCTTCTTTAGTTTGTAAGAATTGTTGGTTTAAGTATTTGTGCAGTTATTCCTTTGATACAATGAGAGTCTGAGGGTCCTGTTTATTTGTTTGAAGTAGGGGTGTTTCTAGGTCTAGTTCAGAGAAAAGGGTAGATTCCCGACTTTCTGAAGTGTCAAATTTTTCTGTCATTTTTGCAGGTTGAGGAGAGAAGATTGAAGCTAAAGTTTTGTCTTTTGTAGGGCGTGTATCTTGCTTTTTTTATTTTTATTTTGTCTTTTTATCCCTTTTCCCTCTTTTTTTCTCTTTATCTTTCACGCTCTCTTTTGTTTTTTTTTCTAAGTTATTATATACTCTCTTGAATCACTTTTTTAAAATTTTTTTTAAAGTTTTTTGCCACTTTAACAGAAAAGATAAGGAATGAAGATAATCTCCTTCCTGGAGGCTTTCTATTTTTCTCTATTAATACGTTTCCTTTCATTTGTTTTTTTAACTTTAGGGACTTCACCATATACTTGAGTCACGTAAAGTTTTTAAAAAAAGTGTAAACAGAGCTTGTGAAGCCGATAATAAATAGACTTGAACGCCTTCAGTTAATTTTATGCTGAAGTCAGCAGCAATTTCCTCTCATAGTTTTTGTTAGTCTAGTGGGGGAATTCAGTTTTGCTGAGTTAGCCGATCTATAGCTCTAGAGTCACTTGAGGCCGTTGGCGGTGCTGGAATCGACTTTCACTCTTCTCCTGCTCCGGCATTACAGTGACTCCTCTCCTACTCCACCCGATATCACTATCTCAATCCGTTCTGCTTTGCTCTACCGTTGGCACTTTTTATCATGTGAGAATTCCTGTGTTCGTGGATTTTTTCTGTGTTTCAAGCATTAATCAAATAGAAGTCCTTCTCGCTATGAACAATCACCCGGAAACATCTTGACGCTCTGCCCCTTGAGTCTTACTACATACACATCCCGCCCGTTTATTGGTCTGGTAAGGGAAAAATAATAGCTCAGGGTTTTTGATCTTCATTTGTCTTCATTAAATAATATATTATAATATTTTCCATCACTATTTCCACTTTTTTATTTTTTCCTTAATTTCTTTGTTCTTATAACTATTTCTCTGCACTATTAAAAATAAGACACACTGTAAACAAGGTATAATCTGTTGAATGTCTCGAATCTTATACATCTAGCCTGGATATGTTTATGTTTTTATTGAGTTCTCATGCATATCACCCAAAGGGCTGTCATACAGTGTCATAGCCACAACATTATCAGGGCACACGTCCCATCTTAATGCTATGCATACTTACCCATCTAAGGTCAAATCAAGTGTGAGCATATATTATTAATCCTGACAATTGGTACATTAGTATCCTGTGTTCTTGTTTCATGTTATTTTCTCCCCTGACTGTACCGTCATAACACCCACCTAGTTTAAGCTGACCATCAACATAAACACTGTGCCGGTTACTAGTTTTAAAAGCTGATAGATGCGCTATGCTCATAAAATCCCAACAGATGACAGGATGACTGGGAAGTCCCTTAGTGTAAAAGCTCTGCCTGTACATTATATACACATCCCTAGTTCTCGATGGGCACACCACTATAACTCAAATTTCACATACATCTTAACCCTATGTTGATTGTTGTTACCTATATAGAAATGGATAATCTAGCACTGTTAAGCGATGACTATCTTATTTTACTCTAGCGATTACACTGTTTAGCCAAGCTTGCTATAATTATATAATTATATAAAAATGTGCAATATCTCATGCCGCTGTATAACATCAGTACATCTTTAAACACGCTGCTGTGGCATATGTCACTAGCCTTGTAATCTCCTGCACAAAAATAAATAAATAAATAAAATAAAAATAAAACACACTGACCTCTATTGAAATGGAGGAGCACTTAGTACCAGGGGAATTAGAAACTCCCTACTATTTCATAAAAATGTCGGGATATTCGGACCTGAAGCATTATAAACACCCTGGTAATGTACGGTGTTATTAAACAATATTATTTTAACTTTCCTCTTAAGCTAATCTTATTGGATGTACATTTAAAATGTTGATATGGAGACAATGAGTTGTAATTTTTATTAATGAGCTTTAGAACTAATAAGGGCAGTCTTAAAGTTTTAGACAATTATCACAGGGACTTCTCAATAGTTAATAGGGTGACGAGAACGATGTTAGTATATTGATTTTTGAGGAACAAAGGATCTGTTTCTACTATGTTTCTAAAATGTCTATACTAAGTATATAGTATAAACTTAAAAAGATAGGATAGGATACAATACAATATCATAATATAATTATAATCTCTTTTTCTTCACAGATTAGAAGATATTCAGAGACCTGATTTGAAATTTTCAGAAGAAAGTAGATAAAGAAAGAGGTCATTATTAATAAAGAGGTCATTATTAATAAAGAGGTCATGGAATGCTTATCAACGAGGTCATCTACCATGCTATAATATTTGTGTCATCTCAATAGGAACAATGTATATAGGTCATGCTTCTATTGCAATAACTGCCTAACTGTCCTGTTACTTTGAATCTAATATTGTATATCTGATCTACCCTTACACATCAAAGACATGCTATTGGAGCACTATTATCAAAATCTAAATCATATCATGCTGTAGCACTCAAATATTATATATATATTTTTTTCTTCTGATATCATATTTGTATATTAAATATTTTAAAAGAACACTCCGGGGCGGGGCCGGACCGCCGAGCTGGACGGTCGCAGGCAAAAGAAGCTCCTGCTACACAGCACCAAATATGACAAAAAAACCCCCATATCTTTCGCCAAAAAGCTGACCGACAGCTACAGGGCCCAAAGCAGAAGGCCTGCTGGAGCCAGGGAGAGGCTGGCTTACCAAGCTGCAGTCCCCTGGAGGAGAAAACTTTGATGTCCCAACTGGGGCCTTCTTTGGCGGTGAGTGGGGCGGACGGCCGCCGCACCACTATCCTGCCTCACAGCGCCCAGCCTGGGGCTCGAACCTGGGCGGACCCAGCCCTGTTCCCCCCCTGTGGACCGGGGGGGTGATCCCGGTCCTCACCCGGAGGCATGGCAGCCGGAGCGCAGGGGCGCCGCCATCACACTCGAGGGCCCGACCGCATCACACAAGATGGCGGCTTCCACGTGCGCCGAAGTCAGCAGAAGGGAACGCATAACAGCGGAGCTCAGAACACCCAGTGAAACAAACAGGCATGGGCCCAGGAGGCCAGAGGAGTTGGCAGCTCCACTTCATCGCAGCTCACCAAGTGATTTCCTACCTGTACAAGCAAATAGCCATGAGAAAGGCAAGCAGCAGCGGAGGCCTACCGGACCTAAAGCGGCGGATGCACCAGTATGCCGGGACTCCGCTCCACACTCACGACCCTGCCGCCGAGCGAAGAGGGCCACACAGTGACACGCCAGAATATGCAACACCCACTGTTCATCTCGGAGAACACTCTCCTCCCGATTCCCAACAGAGGCAAGCTCAAGTGATGCACCTGGAGAGACATCGCTAGAACCTCAGCCTAAAAGGACAGTAACATCGGGTCACGCCGACATGCTGGAAAAGGCATTGGCCGACCATATGTCCACTACCACCCACAAGGCACTGGACCCACCATGCCGACGGTTCCTGAAGTGTGTGCAGACTTACGAACTTTTGATCAGCCAGGGTGATATTATACCTGTAGATTGCTGCCTGGCCTTGACATGTTTAAGTTTATATACTGAGCCTTTTGAATATAGCTTACCGCATAAATCTTTTTATTTTAACACACAAAATTGCTAGCATTAATGGCACACCAAAAAATGCAGACATTGTTAACCAACCTTCACTCATGCATAACTTGCAACAGAATAGTTTTAATCCATAGTGTTAATTATGTGTTCCCCCACTCTGCCTGTACTTGTAATATGTCTCCTGTCTTCTCGGGTGAGCAACCTGGGAGTAATCCTGGATAAGCAACGCCATCACACAAAACATAGTATATGACCTAGCTACTTTCACTAGCGTCGAGCTATACTTATTATTAATCCTGGTTAGCCTAAAGAATGACCTAAATCACTAAGCATGCTTATATATATATCAAAAGATTAAAATCTACATATCATAGCTTAGTATGACAATCAACTGTTATGTACATTGAATACCACCACTGAATCATTTCTTGTATTACTAATGTACCTATCTTGCTCGAACCAAAAAAAAAAAAAAAAAGTGCAGCATCTCTTGACTTCCTATGCTTATACTGTTTCCCGTGAAATATTGTAATGTACAAGTCTTTGTTCATGCCTGAAATTAACTCTGCACTCCTAAAATAAAGAATTATAAAAAAAAAAAAAAAAGAACACTACAAGTGCCATAACATGCTGTAGTGGTTATGGTGCCAGGAGTGCCTTGGCACCCCTTAAAAGGACCACTATAGTGCCAGGAATACATACTCGTTTTCCTGGCACTATAGTGCCCTGAGGGTGCCCCCACCCTCAGGGTCCCCCTCCTGCCCGGCTCTGGAAAGGGGAAAATGGGTAAAACTTACCTTTTTCCAGCGCTGGGTGGGGAGCTCTCCTCCTCCAATCCTCCTCCGTTCCTCCCCGTCGGCTGAATGCGCACGCGCGGCAAGAGCTGCGTGCGCATTCAGCCGGTCGCATAGGAAAGCATTATCAATGCTTTCCTATGGACGCTTGCGTGCTCTCACTGTGAAAATGAGACAGCCACTAGAGGCTTTGGGGGAAGGCTTAACCCATTTATAAACATAGCCGTTTCTCTGAAACGGCTATGTTTATAAAAAAAATGGGTTAACCCTAGCTGGACCAGGCACCCAGACCACGTCATTAAGCTGAAGTGGTCTGGGTGCCTAGAATGGTCTTTTAAAGTAAGTAGTTCAACCATTTATTAGTAGTTGGGTGCTGCTCACTTCCTCCACTGATAGTAGAAAATCCTGTCTTGCAGGGCTGGCTCGTTGGCTGAGAGCACCCTTTTAGCCAAAAAGCTAAACCCTACACCACCGGGCTTCGCTCAGTGCAGAGAGCTTGCGGCTCTTATGGAGAAGGTAACTGGCACCTGGTGGACTCTATAAATTGCCAAACTGTTAGCAAATGGTTTGACTACTTACATTGGAGGTGTGTGAGGGCACCATAACCATTATAGAGTGCTGTAGTGGTTATGATGCTTTGGTTATATTGCTTTAATTATATATATATATATATATATATATATATATATATCCATCCAAAATAGGCAGGAGCACTCACTTGTTAAAAGTCCAAAATTTATTAGAACATATTGTAAAAAACAATCAACGTTTCAGTCCTGCATAGAGGACTTTCATCAGGATTTTTTTAATCGTATTTGTCTTTGATCCTGATGAAAGTCCTCTATGCAGGACTGAAACGTTGATCGTTTTTTACAATATTTTCTAATAAATTTTGGACTTTTAACAAGTGAGTGCTCCTGCCTATTTTGGATGGATGAATAATACTAGCCATGGCATGCTAGCACCCGACCTCTAAGGGATACTTTAAGCGTGAGTGCAGGAATATTTTGGATTTTTTTATATATATATATATATATATATATATATATATATATACACACACGGTATATGGACAAAAGTATTGCTACACAACTATTGAATTCAGGTGTTCCAATCAGACCCATAGCTGCAGGTGTATAAAATCAAGCACCTAGCCATACAGTCTGCATTTACAAACATTTGTAAACAAAATGGGTCATTCTGAAGAATTCAGTGAATACAAGTGTGGTACTGTGATAGGATGCCACCTTTGCAATAAGTCTGTTCATGAAAATGTATCCCTTCTAGATATTCCACTGTCAGATGTAAGTGGTGTTATTGGAAAGTGGGTGCATTTAGGAACAGCAACTCAGCCACTCAAGCACGCTGCCACTGGAATCAGTTCTAAGAAGTTACGAATCGTGCTACTCTGTTTGGCAGTGTGATGGGCAAGCCTGGGTATGGCAGATGTCAGGAGAACATTACCTGACTGACTGCATTATGCCAGCTGTAAAGTTTGGTGGAGGAGGGATAATGGTATGGAACTATATTTCATGGGTTGGGCAAGGTCCCTTACTTCCAGTGAAGGGAAATCTAAATGTTTCAGCATACCAAGACATTTTCAACAATGCTATGCTTCCAACATTGTGGGAACAGTTTGAGGAAGGCCCTCTTCTATTCCAGCATGACTGTGGCCCAGAGCAAAAAGCAAGTTCCATAAAGACATGATTGGTGATAGTGTGGAAAAACTTGACTGGCCCGCACATAGCATTCACCTCAACCCAATCGAACACCTTTGAGATGAACTGGAACTGTGAGGCAGGCCTTCTCATCCAACATCAGTGCCAGACCTCACAAATGCTCTACTGGACAAATGGGCAAATCCTTCCACAGAAACACTCCAAAATCTTGTCGAAACAGCTGCAAAGGGGGGATCAACTACATATGAATGTCTATGTATTTAGAATGCAATGTCATAAAAGTTCCTGTTGGTGTAATGATCAGGTGTCTAAATACGTTTGTCCGTATAGTGTGTGTGTATATATACATAAATATACTTCCCCCCCTCCCCCATGACTGTATATATATATATATATATATATATATACACACACACACACACACACACATATATATATATACACATACACATACAGTTCGATCTTGCCTTGCACTCCTACTTTAGTGTAATCACTGTTTTAGCACCGGGTGCTAGACTGTGGTCACAAGTCCATACAAACAATTCCAAAAGGTAGTCTGCACTCACGGATTTCTTTTAAAATATAGCATTTATTTCTATATATATATATATATATATATATATATATATATATATAAAATACTTACATAAAGTACTAGAAGTGCATAGATGGTCAGCGTTTGGGACTTTCCTCAGGACAACAAACATCATACTAAACTCCAAGTGTGTGTGTATATATATATATATATACACTGCTCAAAAAAATAAAGGGAACACTTAAACAACACAATGTAACTCCAGCTCAATCAAACTGTCTATTAAGGAAGCAACACTGAGTGACAATCAATTTCACATGCTGTTGTACAAATGGGATAGACAACAGGTGGAAATTATAGGCAATTAGCAAGACACCCTCCAATAAAGGAGTGGTTCTGCAGGTGGTGACCACAGACCACTTCTCAGTTCCTATGCTTCCTGGCTGATGTTTTGGTCACTTTTGAATGCTGGCGGGGCTTTCACTCTAGTGGTAGCATGAGACGGAGTCTACAACCCACACAAGTGGCTCAGGTAGTGCAGCTCATCCAGGATGGCACATCAATGCGAGCTGTGGCAAGAAGGTTTGCTGTGTCTGTCAGCGTAGTGTCCAGAGCATGGAGGCGCTACCAGGAGACAGGCCAGTACATCAGGAGACGTGGAGGAGGCCGTAGGAGGGCAACAACCCAGCAGCAGGACCGCTACCTCCGCCTTTGTGCAAGGAGGAACAGGAGGAGCACTGCCAGAGCCCTGCAAAATGACCTCCAGCAGGCCACAAATGTGCATGTGTCTGCTCAAACGGTCAGAAACAGACTCCATGAAGGTGGTATGAGGACCCGATGTCCACAGGTGGGGGTTGTGCTTACAGCCCAACACCGTGCAGGACGTTTGGCATTTGCCAGAGAACACCAAGATTGGCAAATTCACCACTGGCGCCCTGTGCTCTTCACAGATGAAAGCAGGTTCACACTGAGCACATGTGACAGACGTGACAGAGTCTGGAGACGCCGTGGAGAACATTCTGCTGCCTGCAACATCCTCCAGCATGACCGGTTTGGCAATGGGTCAGTAATGGTGCGGGTGGCATTTATTTGGGGGGCCGCACAGCCCTCCATGTGCTCGCTAGAGGTAGCCTGACTGCCGTTAGGTACCGAGATGAGATCCTCAGACCCCTTGTGAGACCATATGCTGGTGCGGTTGACCCTAAAGAAATGCCACCCCACACCATTACTGACCCACTGCCAAACCAAACCATTCTCCATGCTCCATGGTCCAGTCCTGACGCTCACGTCCCCATTGAAGGCACTTTTGGCGGTGGACAGGGGTCATCATGGGCACTCTAACCAACTACGCATCCTAATACGCAGCAAACATTGATGCACAGTGTGTTCAGTCAGCTTTCTATCATGGTTAGCATTAACTCTTTTGTGTGATCGGACCAAACAGGCTAGCCTTCGCTCCCCATGTGCATCAATAAACCTTGCGCATCCATGACCCTGACACCGGTTCACCAGTTATCCTTCCTTGCACCACTTTTGGTAGGTACTAATCACTGCATAAAGGGAACTCCTGGCAAGACTTGCCATTTATGAGATGCAGTGACCCAGCTGTCTAGCCATTACTATTTGGCCCTTGTCATTCAGATCTTTTCACTTGCCCATTTTTCTGCTTCAAACACAAGAAATTCAAGATCTGACTGTTGCTGCCTAATATATCCACCCCATGACAGGTGCCATTGTAACAATATAATCAATGTATTCACTTCACTTGTCAGTGTTTTAAATGTTGTGGCTGGTCAGTGTATGCATAGATTCTTTTACACATCATGAAACATTTTATTTAAAGCTCTCTATATATTTTTCACATGTATAATGTTGGTGAAGAGATTCCATAATTTGATGAAAACGGTAACATTCTGGATGTGCGAAAATTTACAAATATAATTTCTCATCTGAACACTGAGTGACATTTTTTTTTCTTCAACATAGTAAAACTAAATAAAACATTGTTTTGTTTTTTTTGGATCAAGTGTCCACAAATATGTGATAATGATATTCCCATATTATTTTGTTTTGAAAAAATGAATAGCTTGAGACAAACACAATGGAATACAAAAAACACAAATCTAAATATACCCGTGTGAAATTTAATGCGTGTCAAGTGATTGTAATGCATTGGATACGGTACAAGAAGATTTTTAGACTTTTTTGTTTGACCAGTTGAAGGAGTTTCCAAAAAAACAAAACAGAGAGATAGAGAGATTGCATACAAGGATTCCTTGTACTATAACCAATACCATCAGATGTAGTGGTTATTGTATATATAATAAGCTGCAGTGGCTATGGTAATAAGAGTGTCCATTTAAGCAACATTTATGTTAATGTAACAAGTTATGAATAAGTAAAAAGAAAAGGACATGTATATATTTCTACTATTTTACAGCTTGAATGTCTTGGTTGTGTTTTACTTCACCTATACTAATTTTAGGTCAGGATACATCAAATTATGTCAATGTTGTAAGAATTGTTTTGAAGGTGCATTACTGCCATCTAGTGGTAATGAATAATTACGACATTATTTTTTTTATCATTATTTAAAGGGACACTATAGTCACCAGAACAACTACAGCTTATTGCATTTGTTCTGGTGAGTAGCATCTTTCTCTTTAGGCCTTTTCAGGGACAAAACCAGCAGCTCCAGGCTTGAATACAAGTAAGATTTTACTATATTTATGGAGGCAAGAGGGAGTCAGGGGGACTAGATGTTGGTTTTAACACTATAGGGACAGAAATATATGATTGTGTTCCTGACCCTATAGTGCTCCTTTAATCTTACCACTAAAACTAGGGATGCACCGAAATTTTGGCAGCTGAAAATGGACCTATTCCATTTTGGCCGAAAATGGCTCAAAACTACCAAAAATCTTGCACTGGGATTCCTCACTCGGTAGCTCACCATGCCATCTTGGTGCCGCTGCAAATGTCCGAGTCCTGCGCTCTGTCCTCTGTCCTATCTGTGACAGGACCGCGCACTGCTGCTGCGCTACTTTGTTACCGGATGTGCCGTGTGAGCAGTGGGGCAGCCTGCTGCAAACATATCCACACCGCGAGCGGTAAGTAAATTAATTTATTAATTATATTCTGCCTGTGCCAATCTGCCCAAAGTGCTTTGTTCAAGTCCCGAGTCCACTTACACTTATGCATTTCTAAATCTGCTGACATATTTCAAAATGAGGGACAGATCCCTGGGAGTTATAATTTAAATAGCATTGGAATTTAAATAAATATAAATAAATAATAATGTCAGGAAGTATTACTTTACTGAGAGGGTAGTGAATGCATGGAATTGCCTTCCAGCTGAAGTGGCAGAGGTTAACACAGTAAAGGAGTTTAAGCATGCGTGGGATAGGCATAAGGCTATCCTAACTATAAGATAAGGCCAGGGACTAATGAAAGTATTTAGAATATTGGGCAGACTAGATTCATTCTATGTTTTTTTTTTTTTTTTTAATTCTTTATTTTTCGTGCATAGATATATAGGTAACATTTAATCTAGTAATGCCACAACAGCGATTACCATATTTTCAGAAACAGAGGTTTACAAATGCATGGCATGAGGAACTGTGCACATTTTTTTAAATTAAAGTTGAGAAACAGTCGCATGGTGTAAGTCAATGTGTGTGCTTGAGTGTTAATATAGCTTGGCCATTGACTTTGCTATGGAAATAGGCATGGAGGGCTACAACGCTGAATAGTGTAGTTAGTTTACTTGTACATGCTTATGTTGTAGTATTGGGGTTAGTGGGTATGCCTGCTGTACAGCTAGCGTTAGGTATAACGTTGTTACCGTGGAGAAGCCAAGGGCAGGCAAGACTATGCTATATAGAATGTGGAGCCCATGAGAGGTTATGGTGTGTCGAGTAGGAGAGTACTGGGCGACCAGCCCAGTGTGTTGGTAAAAGCAGGCAATTTATATACAGGTTGTGAGGTTATGTCTTCTAATTCCTAGTCATCTGCAATGTCAATTTAACAAGAGAGTCTTTTCTAGGTAGGGAATTCTTGGCTTGTGGGAAATCAGGCTGGCTTCTCGGGTTATAACCTCCGGTGTCCCTTCGGTTCCTTTGCGGTGGTCGCTGTTTGCTTGGTACCCAGTCCGCAATAGAGTTGTCGTGAAGTTGGCCAGTGCAGGCCAGCTGTGAGGATGTCTCCGACTGTGTGAGGTCCTGCAGGCGAGGTGAGTGGGTGAGAACACCAGGAGTGGCTGCTGATGGTATCCGAGAGGTCTAGATCAGTGGTTTTGTGTGGTGTCACTGGCGCAGCTGCCACCTGTATAGCCTTTGCCATATGTGTCTCCGTGGTGACATAGTTTGCTTAGAGTGAGTCTTTGGAGGTTTTGAGACTGTTTAGAGGTAGTACCGCAGGTGTTGTGGCCTTGCTGGTCTCTGCATGTTTTTCCCAGGGGTTACTCTGTGTAGTAGCTTTCGCATTTGAGAGGCATTGCACTGCTTGGCTGGCTTGGTGTCAGTTTAGGTTGGTGATTCTCAATGGGGGTAGGTGGTCGAATCACAGCTGGATTTGCTTTGTGGTTGCTCGTTAGGGTGAGCGCCGTGGCTCCTTTTCTCTGGAGCTTCATTAGGTAGGAGTTGTTGGAGCCGAGTGCAGCGCCGCCATCTTAGAAGGTAGACCTCTGGATCACTCCACCGCTCACTCTCCACACGTCCCGGGCCCTCCATAGTGGGGACCGGGGTAACCCCCCTGGTCCGTAGGGGGGGATCAGGGCCATTAGGCGTGTTTTGAAGTCGGCTTGAGGTGTCTGGGAGGGGAGACAGGGCAGCGGCCGTCCATCCCGCCTTCCCCCCGAGTAGGCCGCCGTCCCCAAAGCCTCGTTTAGTTCATATTTACTAGTTGCAAATCCTATTGAAATATACAGGGTTATTCACTAAAGGGAGAATTCAAATTGGATTTCAATTAATTTAAGGCCAGAGTAGCTGAATGGAAAGCATAAGCTAATTCAGATTTTTTCCAGTTTGGCTATTTTCATCATACACTTGAAATTCACACAATTGTATTCCAAGCACTATGGTACCCCCCTCGCTCGCACGATCATTAGGACAAACCCATGGGAGAGCATTGAATCAATGGTTTCCTATAGGGTTTAAGCTGATAGTGGATCTCCTTATGGACAGCGTGAGGATGTCCAGCATTAGGTGGCCAAAAGTTGCCTAATATACAGATTTGCTTTAATTCCTAAGGAGCTCCCTAAAGTAATAAGTGGCTTTAAATTTGACGTCAGGGCCTGTCGCGTGAGGTTTGACTCCAATCAGAGGCTTCTCATAGAGAAGCCTCTGATTTGACCTTCTTACCGTCTCAGAGAGCAGGGGAGTGGGAGGGATGATTGGGGGAAAAAAAAACAATTAGCAGAGGGTATAGGGAGGCGGAAGGGACATAAAGAGGGAGAAAGAGGCTACACGAGCTTCACTCTTGCAGGCTCTGTTTGCAGGTTTGCAGGAAGACGGACGTTAATTATGGACCAGATCAGCCTAATGCACTTATCATATTTTGAAGGTCTTTTACCCCATCAATTTAGTTTAAGTTTAAACTAGCAGCTTTGGGTGGCACTGTGTGTATAATATCGATGTATAATTTTATAACTAAATAATAAAAAAAAGTTAATTTTTAAGTTAGTTATTTTCCTTTTTTTTTCTTTTTTAATCTATAGCTGAGGCATAGTCCTCTTTCAGTGACTTTACAATGTCAGCGGTTTGGAAATATTTCAAAGTTTCTGATAAAGACATCAAATTTGCAGTCTTTGTTCAGCTGAAATTTCAAGAGGGGGTACAGTGCAGAGGCACTTTTCCACAACAGGGTTGATACACCACCTGAAAACATGACATCCACTTTTCCACAACAGGGTTGATACACCACCTGAAAACATGAGCTCAACTAATGCATCTTTGCTGAAGTTATTCCCTTGATTGCAGTACTGAAGCGTCTGCTAAGAAAAGGAGGTGCAAACAGACCAAGGCGTCAAAACAGCTAAAAGCACTCTATTGGAGGCTGTTAACAAACGCTTTCAAGACACTGAGTCCATTGCAACAGTACTAGATCCTAGTACTAGAACATTACTTCGACATGGAGAAAAAGCAGCGTGTACGGGAAATGATACAGGCACAGTTGGAAGTGATGGAAGTATCTGGTGAAGGAGACTTGATGCACAGCACAGACAAAAAGGGTGCCAAAGAAACGGTCACGACGTACAAATGATGAGGAGCACACTCCCTCGCTTTCTGACATGTTTAACGAGATTCTACAGGAAAGCAGCACCCCGATCCACAGCAGTGCCACAACAAGTGCAGCTACGAAACAGCTGGAGATTTACCTCGCCGAACTACCCAATCCCCTTGATCACTGGTGCATGAACAAAGATCGGCTTCCATTGCTTGCACGGATTGCACACAGATATTTATCTGCCCCAAGCACCAGCACAGAGATCGAGAGACTATTCAGTGCAGCATCTCATGTTATTGATGAGAAGAGGAACCGTCTCTCCTGCGAGAAAGCTGAGCAACTTTTGTTCTTGAAAAGAAACTTGCCACTTTTACTTAAATAGAAAGCAGTCCAAGTTGTCATGTGTGTAGTTATGTTATTTACATTAAAATTGTGTAGCCCTGCAAAAATTTGTTCTTGACTTGAGGCTATGTCTGTTTATAGTTTGAGGTTGGTTTTATAGCTGTTTCTTGCACTGTTGTTTTGTACAATCATTTTCAAATAAATTGGAAATACGTTCATTTATTGATATTAAATTAGTATCAACAATATATATTATTCTTCAGTCCTATATTATAAACAGATTTAACAGATTTTTATTTATATTGGGGTTTTTTAAAGTTATTTTCTGTACAATTTTGGTGTGTTACTCTCAATAAGTGTGGTTATTCATTTTATTGGCTTGTATTTTTTCATATTAGATTTATTAAATTCATTAAAAAATAATTATATGGGGGCGGGGCCCGACCGCCATGCTGACCGGTCGCGGGCTGGAGAGGCTCCTGACAAATTTGGTCTCCTATGGTACAAAACCCAAGCAACACGGCAATAACAGCGACCGCAAGTTGTTACAGATATCCGGGCAGCTGCCAGAGCCACCGCAGTCCCCAAGATCGGGAGTTTCGGAGCCCCTGTGGGCGATATGAGGCTTCGGGGTCTGTGGCCTATGTGGGTGAAGAGTGGTGCGGATGGCCGCCGCCCTGTTTGCAAACCTGGCTGCCGCGCAGCGGCCTTGTGATGCACCTTGCGGGTCCCCGCTTCCCCCCCATGAATCGGGGGGTTATCCCGGTCCCCGCCGGAGGAAAAGACCGCCTTACACTGGCCCATCACCCAACCTACCTGGCACTGTACATCATGAGCCCGGGCACCAAAATGGCAGCAATGCGACCAAAACCGCGCAACACAGCCTAGCCTGCCTGCAGGCAGAAACAACAGCCTGCTGAGAATGCCTCCTACCTACAACCCACAAGTCCCTGTCTACCTACCATGACTATGATTCTTAAACCTTTTATTTCTCTGCTTGGAAGTGCTGTCGTGGCCTACAGAGCTTTGTTGTTATCACTCGCATGATATAAATAAAGAATTAAAAAAAAATTATATTAATAAAATAATCGAAAAAAAAACTATTTTAAAAGTATTTAGGCAAAAAGTCATTTTCGGTTTTCGTCCAAGGGCATCCTGAATTTTCGGTTTCGGCCCAGAATTTTCATATCGATGTATACCTAAGTGTAGTTCTTTCGCCCTCTTTTTTTAAGTCCTCTATATCAGAGCAATTTCTTCTGAGGCGTATATATTGGCCAATAGGAATACCTCTTCCTAAACTGACTCAATTTTTCAGGATGGTACCGTAAATTTTTCCCCAAAAGTGGCTGAAAGAAGTACAAAGGGTTTTTAATCAATATATATGGTTTCATAAAAAGCCTAGAATTGCATTATCCATCCTTTCAAGGAATGCAACAATAGGAGGCATTAATTTGCCTTTGGTTAACCGATATCATGATGCATCTATGATTCTGCATTTAAAAAAAATGGTGTGATCAAAAATTGTTTTCGGAAACTTGGAATAAAATTGAAGCATCTACATTCCTTTACTTTTTTGCAAATGTTTCTGAGTTTTATATGCTCTTCAAGTTTGCCTTTTCCCTCCCTTTTTTTTGTTAATGTCTTGCAAAGTAAAATACCAGCTGGCACACTCCACCCACACAACCGTACAAGAGAGGTGTCAGAGACTCAACTGCCCTAGACCCCCGACATGCGTGTCAGGTATACAATGCGCTTCATAGGGGGAAAGGCACCACTGCATCCCCCCCCTACCCCAACACCCCAGGGTACAGGGGTAGAAATCACAGGGGAACGGACGGGCTAACACTTGAACATAGACTCTTGAATCACTTGGCATGCCTCACATGGCAACCGACGACCCCACACTATCATAGCCAACGCTACACAACCCACTAAATGCTCCTCAGATGGGCGACTGCCACAGATGACACATAGGGCACCGCAAAGGAGCAACACCTCCACGACATATCACAAATGAGTATAGCGCGAACACCTATAGGCAAACATGACCCCGGGCTTCCAAATGAAACCCCAACCCGACCCCCTGTGTCCCCACAAATGATCCCACAACCTGTACTTACAGACCACAGAACACACTGCCATACCGCATACAAGAAAGAACAAGTGGGACATACCTCACAGGAACCGCGGACAAACAGGGCCAGACCGTGATACATAAAGTGGAGGTATAAGTTGCATACATAGGTCACCTCGTTACAACCACACAGACCAACTTATTAACAAAAATGTGCAAACTCATTGACTGCCATGCCTGATGTTTAACTGTTAATTGTATAATTAATTTGACCACATGGAAATGGCATGTACGAATGTTTTGTACCATGCAACATGCAATAAAAATAAAGAAATAAAAGCACCTAATAGTTTGATTTAAATTTTATTTTGTGGACAAATATGAAGATAAAAAGAAATCCGTGGTCAAATCTAAATGTAGAAAATCTGATAATATTTTGGAAGAAATTCCTTAATAAGAACAATCTCAATCCTATAAGAATAAACTCAATACCATTGAAAGTTCTAGAATATAAAATTGTAGTGGTACTTACCCTCTCCGGGGGCTGGCCGAGGTCCTCTGTTCCCGCCACGCTGTCAGGATTACTGTTTGATCCAACACGTAGAACTGTATAGCACGGATGACAAATAAGTAACATATTACCGGTCCTTAGAATGGCCGGATTTAACGTACATAGAATAGTCAAAAATACTAGCCGAGGTCAGGGAACACAGAAAGGGACGCAGCGATGAGGAAAGCCAGGAGTCAGGATACCAGAATAAAGAGAAGTCAATAAACAAAGCCAAAGTCAAAAAACAGGTAGAAAACTAATAACAGGAACGCGCTCTCGGACAACCACAAGGGAAACCACGACAGGGCACTGAGCAGGATGAGAACTGGGCCTAAATACCCCTCCTTTAGTTCTGATAGGTGTAACCGGCCTTTGACCCCAAAGTCAGTTACCAGGTTTAATTTGCATAATTGCTGCTCAGCAATAACCCTTCTGTGGATTAGTTTGCTGCTCGGCACAACTTTTTCTGTGTGCACAGTAAATGTCATTAACCACATTTCTATAAGCGGATGAATATGTGACACAGGTTTAATTTGCATAATTGTTGCTCAGCATTAACCCTTCTCTGGATTAGGTTGCTGCTCGGCACAACTTTTCCTGTGTGGACAGTAAATGTCATTAACCCCATTTCTATAAGCGGATGAATATGTGACACACGCGCGGTTCTGCATCTGCACGAGCCGCGTGCTGCTTGTCTGACGGAGTTTACAGGAAGACGGGCACTGACCGCGAGATGCGGTCACATGCCCCACCTGGCTATAAGAGCGCGCATCTCGGGCGCGCCCTTAAAGGGACAGTGGGAGCCGAAATGTGAAATGGTCTCCCACTGGCCAATGTCATTCCAGGGGATGCTTAATCCACTTTGAAATGTATCCACGTTCATTTCCCACTGAAAGGTTGGTTTCCTTATGCACCAACTTACAGATAAAGCACTTGAGTCGGCAAATGGACCTATGGTGCATGATTTCAATAGCTTCCTTACAGCTTTTCGTAGAACCTTTGACACAACTAAAAGGTCGAAGAATGCTGCCAGGGCGTTAATGAGAATTAAAGAGGGATCTAAGTCTGTTGTCGATTATGCTATTCAGTTCCGTACCCTTGCTTCACAGGTAGATTGGACCAACAATGGACTGACTACTGCGCTCATGGAAGGTCTATCTGAAACTATATTGGATGAGGTAGCGGCCAGGGATCTTCCTATACCCTTAGAAGATCTCATCGACTATCTCATCGATATAGACAATAGGATTCGTGACAGGCTATATACCAAGACTAGGAATAGACGCCTTGTTACACTTAATACTCATAGAGTTGCTAATCCTGAGGGTTCCAAAGTATCAGAGGAGGAAACCATGCAATTAGGGGTTGCTAAACTCTCTGATGCTGAAAAATTGGTTGATTACGGTGCGGCCGAGAACTTCATAGATTCTGGCTTTGTTAGAAAACACAACATACCCATTAGAGAGAAGAAGACACCCTTGGCCGTTGAGGCCATAGATGGTAGACCATTATGCTCCCCAGTTATCACACATGAAACTGAACCGTTGCATATGTCTACAGGATTGTTACACTCAGAAACCATTCGGTTTCAGATCATCACTTCTCCTTCCTCTCACATCGTGTTAGGGTACCCATGGTTGCGTTCTCATAATCCCACTTTTGACTGGGAGTCAGGACAAATAGTATCTTGGAGTGATGCTTGCCAAGAGTCTTGTATCGTTAAAATCACCCCTTTAAATTCTATTAACGTTCCTACTACTCCTCCTTTGTCTACTGTTATACCACCTCAGTACATGTCTCTTAAGTCTGTCTTCGATAAAAGGGAGGCTGAAAAGTTACCGCCTCACAGACCCTACGATTGTGCTATTGATTTGTTACCTGGCATAATACCTCCCAAAGGGAGGGTGTATCCTTTGTCTCCTCAAGAAAACCTTGTCATGGAGGAATATATCAAAGAACCTTTACAAAAGGGGTTTATAAGGAGATCCTCTTCTCTGGCAGGGGCTGGTTTCTTCTTTGTGTCGAAGAAGGAGGGCGATTTAATACCCTGTATCGACTATAGGGGCCTTAATAAAATAAACATAAAAAATGCTTACCCTATACCTTTAATCACGGAATTATTTGACAGGCTTAAACAAGCTACTGTGTTTACTAAACTGGACCTTAGGGGTGCATACAATCTCATATGTATAAAAAGGGACCATGAATGGAAAACTGCATTCAATACCAGGAGTGGTCATTACAAATACACTGTGATGCCCTTTGGTCTTTGAAACGCCCCAGCAGTTTTTCAAGAGTTTATTAATGATGTCTTTAATAGTGTCTTTAATAGTGTACTTGGACGACATATTAATATATTCACCCGATTTGCATACTCATCACATGCATGTTAAATTAGTTTTGAAAACCCTTCTTGTTAATGGTCTCTAATGTAAACTTGAAAAATGTTTGTTTGATCAATCCGAAGTCCAGTTCTTAGGGCATCTAATTTCTGCTGAGGGTTTTCGTATGGATCCCAAGAAGCTTTCTGCGGTCATAGAATGGCCTCTACCTCAGGGTTTGAAAGACATTCAGCGTTTTCTTGGTTTTTCTAACTATTATAGACGCTTTATTAAAGGTTTTTCTTCCATTGTAGCGCCTATAACCCGAATTACTAAAAACGATGGTAATACTCATGTCTGGACCCCGGAAGCTCTTGAGGCTTTTGAATGTCTTAAGACTGCGTTCGCTTCTGCTCCTATTTTACAGCATCCTGTCCCTTCTTTGCCTTTAATTCTTGAAGTTGATGCTTCAAATATTGGGGTGGGTGCTGTCTTGTCTCAAAGGGAATCACCAGAGAAGCCATTATATCCTTGTGGTTTCTTTTCCAAGCAGATGTCCAAGGCCGAAAAGAATTATGACATAGGCAATCGAGAACTCCTTGCAATTGTTGTAGCACTTAAGGAATAGAGACATCTTTTGGAGGGTACTAAGGATCCCACCCTTATACTTACTGATCATAAAAACCTTTCCTACCTTAGTGAAGCCAAGATATTGTCTTCTAGGGAGGCCAGATGGTCACTGTTTTTATCTCGCTTCAATTATATCATCACCTACAGACCAGGTGATCGTAACACTAAAGCTGACGCTCTGTCCAGACAATTCGAAACTACCGACAAACAAGAGTTTGATGATACCCCTGTCATTCCCCCGGACAGAATAATAGCTACTACTGTTCTCTCTATTTCTTCATCCCTCTTGCAAGTCATACAGGCTAAACAAAACAAGGCACCTAGAGAGAGACCTGCTGATAAATTGTTCGTTGATGTTCCTGAAAGACAGGAAATTATTTCACTCTATCATGACACCAAAACTGCTGGGCATCCTGGTATCACTAAAACCTTAACAGCAGTTTCTAGATATTTCTGGTGGGCTTCCTTACGCAAGGATTATGTCCGGGCATGTGTTACTTGTGCCAGTATGAAGTCTTCTCATAGAATTCCTTGTGGGTTGTTGCACCCGTTACCCATACCCGAGAGGCCTTGGTCCAATCTGTCCATGGATTTTATTGTTGAGTTGCCTCCTTCGAATGGTAAAACAGTCATCCTGATGATAATTGATAGATTTTCTAAGATGGCTCATTTTGTGTCTCTTGTCAAATTGCCCTCATCCAAGGAACTTGCTTCTATCTTCGCCAGGGAGGTGTTTCGGTTACACGGTATACCAGAGTCTATAGTGTCCGCTAGGGGTAGCCAGTTTATTTCCAGGTTCTGGAAAGCCTTTTGTTCAGAGATGGGCATTTCTCTCTCGTTTTCCTCTGCTTACCACCCCAAGTCTAATGGAGCTGCTGAACGTGCCAACCAATCCCTAGAGCAGTATCTTCGTTGTTTCATATCCCACCATGAGAACAACTGGGCTGACCTGCTTCCTTGGGCTGAGTTTGCTCGTAATAACGCTGCTCATGAATCTTCCGGTAATAGCCCTTTCTACGTTGTTTATGGCCAGCATCCTGTTGTTCTTCCAGCTGCATTCTCCTTACAGGGCATGCCAGTTCTGGATGAGCATTTGGCTGGTTTACGGTCTACCTTGGAGCAGGTTCAGCGTTCTTTGGTGGACTCTACTGCTCGCCAAAAGGTTCAAGCTGACAAACATCGCAGGGCGGCTCCATCCTATGTTGTGGATGAAAGGGTTTGGCTTTCCACTCGCAATATCCGCCTTCGTGTGCCTTCTATGAAGCTGGCTCCCCGTTTTATCGGTCCTTTTCGTATCTTACATAAAATGAATCCTGTTTCATATGCCTTAGATCTTCCTAGGAACCTGCGTATTCCTAACGTCTTTCACACCTCCTTGTTGAAGCCACTGTTGTGTAACCGTTATACCCGACATGTTCCTCCTCCTCCTGTTTCTGTGGAGGGACATGAGGAATTCGAGGTGGCTGCTGTGCTTGACTCTCATTTTCTCCGGGGTCGCCTCCAGTACCTGGTGCATTGGAAGGGGTATGGGCCTGAGGAACGCAGTTGGATTTCCTCTGATGCTGTTCCTCGCCTTCTGCGCTCCTTCCATTCTCGTTTTCCTGCCAGGCCTGTTCCACCCCGCCCGGTGGGCGTGTCTTCGGGGGGTACTGTAGCGATACTTACCCTCTCCGGGGGCTGGCCGAAGTCCTCTGTTCCTGCTGCGTACGGTCCTGCATCTGCATGATGCCGCGTGCATCTCGTCCAACGGAGTTTACAGGAAGGCTGGCACTGACTGCGAGACGCGTTTGGGGGCGTGGATATGACAGGGCCCAATCAAATTGAACACTAGGGTATTTATACTCACCTTTCCCTTAGCTCCCTGCCCTATCGTGGTTTCTGATTCAGTTCCCATTAGTGCTTGTATCGTTCAGTAGTGGTTTTTTCGTGCTTGACCTTGGCTTTGTATCTGACTCCGTTTTTCTCTTTATCCCTGCTTTGTCTTGTTTGCCGGCTTCCTGACTCCTGTGTACCAGACCTTGGCTAGTTCTTGTTTTCACTGTCTCTCTGTTCCCTTGACCTCAGCTCATTCCTGACTCTGTCACTTCTCTGTACTACGTCGAGTACATTCTAAGGCCCGGTAAGACGTATCTGCTTTATCTTGTCTCTTGGTGGACTAAATCTTGCGTGTTGGGGTACACTACCGTGACAAAAATGCAAGATATTAATCTGAAAGAAAGGACAAAAAAAGTGCTAACGTTAATTTGATACTTAATAATGTGAAGGATTAAACCCTTTGATTCTCTTGTTCAAGAATATAATAAGAATATAATTTGAGTCAAAAAGATATCTTTGTATATCTAAGAGTTAAAAATTTTATTATCTAAAACATCAAAGGGACCCTTTGAAAAAAGAAAAACAACTTTATGAAGTTTTAAATAAGGATTGCAATATTTCAAAAATCCTAGATATGGTATTAATAGACACGTATGAAGAAACAGATGAGAAGTTAAATGTTTTTCAAAGTTGGGAGAGAGATATTGGTAGAGCCTTCAAAATTAACGATTGGTATAAAATAATGCCTGACCTTAACCCCTTAAGGACCAAACTTCTGGAATAAAAGGAAATCATGACATGTCACACATGGCATGTGTCCTTAAGGGGTTAAAAATAATTTACATTGTCTAAACCTTTTAGAAATCCAATAAAAAAATCATCCATAGATATATAGGTATATGGTGCCAAAAAAACTAAATAAAATCTATCCCCATGTAAGTAACATCTGTTGGAGATGTGAACATTTAGAAGGCTCCTTGCCCCATATATAGTGGGAGTGTACTAAAGTTAAACACTTTGGGGAAATGATTAGCAGTCTTCTTTTGAATCTGGAGTTACCACAGGTAAGTTTTGTATTAGAATAATTTATTTTACACCTCACATGGCCAAAAATGAATAAATTATCTAAATACTTGATCACAAATATTTTGATTGCAGCCAAAATATTATTAGCAAGGAATTGGAAAAACCAAGAAATCCCTACTTGGCTTCAGACCAAAAATCAAATAACATATCAATTGAGGATGGAAGAAGGCATTAGTTTGAACTTTGGTACAGGGGCGGATCCAGAGCCTGATCTCGGGAGGGGCACTTGTAGATTATGCCTTGGGTTAATACAATTATTGCTAAATTCAATTGCTTAATCTGTTCCCTCTAGATCATAGAGCAGAGACCAATTAAATAATTCCCATAGCATATATCTGAACATATAAACACAATACAGATATACATAACATTTCTTTTTTTTGTCGACACAGCCATGGTTTTATCTCTATTCTGTTTTATAGATATTACTATTGCCGTTATAGTTCGGGGATTCTCTTATCTATCTGGTCTTTCTTCTTCAGCTATCTCTCAATATATGATAACCATGTTTTTAATGGGGCAATTCTCTTTTATACGGATCCCACGAACCCCTTGATCCCACTACTCCATAGATGTCTCTACCTCAGATAGAACTGTGATTGTTCTCTCATCCCAAGGTTTTACTGGACTCTTTTTGGACTGTTCTACTGTTTTATTGCTCTCTCTCTGTAGTATATATCATTGTTTATTTCTATATTACTACTTGCTTATATTTAATCTCTGTGGTGCCACCCTTTTCTACTTCCTGAGAATAACATGACATAGTTCATAAACGTCACCAAATATTCAAAGACAATTAAAACTAAATGTGATAAATCGCCTCCAAATTGTGCCAGGGAATTTCTTTCAAATGCTGGCAACTATAGTGGGGCTCTTGCAGTTTCTCAGTTAGCAGACTGACAACTCTGACAGCAACAAATTAAGCCGATATAATAGTGTATTTATAGATTATTGTATTAAAAGATTTTACACTCTTGTGTTATAACAATACATGATACATTTGTTTGAATTACCTCATAATTAGCTTATGTGCTTTTAAATGACAGGCTCAACGATTTACACAGCAGCAAATTGAATATTATTAGATCTGTCAATTGGGGTAATATTAACTCAACACACCTATATGACAAGATTTCTATACCACTGGAATGAGGTTAAAAACGTGCATAACCTAGTCTGATACACCAATGCATAAATAATAGTCAACAATAACACTAGAACGAATAAGAAACGTCTCTGGGATATTTGTAGGACGGCATCAGCAAGCGCCAGAGCAGGTCACGTGATACGCGCTAGCTAATGAACCACGGCTTGCCTGTGTTCTAGACGCGACTTCTACCTTGACAACTGTTGCTGGGGATCGAACCCGGAAACTTTCCATGTGTTCTATGGAAGTTTGTCACAAGTAATGGGAGGTAGGCGGCAATATTATTAATCAATTAAATAAATAAATTAAAAAAAAAAAAAACCTCACTTGTCGGTTTGCTGCGTTAATCAAGTTGTACATGCAGGTTCAGGCGTAGGCTGTTCATAATTTAGACGTTTGGATTTGGCAATTATATCAGGGTCTGATCTGTCATTTCTACCAGTTTATGCAAATTCATTTTATTTATTTACATACATGATACATGTTGTAATTTTTTAATTTTTTTTTTTAGTTCTGTGCTGGTACATAGTTTAGGTTCTTCATTATAGGTAACTTTATACTGCGCAGCCATTAGGTGTGATGGTGAGCATTATTCCTCTGCGTTTTGGAAATGTGTCTGAAATCTTTTATAGGTGTACCTGAGATGCAATTCAACACATTTGAATATCTTTACTCCTAAAAAGAAACAAGACCATAGAAGCCACGTGATTGGAACTATTTATAGCTATTGAACACACTTTCTTGCACTGAAACATGCTGCTATAAGCACTTAGATGAAGACAGTAACCTACTATTTATAGAACATCGATAATTGTGTTGCTTGTAGAGTTCGCTGTAGTGGTTATGGTGCCAGGAGTACCTTGGTGGCCCCCAATAAGGAGTCAAACCATTTTTTTGGGGGGGGGTTTGACTTCTTACCTGGGCAGCAATCCCCGCCTCCATACCATCAAGCGAGAACTGGAAGTTCTTCATGAGGAACTTCTGTTTGTTCTCCTGAGCTAAACGCTGCAATGCTTAGCTTGTTGCCGGAAAGCAGTCAGCTGAAGTAGTGCCCGGTGGATCCCAGATAAGAAGTCAAACCTATCAAAATGGACGCTGCTGATTGTTGGCTGACTCTCTAAGCTAATCAGTAGCTCGCCATTTACAAAACGACTTGAGAAATATATGTATATTTTCCAAGCTGTTTTGTCAATTGGGTGCTACTGCTTGGTTGACGCTAGTCTGACATGGGTCTGGCTTGCCCATTTTGGGTGTCACCTGTAAAGCAAGTTACATCACTGGAGCCCATCCACTTCCTAAACCCATGCCTCTCAATGTTGGGAAGGATGTAGCCTACAGATATTCAAATGCTGATAACCAGCATATGTTATAGGGAGGTATAGAGGGCTGACTATTGGGGACTAACATTTTATCAGTATAGCCTTTGTATAAACTCTTCCACAGAACCCCAGGGCAGCTCACCAAGGTGCTCCAAAATGTTAAGTAAGCTAAGGTGCTTATGTGTGAAGCGCATTCCATTAAAACTATTGCTCCATGGTTACCATATTGTAATTTTTTTTTTTTTTTGAGGAATGTTGAACTTTACCACGTGGCTTTGTCTTTGAGTTCCTACATGGAAGATGAATACTGTTTTGCCCTCAGTGGCAGAAGAACTCATTCGGGAAATAAAACGGAACTTCCAGGAAACTTCACAAAGTATGTTTTGGTGTAATACTTGATATATTTTAGTGCTTCACTGCTACTGACTTAAACCAGGGTAGGCAACCTTTTAGTAATACGGTGCCAAAACAAGATTTTAAAGTCCCATGGCATACTGTAGCATGCATGTGTTATTTATGAGTGCTGCAGATTTATATTTGTGTTGTTCTATTGTACAGTATACGTTCATGGGTAGTTTGTGGTATTTTGTATGTTACCTATGAATGTAGGCTGTATATGTGGGCTGCTTGTGTAATTGTGTCTGTATGATATGTTACATTATGTGCTTGGTGGTTTGTATGTGTGGTGCTGCATGGGTTATGGGTTATTGCATGTGAGAGGCTGTTTGTGCGGTTGTTTGCGTGGATGTGGATTGTATGTGGTGTCGTGGTTGTGTGTTTTTGTGTGGGCTGTTTTTATTATTTGTATGAAGGGAGGCTTTTTCTGCCTCTCTGTTTATATCTAGTAGTGTGGGTGGCTTCCCTGGGGTCCAGTGGGTACAGGTCAAGGCCAAGAGCTGCGATAGCTACTACAAGTTGCTTTACTCCAGTCCGGATTCCTGTTCACAAGCACTGGGATGAAGTGATCTGAGATCACTTCTTCTAAGTGCTGAAATGCGTAAATGGAGGATTGTCCCTCATCACCTCCAATCACCACTCAGTTTTCACTAGCAGAAATCTGAAGTCCCACTGGGACTCCTGATAGGCCAGAGTTTGTTTGTCTCTGGCAACCTTGAGTGCTGTGCAAAGGCACCTTGAGTGCCATAGATTGCTTACCCCTGGACTAAACCATGTTACTGCTGATTAAAAACACCTACTCTATAGGAAAAGAACTCCCACTCCCTGATCTACACCCCATGCTTATTAATAAGTGCCTTAAAATATTTCTAATTTCATATAAACAAATAAAAATAATAATAATAATAATAAAAATATATATATATATATATATATATATATATATATATATATATATATATATATAGCTAACACCATACATCCTTTTGCTACCAAATAAACCCCCCTCCAAAAACAAGTTTATCAAAATTCTATCAATCAATAAAAATGTTTATAAGGCATGATTAGTTACCAAACATAAATATATTGAAAGCAAATCAAATACACTATGTGAGATTACCTTCATTGCAGCCATTGTGATAATATTATGAAATTCCAATATGCTCCAATGGTGTCATACATTCATTTGTAAATTAATGTCATATTATGGGATGGACTGCATTTTTAAAGAGCTTTATATGAGTTGCTAGAGTTTTTGTATAAATGAGATTTAATGCTATTTTCAACTGAGCTTAATTTGCATGTACTTAAAGGAGCACTATAGGATCAGGAACACAAACATGTATTCCTGACCATATAGGGTTCTAACCACCCTAGTCACCTCATGCCTCGCCAAATATTGTGAAATCTTACTTGTATTCAAGTCTGCAGCTGCTTACTTAGTCCCTGTTTCCTTTAGACCTGCCCACTGCCTGCTGACATCAGCAGAAGTGGTTGCCTGATCCAATCACAATGCTTCCCCATAGGATTGTCTGAGACAAACAAAGAGGCAGATCAGCGCCAGCACAATTCAAACACAGCCCTGGCCAATCAGCATCTCCTCATAGAGATGAATTGAGTCAATGAATATCTATTATTATTATTATTATTATTATTATTATTATTATTATTATTATTATGTTATTTATATAGCACCATCAAATTCCGCAGCGCTTTACAATGGGTGGACGAACAGACATGTAGTTGTAACCAGACAAGTTGGACACACAGGAACAGAGGGGTTGACGGCCCTGCTCAATGAGCGTACATGCTAGAGGGAGTGGGGTAAAATGACACAAAAAGAAGAGGAATCAGACAGGAGCTATTAACAGTTTAATTGAAACGCTTTTATGAAGAAGTGGGTTTTTAATGATTTTTTGAAGGAGTGGAGACTGGGTGAGCATCTAACGGAGGAGGGAAGCGAGTTCCACAGGAACGGTGCAGCCCTCGAGAAATCTTGAAGGCAAGCATCAGAGGTGGGAGTACAGACAGAAGATAGACGTAAGTCTTCAGCAGATCGTAAGGGCCTAGACGGGACATACTTGTGTATAAGGGAGGATAGATAGGGGGGAGCAGCATTATGTAGCGATTTGAAAGCAAGAACCAGAATTTTTAATTGAGCTCTATATTTTATAGGAAGCCAATGTAGGGACTGACAGAAGGGTGAGGCATGGGAGGTGCGGGCGGACAGGAAGATGAGCCTCGCTGCCGCATTCATTATGGACTGTAACGGCGCAAGTTGGGAGCACGTAAGACCACTGAGAAGCGGATTACAGTAGTCAAGGCGAGAAAGGACAGTAGAATGGACCAACACCTTAGTTGCATCTGGTGTTATGTAGAGGCGGATACGTGCAAGGTTTTTGAGATGGAAATGACAGGATTTGGCGATAGATTGAACATGAGGCTTGAAGGAGAGGTCGGAGTCAAAGAGAACACCTAGGCAGCGAACCTGTGTGGTGGAGCTAATGGTAGCACTCTATGAGGAGAGTTCAGCGTCTGCATGCAGAGGGTGGAGACACTGAATGTTTGGATGCATTTTAGGCAGCCATGACCCAGGAAGGATCTCTAACAGCCATCTGAGGAGTGGCCATTGAAGTTATCACTAGGCTGTAATGTAAACACTTCATTTTCTCTGAAAAGACAGTGTTTACAGCAAAAAGCCTGCAGGTAATGATTCTACTAACCAGAACAATTCAATTAGCTGTAGTTGTTCTGGTGACTATAGTGTCCCTTTAAATATAATATGAATGTTATTAATACATACATACATAAATATGTGTAAAAGCATATTGCTACAAATCACATGGATTAAGTTAATTTTTTTTTATTGAAGTCTTTTTTTATGTTTAAGGACACACACACTCATTAAATTACGCGCACTCAATCTCTCACACTAAAAACACACTCTCATTGACACACATCACACTGGCAACAGATGTAATCAGCGGCTCACGTTCACACAGTCCAAATCACTTGTAGCATGTTTTAAATTCTCCCCCGACCATTGCAGCTCGTCAGTACCCTTCTCCTCCCCACCTCCATTCAATATTTTTTGCTGTCCAACCTCCCTGTGTACATGCACATATTTGGTGTAGCAGTTACTATTTATGATGAATCATTGCTTTTTTATCAAAATGATCTGATTGCGACGTCTAAGTGCTTGCCACACATGCACCCTAGGTCCAATAATTCTTGTCTCTGAGAAGTATTTGATTGTTCCTCGGATCAGAAAAAAAAAGGGTGACACGGATGTAAACAGGTAATTTAAAAAAATAAATGAAATAAAAGAAAATGAGCAACAGTAAGCTTTAGTGGGTAACCAGTGGTGTATTTTGAATTTGTTCTGCCCTACGCATGACTAAATTCAGACACCACCCTAATCTAAATTTGTCCCACCACTTTGTGTCAAGTCCACTTTTTTGACTGATACCCTCATTGACACATGCACTGACATGCACTCACTGACAGATATACAGTCATTGTGACACACATACAGTCATTAGCACACACTATTTAAACAACCCACACGTTCACTGACAGACACACACTCTCAGATACATATACACTGACTTACACTCACACAAACATCCTCACTGATTTGACACACTCTGACAGAAACACACATTCACTCACTCAAACACACACACACACACACACACACCCCAACAGACACACACTGACACAAACACACATCTCATACACTGACCAATTATTATAATTTTTTTTTTAATTTAAATCCACCCAGCCTCCCGAGCTTTGGGAGAGCTGTAGAGGATCCTGTTCCTGGCTGCTCTGTGCTGGGGCTGCTAGCTGGGCAGGCAGGCAGGCACCTTGCTGGATCTGCTGGGGCTGCTGGTGTCTGCTCCCTCAGCTGGCTGGGCGGGCACTCAGTGAAGGCGGAGAGGGAACTGAGCTCTTCCTGCCCTACTCCCTCATGCATCGCTGGGGCCGGAGTGACGTAATTTTCCGGCTCCCAGCATCATAGATGTGTGTGCGAGGGAGCAGAACATGAAGAGATCAAAGGACTGCACACCCTCACCGCTCGCCTACACTTTGAGCAGCTGAATGGTTTGGGGGGGGGTCCTTAAGGTTGCCAGCTGGCCACCTTTTGGGGGCCCCCCCAGGACACAAGGCAAACAAGGCATTTGCCTGGGCACTTAGGCCGGTGATTCCGGCTGCCACCCTAGACAAATGCCTTGTTTACCTAGCAGCAAATACAGCCCTGTGGGTAACCCCTTAACACATTGCTAGGGAGACAAGAGCAGCCCACCTGGAAATCTCCCATTTCCGCAGCGGGCTAGTTCAGCCTGTTTTTGTCCAAAGAGGACTTGTTCGGGGAACTAAACATCCATACAAATCTCAGTATCATTGTATCATTGTTGGAAATAGTAACATTTTTACACTGGTGAATTCTGAAGGATATTTTGATGCACTCCTTCCTGCTGGAAAAATGAAAACTAACCCAGAATTGAAGGTAAATGCCTTGACTATCTGTATAATCAACCAATCATAGTGCAGCACTAACAAGATCTCACTGTAACCTTGTGTTTTTCCAAAGATTTTGATGCATGAAATGGGACTAAGGCTAAAATAGAGGGAGAAATTAAACTAAACTGGAGACGCAGGCTCTTAGTGTACATTGCCCCAGTTCTAATCAGAAAAAAAGTAGCATTGCTAGAATGATAATAGTTCTGTGACTTGAAATGAATTGAATATAGAACTACCCATAAAGTAGTAAAAGAGATGTAATTGACTACAATCAAACTAAATTTACTGTCCTATTCATAATCTACAGGAAACCATATACTACAAAATAATCCTTTTGTGTGTTCTGTTTTTTTCATCCATAATCTTTTTTTTTTATATTGTTGCAATCATCTCATGTTTCCAACTATTGTTTGTACCAGTTCTTCATACACCAGAAACTAAAGTAACTCATTTGACAATGACAATACTGCTATCTTTTTTTTTTTTTTAGTTAAATGATATTCATTGTTGATCATATAAAATGTTTGTGTGCAATTAGGGATATAGCACACGCTTCAATTTTCACAGGTTAAAAGAATACTCTAAGGCAAAAAAAACTAAACAACTTTAGCTTAATGGAACCGTTTTGGTGTATATATTATGTATATATTATGCTCCTGCAATGTCACTGCTCATTTCTCTGCCATTTAAGAGTTTAATCCATTTTGTTTCAGTTTATGCAGACCTCGCCACACCTCCCCTGGCTCTGACTCACTCGAGCAACATGAAAAAATTTTTCATTTTCAATCAGATCTGACAGCACAGTGTATTTACTTTATAGATTTCTATCTCCTGCTCTGTTAATCGAATATTAATCACACACAAAAGGGCTCCTTCAGGCTTTTAACAGAGCAGGAGATAAGAGATTTGAAATTAAACAGACTGTGTGGTAAAATAAGTTTAAACATTAGATCTGTCTTTACAGTAAGTGTGTAGGGATACTGCGTAGGTCACATGCAGGGGATGTGTGGCTAGGGATGCATAAACAAAGTGATTTAACTAAATGACTAAGAATTGAGCAGCGAGACTACAGGGGAATAATCTATACACCAAAACCACTCCATTACGTTAACGTTGCTTTGGTGCTTAGAATATCCCTTTAAGCTGTATTCAGCACTGCCATGCATTCAGCATTGTTCAAAATCTTGTAGGGTTATTTGCTTAAGTAAAAATTCTCAGGAATTAAAAATGAATTCAGTGCAACGTTTTAAATTCAAGCCAAATTAGTGATAAAAGAGCTGATACAAATAGTAACTGCAACAAACTGGTATACTATTTTCCAAGTCAGTTTGTGTCAAACAATTTTAAAGCCTTTTAAAAATCATTCCCCCTTGTGACTTCATAATGAAGTATGTTCATGCTTTTGCCTTAGAGCTATGGGATATTTTGGATGGATAATGAGAAAGTTAAAGGGTCACTACAGTCACCAAAATAACTTTAGCTTCGTGAAGCAGTTTTGGTGTATAGATCATGCCCCTGCAGTCTCATGGCTCAATTCTCCGCCGTATAGGCATTAAATCACTTTGTTTATGCAGCCCTTGTCACATCTCCCTGCATATAACTTGTATCTTAAAGGAAAAAGTCACCAAAACAGGTGCAGACACATTTTTGGATGCAGTATTTTCTTTTATTTTCCTCAACTAATTACAGACCACAAAACGGTCATGTCCATGTAGACATTTTATTGCATACATGTGTATGGAATGTATTAAAATGTATTTTTACTTTTAATTGCCAAACATGCAAATATTGAAATTTCTTGCCTAAAATAGAGGTACATGTAAGCAGGATATAAAACAAAAGTAAATCAGGCATAAACGTGAAGAGGAATTGAAAGCTATAGTCAATTTCCATATACTCTGTGGTCTATTCAGTGCAGGGTAAATTGGCCTAAATGCAGCCCCCTAGAGTGTAACTGAGAGCATAAATGTCTAACCTTGACCTTCATCTTTTGTATTATATATACTAATACTTTTGAGAAAACCTGAGTCTATCAGAAAATGATGAGATGTCTAGTCCAGCCCCAGGTTAGTAAACCCTGTTCTAGTGCAACAGCAAATTGTGCACGGTTCCTTCAAAGAGGTTGTAGGCAGAGTAGATAGACCAGTTGTGTTTTTTGTTTAAACTAAATCTATCTTTGTTATGGTACACTGTAGGCACCCAGACCACTTCAGCTAATTGGTGGTCTTAGTTCTGCAATGTAAATCTTTGCAGTTTTAGAGAAACTACAGTGCTTTCTAGATGACTTTTGGTCGCCTAATTGACGCTGGATGTCTTCAGTAAAATCCCCCAGTAAAATCCTTATAGGGAAGCATTGCCGCAATGCTTTCCTGCAGGGAGGGCCTAATGCGCTTGCAGTGCTCACCGTGCATGCGCATTAGCCCCCCCCAGTCGGATAACGTCAGAGGAGTCGGAATGCCGACCCAGCGCTGATTTAGATCACCACTGGAATCGTGTGAGTATAGTAAGAGCTTATTAACTCGTACAGTAGGAGGCCACAAGGGAGTGGGGAGGCAGAGGGAAGTAGAATGTAAGGAATATAACTTTGAATTACTTACGCTATAGAATCCCTTTCAAATTGAACACATAGACTATACCCTCCTCAGCTGCATTGATATTGCTGAATTTGCAGTTAGATATCATTTCCGTGTCATTTCCATCCAACCTTCTAGTCACTGCAACCACTACGCTGAGCTGTCCTTTAACAGTGAAGCTTGATCATATCATTTTTTTACTTTTTGCGTAGTTCAAACACGTAGATCAAATCAAGAAAACAAAGTACGTTCTCTTTCAGATTTAGCACTTGTTTGCATGTCAGCATTTCTAAATGATTTTTAAGGCCGCATTAAATAAGATTGACTAATTGAAGCAACATCCACTTATACAATTCCCTGACATTGTGCCCTAATGGAAAATTATTCCATTTCTGATTCCACAGCATATATTTAACTTCTCATTTTACAAGTATCTAATCAGTACGGGCACAGAAAGGGCACTGGAGTATTTCAAGCACATTAAGGAAAACAAGAGTAAAAGCTGTACTACATCAATGTTTCTTTTGTTCTTAGAAATTGTATGTTCAGACCTTGTCCTATAGGATTTTCTCTACATGTGTCAACTTCGTATACGGGTGGTATATATATTTCTTATTTTCTTTTCCCTCGAACAGCTGTCGCTTTTTCCCTGAAAGCACAACTAAAGAATGATGTCAGGAAGCTCCCAGCCTTGTTCATCTTCAATAGGATATTATGTCTAAATACAATGTAACACAGCATGGTAACATAATGACAGGGAATGTACCTGTGGGTGTATATTGTGTTTTCAAATAGGCTCCAGGTTACAAAGGAAACGGCAACCAAAATAAAGTACTGTAAAAGAAAGTTACAACGGAAACAAACTACAAATATTGCAGAATGGTTAAAATGTATTTATAGCAAGTAAATTTCCTGTCTTCCCCCCATGAAAAATGTGCTACAGAATTGGTATCTGATTTTCTGTAATAAAACATTTTAAACTAATTTCATTACTCCTAAACCAAGATTGTTTGATTTGTGTTATATCAAGTCCAAATTGGAAAATTCCTTTGTTAATGTGATCAGATTTATTTGTTATATAACAAAGGGACAGTTTTCTTTATACCAATTTCCACACTAATATTTTACAGAACACCACCAAATTTTCCATGGGTGGGAAAAAGAGAAGTAAATAGAAAATGCTTGTATCTGAAAAAGTGCAGAAAAATTCATATATCCATCACTGAAAAAATCGCATATATTAAGAAATGACTTTTAGGGCACAATCAAAAAGCTTTATGTATAGGGAGTTACTAATTGGCTAAGGTGAGCCAGCACCAGAAACCTCCAGGCAGGCAACATACCAACTTAATTTTGATGAAGTTGTTATAGTGCCCAAACTGGTCCTTTAAAGGTGTTTCAATGAATGGGGGATCGAGGTATCACTCATAACTCGGTCTGTTTCATTGTAAGCTTTGTAAATTGAAAAGGCGAAGGAAGAAAATCTATAACTGCTCACTTCCTCACTGACAGAGGAAATCATAAAAAGTTTAATTAGCTTTGCAGAAACATATTATCCCTTCATATGTTCTGATAGAAGATTTACAGTGTATTCCATGTTCTTTGTATATGCTAAATGAATTACCCCACATACAGCTGCTAATCAGTAGAAATTGCTACTCCAAAGCCATAATTCTTTCTAGAACCATTTACCCTTTTGACGAGATTTCAATGTAATGCCTGCTCATTAGATGAGGATAGGAGGAGAATACATGATAATTACCTACACTCAAGTGCTTGTTGATTTTTGGGTTTCATCCAGCAGTACCTAAACGCAAAGTACTGGACAGAAAAAAAAAATGTAATCTGTCTTCAAGAGAGAAACACCAAATTAGCAACCCTACATCTGCAATATTTCGGGAATCTACATCCTGACTAATATTCTGAGCATCAAAGCTTTGCATATCAACACAGTATGGCTGCTTGGCAACAAGTGAACTAGCAAATGGAGACTAGTTTTCTAGTTGTTTTAGGGAAATATATTATTGTATGATTTGAAGTGGAAAAATCAATTAAAGTATTGATTATTTCTTTGTGTATCTGCCCCTGGCCAAATCAATGAAACAATGCGTGCACGCTCCCTGAAGTAATTCACACCAGACACAGGTTCTAGGTTGTTGAATAACTTGAGGAAAAGTTTTATTCAGAGGGGACGGCAAGTCCCTTTTAAAGCAAAATTACATCATAAGCATTGTCATTGATAACATGGAATAATACATCAATTATTGGTTAGGTGTTAAGTGGTTGCTTCAATGCTCTGCCTACTGTAGGTGATGTCACCGGGGCCATGAGGGTCTCCCACGGTTTACCGGCGCCATCTTGGTGCACGAGGTAGTTAGTCGATGTTAGGAAGGAGAAAGGGAGGGGAGGGGGAAGGAGCTAGAAGCTTCCAGCAGCCATCTTAATTATAACGTGTGTGCTTAGCTATGTGTATATATATATCGTGAAATGAGTAAATAGACATTTTTCACTAACTAGGAAATATGTGCAGACCTTATTTCCACAACAGTCCCCCCTAAAATGGCTATTTACCATAACAACTGCTACTGTCCCTAATATGTCCCTAGTTGCCTGCAACCTATCTGCCTTAACTAGCATCGAACACTTCACTCCGCGGGTAACCCGCAGTGGCTAGTCCACTACATCTCCACACGTGAGACTTGCCAGTTAAGACAGACGCTTTCCCTATACTGTCCCTACAGGAAAGCAGTTGTTTGTTTGAACTGATGTGATTGAAGGGGTGTATGTGGAGTATCATCTTCGAAGTCTGTGATGTCTTGGTGTATGAAAGTAGGGGTCACGTCATCTATAGTCTTGTCTACCGCTTTCTGTAGATACTTCTGTATGCAGGGGAATATGCAACAGGTCAGAAATAAGAAAATGACGATCATTATGAGAACAACTGTCCCCACCTGGAAGAGGGTCCTTTGCCAACCATTCATCCATCCAAACCATCTGTCCCAAGTGTCAATGACTCCTGAATTTTTCTTTAGCTCGTCTGCAAGACTATCTAGCTTCTCTATGGCCATAGTCACCTTACCATTGGGCCCCGTATTGTCTGGAATGTATGTGCAGCATGTCATGGTCTCAGGGAGGATTTTACATACACCCCCTTTCTCAGCTAAAATCATATCTAGGGCCATTCTGTTCTGAAATGTCATTTGGGTAGTGGCTTGTAATTGCTCTGCCAGGCCCTGTAGGGCATCCCTAGTGTAGTTGACAAAACGCTGTTGATTATAGTAAATGTAGTTAATCCAATTGACATTTTTGTTAGCAGTTATCATTGGAATTAGGGACTCAAATCCTGCAGCCACTTCATCTCTTGCTTTGAATTAGTTAGGCACCCCCCTTGGCACACCTATGGCATCAATATACACATGGGGGTCGAAACTCCCTCGAATAGGAGTCTCTCGTTTGGTTCTAGAGTGTACATGTGTGAGGTTTAACGTGTTATGGTCACCATCTGGAATGATATGGATAGGCATTATGACTTTAGTTAGGGCACACTCCCCCCACCATTGCCCAGTTAATTGGGACCTCAATTGTTTATCCCCACATAACCAATAGATATCACCGATTGTCTTTGTGTGGTTCATTAGCAGTGATACGGGTGGATTATGGTAAGTTGAGCAATATCCTGATGGGAATTTGCCCAGATACAAACCGGTGTTTTTAGATATTGTATAACATGTGTAATTACCTGGGTAGATGGTGACTCCATCAGGTGGTTTTACATGTCCGTGAGTGATCGGGTAAATTCTCTTCCACGATTCACATGTCGAGGAGTTGGTGACGGACTGTGTGTAAAGGCTCAGAACACATGATTCTACTTCAGGAGGCAAATTCAGAGGAACTGTGCCCAGATGGGGCCTGGCTCCTCCACACATGTAACAATTGGTCTTATTGTGTGAGTTGGCATTATACCTCATCCATTCTAGCCACAAATTAGTGTCTGAAAAACCAGTTTCCACTGCCATAGTGTCTTCAAAGGTGGGGTTGGCTATAGCTACCATGTCATGTAGGGTCTTAATATGTGGTTTTAATGGGTTAACGATCATGTGAGTGGTCCCTACCCAGTCTGGGGAGGTGAGCATGTCTTGTAGGTAGAATGTCCCCAGTGCATTGTGTGAGCCACCTCCCTTCCAGTACATCCCCATCACATATTCCCCCGCGTCCCTTGGACTAGGGTGTTCTATATTCAGGGTAAGTTTAATGGGAGTTGACCCTGTGGGTTTACTCAGTCATTCTAGAAAGTAGGGGCTTCCCGTCTTTATCAAGTCTGTCTAGTGCAACCTGAGGTCTGTAGCCCCATGGTCTACCTGTATTCCACCCGGCAGCTTTCCATGAACTACAGTGGTGTCCCCAAGCTCCTCCAGTCACACAAATGTATGGGTCCTTTTTGTTAGGTATGTCTTTGTATATGGCTGCATGTTGTGTCTGTGGGAATGTACAGGTAACTATGTCACAGTAATCAAAGGTGTATGTAGCTACATCAGTATCAGAAGAATTGTACCAGAAAGTGTAAACATGATTATCTTTGGTTATGGCCACTTGTTGGGCCCAGGCAAAATGCAACAATATAAGAAAACACAAGACACATAATAAATTCATGTTTCAACAAGATCAGCTTCTTCTGGAGCAGGCACTTTTTCAGTCTTTATGACCTTTCCAGGGTTGCACTTAGCACATATAGTACAAGATTTGCAGTAATTCTGTGTTAAGGTAGTGATGCCTGGTGCTTCAAAATACTTGTCAATCAGTGAGTTCATCAGGAGCTTTGACAGGTGTGCTGGCCCATGGGCCCATTGGACCACCGCTGGGTACATACTTCTAGGTAAGCAGAACTTGAGATTAATGGTGTAAACTTCATCACGGAGTATTGCTCCTTTGTTCTTCCAACTTTGTTTCTCCTGAGGAGTGGCGGCAGCTTGTTGTTCCTTCAGCAGCCTGAGATCTGTAGGCAATGTTTGCATAGTGTAAATGGGTAATGTATCTGTGGCCACTCTTCTGTCCACTTCCCATCCTTGTCGTGCTGCCTCTTTGGCTGCCTGATCAGCTAGGTTGTTGCCACGTGCTTCTTCTGTGTCTAATTTCCCATGAGCTTTTACTTTCAATACTGCCACTTCTGCTGGGAGTTCCAATGCGTCCATCAGTTCTGCAATGGCTGCCCCATGTTTTACTGGGGTACCGGTGGCTGTAAGAAATCCTCTGGTCTTCCAGATTAAGCCAAAATCGTGTGCCACTCCCAGGGCATATCTTGAATCCGTATAAATGTTGACACGTAGGCCTTCGGACAGTTTGCAGGCCACAGTCAAGGCTGTTAACTCGGCCTCTTGGGCAGACTTAGTTGGTTGTAGGGCAGCTGCTTGTAATATTTGACATCCTGTGGTGACTGCATATCCAGTGTGGTATTGTCCTTGTTCATCAGCAAACCTTGAGCCATCCACAAATAGTGTTTGATCCGGGTTGAGTAATGCAGCTTCATAAACAGTTGGTAGGTGTGTAGTTTCCATTTTCATTTGTTCAAAACAGTCATGGGGAATATCGATGAGGTTGCAGTCTATGGTGGGTGGGTCCTCACAGGCCTCTGTGTGGTACCTGGAGTATCCTGTTGTGCAGTAGTTAATGGTCTTTTTATTTATTCCCGTAGAAGTCAGTTGTTCTTGAGTCATTTGGTTCCAAGTTTTGGCCATCGGGCCTAGGTTCTCCCATAAGGTGTTGTGGGATCTGGTGAGAGATATGTGTGGGATAGCTGTTTCCCAATGGTGGTAGAAGTGTGCTACATTATCTGGAAGGTGAACCAAAATGAGCATGGTACCTGTAGAGTCCCAAAATAAGTCAGTCAGGGTAATTTGAATTTCTTTGAGCTGAAATAGTTCTTCCTCATAGTCCACATCAGGACTTGGTTCGTCCCTAAACCACAAGACACAGTGGAGTGGGGCCTCTGATTGTTCATCAGGGGGAGGTGTGAACACAGGCAACTGTAAATCTGCTCGAACATCTGGGTTGATATCCAGGCTGCACCAGTGATGCACAATTCCCCCCTTGGGAAGTGGCAGAAGAGTGGCTGGGTTCAGGGAAAGGCATCTCTGGAGTTTCACATTATCAGGTAGGAGTAAGGATGTCTGTAGGCGAAGGTGACGTTGGGAAGAAAGGTGTTTAGGTCAAACTTGCTGTAGGATTGCAGTAATGTCGTGAGGGGCCAGCACTGTGAGGTGATGGCCAAGAACAAAGTCATTGGTCTTGTCCAGGAGAGCGCTGGCGGCAAACACCGCTCGGAGGCAAGAGGGGCTTCCCCTTGCAACAGGGTCAAGCATGCAGGACAAATAGCCAATAGGGCGTTGTCTAGATCCATGTTTTTGGGTGAGGACTCCGGAAGCATGTCCTGATTTTTCAGAGACAAACAGGTGGAAGGGAAGTTGGTAGTTGGGCAGGCCCAAGGCAGGTGCAGAAGCAATAGCTCTTTTCAGAGTATGGAAACAGGTGATAGTTTCTTCTGTGAGATGAAAGGGCTCACTCCTGAGGGCATCATAGAGTGGCTGCATGAGCTTTGATGCTTCAGGTATCCAGGACCTGCAATACGTGATAAGGCCCAGAAAAGCATGGAGAGCCTGGTGATTAGCAGGTAGTGGAAGATGCAGAATGGCTTGTACACGTTGGGAGGTTAGATGTTTGGTGCCATGGGAAAGGCAGTGTCCCAAGAAGACCACAGAGGGCCGGCACCATTGTAACTTGGATTTTGAGGCTTTGCAACCAGCTGCAGCAAGGAAACATAGGAGATCTTCTGAATCACGCTCTGCAATGAGCAAATCAGGAGCACAGAGAAGGAGATCATCAACATATTGAAGCAGGTCGACATCCAAATGAGACTTCTGCCAGGGATCCAGCACCAGTGACATGGCGTGAGCAAACTGTGTGGGGGAATTCTGAGCCCCCTGAGGCATGACAGTCCAGGTGTATTGCTGTCCTTCATGGGTGAAGGCAAAGAGAAACGACAGGAAGGGTCAAGGGGGACACTGAAGAAGGCATTAGCTAGATCCACCACGGTGAATATTGTTGAAGTTGATGGGACTTGGGATAAGAGGGTGTGGGGGTTAGGAACAATTGCAGTGTCTTTGATGGTCACATCATTCACAGCACGGAGATCTTGCACCATGCGGTACTAGTCAGGCTGACCTTTAACAGTTCTCTTTTTAACAGGAAACAGTGGAGTATTACATGGAGATGAACACTTGATGAGGGCACCTTTGGCTAGGAGACTTTCAACTTGTCTGGTAATGGCTTCAGCTTGTGCAGGCTTCAGAGGGTACTGTGGCCTGCGAGGAGGCAGTGCCCCAGGCAGGAGTTGAACTAAGACCGGGGGCACATGTAAGCGCCCAATATCATCCGGGCCAGTGGACCAAAGTTCTTGAGGGATACGATCCAGAGCACTGGGGGTTTGTGGGACCCGTGCATCCCCTGTATTGTCAGTTAGGTTTAACAAAATAGGTAGTGAACAGAGGACAGAGGTATCCTTTTGTGATAAGGGAGTTGTCAATTCAATCTGCCCATCTGCAGTGAAGGTAATGGAGGCCTGGAGCCGAGAGAGAACATCGGCACCTAGGAGGTTAATGGGGCAGGTAGAGGAAACAACAAAGCGTGAGAGGATGTGGGAACCTACGTGTAGAAGCTTAGTAAGGGAGTTGCTGCGTGGGGTACCATCCACCCCAACACAGGAAACATCAGTGTCAGATAAGAAAGAAGGGTCAGGCAGGTCTTGTTCCCTAAGGACACTACGGGCTGCACCTGTGTCAACTAAGAAAGTGGTGGGGTGGCCCTCCACAGGGAGAACTACAGTAGCTAGAGGGCCTCCCCCATCCCCCGCAGACACTGCCATGGCAGGGGTTGCTGACACAGGCTTGCCGGTTACCTATTGTAATAAATCTAAATGGGCCTGGTCTGGTCCCTGGTACCGGCGGGAAGTAGAAGGGGGGTTAGCAGAATGCATGGGGGGACGAGATGGGCGGAGGGTATGACGGGGCTGGCCGTCTTGGAAATCATCATTATCAAACCCTTCTGCAGAGGGTGAAGGATATGCACGAGCTTCTGATACAGGGAGCCGAGCTTGAGTGTATTCAGGAGGAGGAGGAGGGGGAGGAGGAGGTGGCGGGGGAAGCTGAGGCAATTGTGGATGAGGAAGGGCGGGGAGGTAACCAGGGGAAGGGTAGTTGTAGCCAGTGACATGGGGACCTTGGTACCGGGGAGTTGGCTGGGGGAACACTCTAGGCTGTGGGCAATCTCTTCTAAAGTGGCCTGGCTGATTACAATTAAAACAGGTCCGGATTGTCATAATGGTCCGGTCCCGGGGGAAAGGGATTGGTGCAGGCAGTGTCTGGGGTGATTGGGTGTACTGTTGGGGGAACACCTGAGGAACTTGATTAGAACTAGCAATAGGTGTGGAGGTGGTGTACATCAGTGGGCTAGCCCTGCGCTGTGTGGGTTGTAAAACAGATTCTAAGCCCTTGGCTACCAACAAAAGGGTATCTAGTGGAATAATTCTATACTCAGGGCGAGCTAAAATCAACCCCTTACGAATATGTTCTCTCAACCCTGCCACAAAAGCTGCAGAGAGCATCTGGGTGTGTGCCTTGTTGTAAGTGCTGAACCCTAAGTCCGAGAATGTCTGAGTCAACCTAGAGTGGTACTTCTCAACGGTCTCAAGTTTGTCCTGTATTATGTCATTAATGCAAGTAGCCTGGTCAGCTAGTTTATCCTGCGCCCAGGCGCGAAGTTGTTCACAGAAAGTTTCACCAGAACGGAAATCAGTATCAGAAGTAAGTGGAGCATCACTAAAGCTCCGTTCCATGATTGGCCAGTATGCATCTCCAGCCTTAATTTCACATAAACTAATAAGATCCCGCCATGCAGCGGAATATGTCTTGCGGATCTGAGCCATCCTGCGGAAAAAGGGCATGGGGTGTTTCTCAGGATCAGGGAGTGAGGTTACAAGGGTAGCGGCTTGGGAAGGGTTAAAAGTAACGTACATAGGTGGTGCACCATCCGCACCATGACTGATCTGAGTATACCCCTGGGGAATCGAGTGCCGTTGGGGAAGCCTTTCCCCCCCCAGATGGGGTGGGCTCTGGTCCACCACAACGACCTCCTCGGGCACTATTGGACCACGGTGAAGAGTAGCCTCAGGGGTAGCTGTAGCGGGGGCAACTGGGAAGGGGGTGATAGGAGAGGTAATTGGGTGGAAACCCGAGGCTTGGGGGGAGGCACCCATCGCATAGGGCTGGTCCGAAGTCGCAGACACCTCAGACCCAACCACCATGATTGGGTTTCTGGTGCTGGCGGAAGGGGCACGGGGAACTAAAGCCGTGGAAGGGGCCATCATGGGGGACGGCGGGGCTGGCCGTGAGAGGTGGGTGTTTAGGACATGTGCAAGAGCAGAGATTGGATCGGAAGGCTCGAGGAGATTAACGGGAGACAAGGGAGGGGTCGAAGGCTCGGGGGGAGGAGGAGGAGGAAGAGGAGGTATATCAATGGGAGGCAATGCAGGGATCGCGGAGTTAACCAGGGAAGTGACTGCAGTGAAAAGGGCGGATATTGAAGTAGATAGGTCATTGGACATAGGTGCGTCAAGGGTTGCCGGGGAAGGGGTTGGAGGGATAGGAACAAGGGGCTGTGGCAGAGCAACTTGGGCGGAGGGTTGGGACGGCAAATCGGCCGTGGGAGGGAGGGATAACGAGGTAGAGGGGGCTGGGACTTCGGGAGGAGGAGGTAACACTGGAGGAGAGGTGGTAACAGGGGGCTGGGTCAGGGCGGTGAGGGCAGAGATTAGGGACGGCAAATCGGCCGTGGGAGGGAGGGATAACGAGGTAGAGGGGGCTGGGACTTCGGGAGGAGGAGGTAACACTGGAGGAGAGGTGGTAACAGGGGGCTGGGTCAGGGCGGTGAGGGCAGAGATTAGGGACGGCAAATCGGCCGTGGGAGGGAGGGATAACGAGGTAGAGGGGGCTGGGACTTCGGGAGGAGGAGGTAACACTGGAGGAGAGGTGGTAACAGGGGGCTGGGTCAGGGCGGTGAGGGCAGAGATTAGGGACGGGAAATCGGCCGTGGGAGGGAGGGAGGGGTCCTGGGTCAGTGGGGAGACAGAGATCCGGAGGAATAGGGCCGGTGGAAAGGGTATGGGGTAGGGGAGTTGGATGTGTGATAGACGGAGAGGGTGAGGGAACAGAAGCTACTAAGGAAGGGGCACTCGGGGTTGAGAGGGAAGCGGAGGAGGAAGGTGGGACTTCAATGGGTGAGGTGGGGGAAGCCATGGTAAGGTCCGGAGTGGGGACGGTCACCGGGAGAGGTAGCGAAGGACATGAAGGCGGAGGGGCTTCGGCAGGCATGACAGAAGGATGGCTAACGGAGGGGGTTGGGTCATAGGAAGGTTGAGGCATGGGAGTAGGAGGGAACGAGTGAAGTGGCACTGGATAATAGTAAGCACCATCCATACCGAGTACGGGGCACAGGGGAGTGGGAGCTGAAGACACACCCCCAGAGGGTGGGGTCTGTGTCGTGACGGGAGAAGCAGGGCGGGAATTAAGTGTTGCGCTCCGGGCGCCATCATAGGGCGGTGGTCGTGGAACAATAGAAACAACATCATCATTATGAACACTCCTGTGATAAACATACACAAGTTGCCCCTCAAACTCCAATTCTTCCTCGACCCATCCTTCCCGTTTCAAACCTCTAGCCACCCGGTACCAAGCCTCTGCAACTTTCGTAAGTCCATTATCCAACAACAACCCTTCCTTGTCTATGAGTAGCTTTCTCCAAAACTCAGGTTGTAATCTCCCACTGGGCAACATCTGGAAACCACACACCTTAGCAATCTTTTTAAGTTTCAACATTGCATCTTCCCCTGCCCTTTCTTTCACAATGTCACAAGCTAGCAAGCCCTTAGCAGGTCTAGCGTGTTCCTGTCCCATTTTTGAGTAACCAAAGCGTGCCACACGTGGAAGACAAAGAAGTATAGTAAGTACAAGGGGAAAAGAATGTCTACAGTGCTCGACTGCCACGAGAACTTGAGCCCCGTGCGTCTTCCCCAAACGTAGACCAGTCACGGAGATCCGCCCACCCGGGGTGGTGGTCACGGACGGGAGCGAATGAGCGTGGGTGACTAACACAGCTCTGGGCAACAGGCACAGGAGAGATAAAGAACAAAGGAGAAAATGAACGTGGCTGCGCTAATGAGAAGACATTTGCAAAAATCACAAACATACAAATGAGCGTAAACTCCGGAATCCAGAACTAACCACACAACACACACACACACACCAAGGGTACCCACACTGTAACAACAATTAATCAGAAACCACAGAATGATAGAGAGCAAAATAGCCATGTACATGTTAACACCACCGGTGTCGGATATTCAGGGTATAACAATCCCCAGCCTTCACCCACCAGGCTGGTCCCGGCAAAACACTGGTACCAAAGGAAATACTGCAATAATCAAACAAAAATCCCAGCCCCACCGGCTGCAATGCGTTCCCTGCCCGCTAGGCAGTCAAGCTAACATAAAAACCCAGCCCCACCGGCTGAAATGCGTTCCCTGCCCGCTAGGCAGTCAAGCAAACATAAAAACCCAGCCCCACCGGCTGAAATGCGTTCCCTGCCCGCTAGGCAGTCAAGCAAACATAAAAACCCAGCCCCACCGGCTGAAATGCGTTCCCTGCCCGCTAGGCAGTCAAGCAAACATATAAAATGCGTTCCCTGCCCGCTAGGCAGTCAAGCAAACATATAAAATGCGTTCCCTGCTCGCTAGGCAGTCAAGCAAACATATAAAATGCGTTCCCTGCCCGCTAGGCAGTCAAGCCAATATATAAAATGCGTTCCCTGCCCGCTAGGCAGTCAAGCAAACCTATAAAATGCGTTCCCTGCCCGCTAGGCAGTCAAGCAAACATATAAAATGCGTTCCCTGCCCGCTAGGCAGTCAAGCAAACATATTTTAAAGGTATAATAAACACACACACATAAATGAATACAGGAGGCAGATAGACAATCGACAGGTTCACTTAAAAAGGCGCACCGGATGAGTTAATTACCTGTCTCTAGTAGCCTTCTGGAAGCCGGAAGTGGACTCGGAGACAGACCGGCACAAAACAGGAGAATAACACAGGCAACGGCTGTATTATGGAGGTGATCAGGCTCCGCTTGTCCCACTTTCCGGAGGTCCGCTCCGGTCCGTTGGTTCCGGCCCTCCGAACCGGCTCTCCGGTGGGCCCCACGTTGGGCGCCAATTGAAGTGGAAAAATCAATTAAAGTATTGATTATTTCTTTGTGTATCTGCCCCTGGCCAAATCAATGAAACAATGCGTGCACGCTCCCTGAAGTAATTCACACCAGACACAGGTTCTAGGTTGTTGAATAACTTGAGGAAAGTTTATTCAGAGGGGACGGCAGGTCCCTTTTAAAGCAAAATTACATCATAAGCATTGTCAGAGATAACATGGAATAATACATCAATTATTGGTTAGGTGTTAAGTGGTTGCTTCAATGCTCTGCCTACTGTAGGTGATGTCACCGGGGCCATGAGGGTCTCCCACGGTTTACCGGCGCCATCTTGGTGCACGAGGTAGTTAGTCGATGTTAGGAAGGAGAAAGGGAGGGGAGGGGGAAGGAGCTAGAAGCTTCCAGCAGCCATCTTAATTATAACGTGTGTGCTTAGCTATGTGTATATATATATCGTGAAATGAGTAAATAGACATTTTTCACTAACTAGGAAATATGTGCAGACCTTATTTCCACAACATGATTCAACATGAATTTAGCAAAGTGCTCTTTGATAAATAGGAGGATTTGGCGTGTGAGGTTTCACTAACCTAGGCATTAGAAATAAATCATGTGGCAAATTCACAATGGACCAAATTTAGCATTTTAATCATTATAATTTAAATGTAGGCTAAGGTTCATGCAAGAAAAATTGACAGAAATTTACTGCTTCAGGGTGAGGGCAGTTGTGTTTTTTTCCACTCTTTTTTTTTTTTTATCCTGCCTGATCCCACTGGGTAAACTTTATTTAAAGCATGGAATAATTGAACAATCATTTTTTTTTTTTTTTTTTTATTCTCCGTGGTGTATTTTTTTTAATTTTAAAACCATGTGCAAGATTTTAAATTTTGAACCAAACTATCCTTTCACATTTAAAGGAACACTCCAGGAGCCATAACAACTTCATCAGAATTAAGTTGTTATGGTGTGAAGAGGTGCCGGCTTACCTCAACAAGTTAAACCGGTAACTAACAGTTGAAGCCGGTGCTTCGATCGTTCTGCTTATGAACATCAACCACAGTCCAAGGCTTGAAACGGCTAAAGCTCTCACCCTGTCTATAGCACTCCATTCACAAAATGACTTTACTCAAATATGTTTCTCAAGCTGTGTCATGAATGGGAAGATACTGAGAGTGTCAGCTGACACAGGGATTAGCTTTCCCTGGTGGTCTAGCGGGGGTTAGAGCTCCTTGGTTGTCCAGCAAGGGTTACATCTCAAACGTGGAGGAGTGGTTTTTATTCTCCCTGGTGGAGCAGTGGGGGGTTTAATTTCTTTGGTGGTCCAGCGAGGGTTAAATCTCCCTGGTGGTCAGGAGAGGTTTAAGTCTGTATGTTGGTGCAGCAGGGGAGCGTGCAGTCTGCACCTCCGGCAGCTGCAGATTACAGTAATTGATTCTCATGTTCTTGGAACTCACTAAGGTCAGAGTGCTTGCTGTAAATGTTGTGCTGAACGCTCCTGGAGGAAGTTTCGCACCCAGTCAGACTTTCTCCATTATAGATTCATATTGTGTTCATACAGTGCAGCCCTTGCCCTTGCCAAACAATCCTATTTTTCCTCTCTCATTAGTTCATGTTCCCGCAACCCCAGGCGTCTCTCTGACACCTTTAATTCTCTTCTTCGCCCCGCTGTGGCCACCCCCCAAACCAACCTTACTGCTGATAACTTTGCATGTTACTTCACTGACAAAATTAAACAGCTAAGGAAAGAATTCTCCCCTCCTTGCCTTTCTGTTTCTCTGTCACACATAGATCATGCCTTTCCTACCCTTCAGACATTCTCCCCAACCACTGACCAAGAGGTGGCTGCTCTTCTTTGCTCCTCTCGCCCCACCACTTGCCCGCTCGATCCTGTCCCATCTTACCTTATCAGATCTCTCTCCACTTGTCTCGTGCCTTCTCTAACACACATCTTCAACTGCTCGCTCTCTTCTGGCATCGTCCCTGCTGACCTTAAACATGCCACTGTAGTACCTATACTAAAAAAACCCATCCCTCGACCCGTCCACCCCCTCTAACTACCGTCCCAAATCCCTGCTCCCTTTTTCCTCAAAGCTTCTGGAAAGACTTGTCTTTACCCGTGTGTCTCATTTCCTCAATTCCAACTCTCTCCTTGACCCCCTTCAATCTGGCTTCCGCCCTCTCCACTCTACAGAGACTGCTCTTATCAAAGTTACTAACAACCTAATCGCAGCTAAATCCAAAGGCCACTACTCCATACTAATTCTTCTTGACCTCTCAGCGGCTTTTGACACCGTTGATCATGCTCTCCTTCTTCAAACTCTGCAAGCGCTTGGTCTCTGTGACTCTGTCCTCTCATGGTTTTCCTCTTATCTCTTCCAACGCTCATTCAGTGTCTCTTTTTCTAATGATACCTCCTCCCCTCGCCCTGTCTCGGTTGGAGTCCCCCAAGGCTCCGTCCTTGGTCCCCTTCTATTTTCTCTTTATACTGCCTCTCTTGGTAAACTTATTACCTCATTTGGATTCCACTACCACCTGTACGTTGATGACACCCAGCTATATCTCTCCTCCCCAGACCTCTCCCCTGCTGTCCTGCAACGTGTCACTGCTTGCCTTTCTTCCATCTCTGACTGGATGTCCTCCCGCTTTCTGAAACTCAATCTCTCAAAAACTGAGCTCCTTGTCTTTCCTCCTCCTAATACTGATCCTCCTCTTTCGCTCTCCCTTCAAGTCTGTGGTACCAACATCAGCCCATCCTTGCAAGCGCGCTGTCTTGGCATCATACTTGACTCTGGTCTCACCTTTGAGCCTCACATCCAGCATGTTGCCAAATCCTGTAGATTCCATCTTAAAAACATAGCCCGCATCCGCCCCTTTCTTGCACCAGATACTACCAAGGAGCTTGTCCATGCTCTAGTAATTTCCCGCATGCATTATTGTAACCCTCTCCTGCTTGGTCTTCCCAAAAGCCGTACTGCACCCCTACAGTCTGTAATGAACGCTGCTGCTAGACTGATTTTCCGCTCTAGTCGGTTCTCTCACACCTCACCCCTCTGCCAGTTCTTACATTGGCTTCCTGTGTGCTATAGGAGTCAATTCAAGGCACTAACTCACACCTATAAAGCACTGAATAACTCTATCCCCTCTTATATCTCCTCACAGATCCATAGGTATGTCCCTTCTCGGTCTCTCCGCTCTGTCCGTGACCACCTCCTGTCCGTTTTCCGCACCCGTACGGCCAACTCGCGCTTGCAGGACTTCTCGTGGGCGGCTCCCTTCCTATGGAATAGCCTGCCTCCCGCCATCAGGCTCTCCCCTAGTCTTGCATCTATTAAGAAGTGCCTTAAAACCCATCTCTTTAGGAAAGCTTATGGCCTCCAAGACTAACCCCTACCTCACATACCTGTCTCTTGCCCTCTCCTAAAGGGCAGCCCACCTTATTTGATTGCAAATTCCTGTCCTAATGTGTTTTACACCCCACCTCCTATAGAATGTAAGCTCGATTGAGCAGGGTCCTCTTCAACCTATTGTTTCTGTAAGTTTATTTGTAATTGTCCTATTTATAGTTAAATCCCCTCTCATAATATTGTAAAGCGCTACGGAATCTGTTGGCGCTATATAAATGGCAATAATAATAATAATTATAAATCTCGAGAAAACAATTACTGTGGTTATTTTGGATAAAATGTGTAATGCTCTAGTCCAAGAGTAGGCAACCTTCTGCATTCCAAATGTTGTGGACTTGTATTTCCTTGATGCTTTGGCAACAATATGGCTTTAAGAGCATTATAGGATATGTAGTCCACAACATCTGGAGTACTGCTCTAGTCCGTTCATAGTTTATTCACTAACCTTAAAGTATTTATTATGAGATTGACTTTTGTGAGGATAGAGCCACTTTAAATATTAACCTCAAACAGCAATTTTCCCATTTCGCAAAGTATTGTTTGGAATTAGTTATGTTGTGTTTTGATAAAACAGAAAGTTAAACCTTGTCCTTCAGCTATTTTAGCAATCTCGTTTTGGTGTGCCTCCCTCGACTATCAGATCAACATGTGTGGGTGAGATTGATGGAAAATAAACCAGAATAAAACTCATTAACACCCATACCTAATGTTGTGCAGTTTGTTTGATGTTCTCTCTTGCTTGGTATCAGTGCTATAAGGGCACATCTCTAATCATTGCTTTGCAATAAGAACCGTAAATGAATAATCATTGGTTTGCTTTTCTTGAAGACAAATGGGGTTGTAAATTTCACGTGAAGCACATTTAATTGCCTTTGCTATTTGCTGGGTATCTTTTATAGAAACATAAAGTGTTCTGATGAGCTTTATTTAATGTTTAGTTGCCAGAATCCAGGGTTAAAAGATGGTCCGCACTGTCTGTTCTTATGAAGATACAAACCTGCCTCCAGTTTAGGAACAGGGAGAGATAATCTGTAATTTTAGCACAATTCTGTTGTTTAGAGAGTATGGAGCCATACCTCCCTAAACTGGGTGGTATGAAGTCAATAAAGGGAGTGGAATGACCTATAGAGGGGCATGCAGAGAGGTTGCTCACCTAAGAAATTAGGGAATGTCAGCCTGTTATGAAAGCATGCCAGGCTGAGTGATGTCTTCAGTGGGAATCCCCACTAAGAGCCATACATGCTCAGAATGCTTGTAAAGAGCTGAGTATTCCTGAACAGACTATGAAAGTTTTTAAAAAAAATAATCGGATCAACGGATCAAAATCTTGTTCTGGTGGACTGATTTTTGGTCATGCCCCATGGCGACTAGGAATTTTGTCTTGCGCCTAGATGTTAGTCAGTTCAGCACTGGCCTCCTAGGGCCCCCTAAGAAGGGCTTTGGCAAGCGAGCTGTAATGTTCCTGTTCTTTCTCTGCTTCATTGCATGCCGTGCTGTGATACCAAGAGCTGGGATGTGATGTCATTGCGACCCCATCATTACTAAAGGGGAGCAGACCAAGAAGAGCAGGAAGATTACAGACCCCAGGCAAAGTATCCACCCCAGCTCTCCCGAAGGTAGGGAGGCTGGGTGGATGTAAATTAAAATAAAGCAAATAATAATAATAATGTGTGAGAGAATGTGTGTGTGTGTCTGTAAGTGTGTGTCAAATCAGTGTGTTTCTGTCAGTGAGGATGTGTGAGTATTGTTACTTTAATTCTAAAAATACAAGTCATATTCATGGTCACAAAAAAATCAAGTGAAAAAACTGATACAATGCATAAAACACCTGGTGTATTCATATTCATTATCTGCATAAATGAAATGCCCATTATGTTTGGTTCAAGTCTTGTTTATGTGTAAATTTAAAGGAACACTATAGTGTCAGGAATACATGTTTGTTAAACTATGTTTGTTAACTAGTGTTAAACTAACTGTTGCATGGGAAGGGTGTTTTTACTCACCTTTTTCCCCACGCCGTGCCAGTCTTGCTGTGGCTGGCCCCTCCTCCTAGGCTAAGATCATTAATCACGATGATCTCAGACATTCCAATGTTTTTCCATAGGAAAGAATTGGGAGGTTATTGGACATGCGTGGCAAAACGAAGTGCAACGCCAATCAGCATCTCCTCATAGAGATGCATTCAATGCATGCATCTCTATGGGGAATGTTCAGCGCCGCCATGCAGACACCGAACGTAGGTTCTGCGTACTGTGCATCACTGGACTGGGAAAGCGCTCTAGGCAGCAATGTTAACACTGACTGAAAAGGCAGTTATTACATTGAAAAGCCTGCAGTTACAGGCTATAGACATCAGGACCAGTACATTGAGCTGTAGTGGTTCTGGTGACTGTTGAGTTTTTTTTTTGTTTTTTTTGTCTCCTGCTCTGTTGATAGCCTTCTCTACCCTGCGGGATCCCTTCTGTGTGTGATTAAAGTTCAATTTACAGAGCAGGAGATATAAATCTCTAAAGTAAACACACTGTGCTGATTGAAAATTAAACCATTTTATTTCATGTTGACTGTGTGAGTCACAGGCAGGGGAGGTTTAGATAGGGCTGAATAAATTAAATCACAAGTGCCTTCCCTCCTAAACGTTAGAGAACTGACCAGTGACGCTGCAGGGGAGTGATCAACAATACTGCTTCATTAAGCTTAAGTTGTTTTGGTGCTTAGAATATTTCTTTAATGCAAACCTGGCCCCGAGACCAGATGGTATTCACTCATGACTACTTGGGCAATAGTGTATGATGATAGCATAACCATTGATTTCAATCTTTACATGATCTTTTTGTTCAGGAATTGTACCAAAGAATTGACATAAAGCAGATGTGGTAACCATATTCACAGCCTGGAAATTATATGACAGTTTTAAAGTAATAATATTTAGGAATTCATTTTAGGAATCAACATAGGTTTTTAAATTACAGATAATGTCAAACACGATTGCATTCTATGAAGAGAGACCACTCACCCATTGTGTTGCATGAGGAGTTGAACTCTATCTCTCCTGACCCATTGTGGGGATAATGGGTTCAAAAACTAGCAGATATGAAACTTCTAATTGTTGGTAAATCCAGCAGTCTTATTATCACTCCATCTGCTCCATCTATGTATCAAAGGGATACCGCCTAAACAGTGTAAACCAATCTCCATGTGTTATAGATTATCAGACCATATACCTTTCTCGGAATCCAAACCAGCCAAAAACACGGGGAGAGCGACCTGGGGTGCTCTATTACTCCCAAACGGTGGTATTCCATAGTCAATGTCTCAAATGGATTATATAAATCATCCACGCTCTTAGAACAACAAAGAAAGGTGCTGTACAGGTGGTACTTAGTGCCGACCAAGCTACATACTATTTTCCCCAACATGTCCGCCTCTTGTTAAAGATACCAACGTGCAGAGGGAACCATGCTACATATCTGGTGTCAATGCCCCTTGCTAGCACCCTTCTGGGAAGAGCTTCAAAAATTAATAAAGAATATCATGGGCTGCACCATAAACCACACAGCCTTAACATATCTCCTACTGGAGCTCTCTAGGTCAATTGCCAAGAAAACACAAAAGCTGATTACACATATTATCCTCACAGCTCAAAAACTTATAGCGAGGAAATGGAAAACTACCTCGATACCATCCCTGCATCTGCTTAAGCCTGACATCGATGTACAGAAAAACTATGAAAAGAGAATCACATCCATATTCCCCCCCCCAATAAACTAACCAGGGAAACATGGCGTATCTGGGACACATGAAGATTGAGTAACCCAAACCACCTGTAAATGATTCTTAAATGGCAATACCATATGGAGGGAAACAGTTATGCACTGTGACATGGTAAAACGTAGGCCCCAAAATAAGTTAAGGCCGACCTTGACCAGACGAATAGATAGTCTTTATTACTGTCTAGTTATTAATATGGACCATATGCTGTCGATGTTACCCCTGTTTCCCCCGCCCCTTTCCCTTCTTCCTTTTTGTACCCCGACTCACTCTACTTTGGAGAAACAATAAAAATCTTCAAATGGAAAAAAACTACCATCTAGCCCTTCTGTCCCCCCCACCCTTCCCCTTTAAATATAGCAAAATCTTACTTTTATGCCAGTCTGAGGCTGCCTCTGCTCCTGATCTGCCTGTTTGGCTGACATCTTCAGAAGTCATGTTCTGAGCCGAATCAAAATGCTTTCACATTTGAAAGCATTGGATTGGCTGAGCTTGTCAAGGAGGCAGATCAGGGGCAGAGCCAGCACAAGTCAAACACATCCCTGACCAATCAGCATCTCCTCATAGAAATGCATTCAATCAATGCATCTCTACAAGGAAAGTTCAGTGTCTCCATGCAGAGGGTGGAGACACTGAATGGCAGTACTGCCCCCTTCGTAGCACTGCCCCAGGAAGCACCTCTAGCAGCCATCTGAGGAGTGGCCAGTGGAAGTATCACTAGGCTGTAATGTAAACACTGCATTTACTTTTCAAAACATTGTTTACAGCAAAAAGCCTGAAGGGAATATTTATACTCACTTGAACAAATACAGAAAGCTGTAGTTGTTTTGGTGACAATAGTGTCCCTTTAACTGAACCTTTTATCCTACAGAGGTTGATAAGATAATTACTATTTTATGAATTCATATCATATAGACCCCAGAGCATACCCAATTAAATTTTTCATATTGTTACTTAAAAATTAAAATTTTGGATGTTTGTAATGCTTTTGTATTTGTTTGTATTTACAGTTTCCGATGAACATCTATTAGCGTAAGTATTTGACATTCGTTTCCTGCACGTTACATGTTTTCTTCAAAGTGAGAATGGCCTGCATTGACTTTGATACAGAAGCATTCCCTTAATGTGCTCTGCAACAGAAATAACCTGTCATCCGAATATGTCTGTCAGGAATCTCTGTCAATGCTCAGTCATGCAGCACAGGTCATATTAATGAAGGCTGCAGGGATGTATGTCTCATATCAAGAGTGTAGGAGCTTCCATTTGTAATATTCTTATAATATATGTTCTGCATAGGTAGGACCATCCAGACCAAAATCTGTGAGTTTTAAGGCCATTCATTTGTATGTACCCCCCAGGTCAATAGTTGCCAGCCCTCCCCTGACTAGCATAAGGCATAAATATATATGCATTACTTATAAATGTATCACAATGCCAGATTTGTGCATGCTTTTGTTTTTTTTCTATCTTTTTTAATAAGTAAAGGATATTAAAAAAAAAAACTATATATTTTTGAGGACCAGTAGAGTGCGTTATGAGAACATTATCCTTAAGCTTAAAATCTAAAAGTGATATACAGATATAGCTCACTTTACTGCCTGTTACAATTCAGCTCCTTGTACCTTAATGACTATACCCCCCTGCCCTTGCCTTTCTTTCTTGTTGCTTGAGCCGGAATTCTATGTTGCCATTGTGTTCTCCCCTGTCCATGATGCTTGACGTCTGTACTGTATGGGATTGTTGTGACTGGTGGATTGTGGTTCCAGAGATTGCTATACTCATGTATGTAGAACCTGCCATACCACTCACCTAGTGTGTTTAATGAGGGGTAGGATGCTTCTGGGGGTAATTGGTTAAAAAAACAGCAGTTAGGGACCATTTCATTGTTGGATTAATCCGGCAATCTTATTGATCATTTACCATTAGCTTCTAGAGGGAAATAAAAGCTCATGGTTCCATGCAGTAATTAGCAGGTGAAATGTAATTAGCAGGTGAAATGTGGAGCGCTGTGTGTGTGTGTGGGAGGCTATGTGTGTGTGTGTGGGGTGCTGCAGGTAGCAAATGTGTTTTGTTTATTTTATTTTTTTAAAGTTATCCTACCTATACATTATTAAAATATTTATCCCCTCGCCTCCCTTATTCTTACCTTTGGTGAAGGAGGGGGGCACAGCCAACCCTGGTGGTCCGGTGGTGGTAAGAGGGAGATCTTTAATGAGAGGGTTTACAGCAAGGCTGTCTCTACATGGGCCGGCAGGGGAGATGAAAGGATCTCCCCTGCCAGCCTTGGCCCATGGCTATCGAGGCCCACCGGCTGGACTGTGTGCATGTATTCAGCGGTCTGTGTGTATTCAGCAGTCTGTCTGTGTGTATTCAGGTTTAATTGCCGTATTGGCACTTTGAGGAAAAAAAAGTTGGCATGTAATGCAGTTTTGACACTCGGGCTCAAAACTTTTTTTTGAATATTTATTAAGTTCTCTGTAGGTTCTGGCTGCAGCTCTCCTGTCCTCCCGCGCTCCACACAGCCTGCTCGCGGGAGGAAGGAGAGTTGCTTCCCAGATCCCACTCCCCCCTCTGGGTCCTCCCGATACGAAAGCAGAGTAGGCGCCTGCCGTTTTGGGCAGGAAAGTGTCTACTTCTGCATTGCTGCCGACCGGCGCCAGCGTCCTCCCCACCCCACCCCCCTGGTGACCTATGGCCGCGTGCCCACAGAGAGTGCTCACTGACTTAATATTTTTGGAAAAGCTCTTCCAATGATCTAAATTATTTTGGATAACCTTTTCAAATTATTTTTCAAAATATTAAAATATCAAAACTATATCATATTCAAAAAATATATCCATATATTAAAATATTAACATATTTTTCCAAAATATCGAATCATTAGAAAAGCTTATCCAAAAAATATTAGAATCAAGACCGTAATTGTTCATTAATTTGTTGCTATTTGGTTGCTAGTTGCTTGTACAGCCTGTGAGCTATTGTAGAACGGAATAATTTCATAGGTGTGGGCTTTTGCGAAGCCATTTTAAGCATTTTTTACTTACAAAATATATTTAGACTTGATTTGCATCAGACCTATCGACCCATTAAATTTTTGGATGTTTATTGTTGCTTTTTTAGTATACAAAGTGCCAGTCACTGGCTATTTGGCACCATTTGTTTTTATTATTTTTATTAAGAGGTGTATGTATAGGAACATAGTGGAACAAAACATTATCATATGCAGAAAAGCTTTTTTTATGCCATAGAATAGCAAAACATATTAAATGTTATCATTTCGGATTTTTAATTACACATGTAGTGGAACAGACTTGAGCCATACTTTTTTTCTGGTTTTTTTTTTATATTCAAAAAAACTTTGCCCTTACCACATCCAAGTCTTAAACAAATATCCTCTTTTATGACTTCTAATAAAAATATTGGATCTGATATTGCAGTGAATCTCAATATTTTTACATTCTGCAATTAATTAAAAGGATATTGGTGCTAAATGTTCCAAACGTTGGTATTTTTAGCTATGTTACATCGATGGCAGTGAAATGTAATGGTCATCGGTGGTTTTATTTTGAATAATTGTTTAGTTTTTTTAAACCCATAATTTTGAAGATATTATTTTATTTTAAGGCAGTTTAGTGTTTCTTTGTTAGTGTAGACCAGGGGTCGTCAACCTGGCCCCTACTGCTTACTATTGGGCGATTCGGGATTTCAGGTGGACAGTGGTGGGTTCTGCGAAAAATGCCAGATGGGACTCGATAGCCATGGGCCAAGGCTGACAGGGGAGATCATTTCATCTCCCCTGCCGGCCGATGCAGAGAGAGCCTTGCTGTAAACCCTCTCATCCCACTTAGTTCAAGCAGAGGGAGGGAAGGGCCTAGGAGGCTTTGTGTTTGTCCTGCAAGCAGGCTGGTCTGAATGATGCCACATGTTACCATGGCAACGCTCTGATACAGTGCTGTGCTCGCCGGAGGACAGGAGAGTCAGCCTGCACCCGGAGGAGCTACATGCTAAAGTGAACATGATATCACTGGACCACCGGGACTTGCAGCATTATGTGCCCCCTTCCTGACAAAGGTAAGAAGGTAGGGGGAGACATTAAGATTGATTTTCACATCTTACTCACCTACACACAACATAGACCCTATGCACCCTTCACACACACACTCAAATGCTACACATCCCATACACACCACACCCCTCAAACAAACAAACACACACACACACAATCTGCCCCCTCGCACACTCTGCACCCCTTACACACACACTGCCCTCCCTGACACACACACACACAGACTGCCCCTCACACACATTACACCCCTCACACTCGGCAACACTCACAAACACATACACAGACTGCCCCAAACAGACACTACCTTACACTGCCCCCCTGACACACACTGCCCCCCTCATGCACACACTGCCCCCCTCATGCACACACTGCCCCCCTCACGCACACACTGCCCCCCTCGCACACACTGCCCCCTCACGCACACACTGCCCCCCTCCGCGCACACACGCCCCCCTCAGCACACACGCCCCCTCACGCACACACTGTCCCCCCACGCACACACTGTCCCCCTCACGCACACCTGCCCCCTCACGCACACACTGCCCCCTCACACACTGTCCCCTCACACCGTCCCCTTGCCACACTGTCCCCCACGCACCTGTCCCCCTCAACACACACTGTCCCCCCCGCACACCCTGTCCCCCCTCACGCACACACTGTCCCCTTTACGCACACACTGTCCCCCTCACACACACTATGCACCCCGCTCACACACACTGCACCCTTCACACACAAATACACACACACTGGGTTGGTTTTATGTGCTATGGATTTATATATATATATATATATATATATATATATATACACACAGTATATATTTGTGTGTTAATATCCCAATCAGTAATTATTGCACATTTTGCACACACACCCAGCCCCCTCACACACAAACACTGCACCTTTCACACACACAGCACCCCTCACACACACACCCACTTCCCCCTTCACACACACACACTGCACCCCTCACACACTGCCCTCTCACACACACACAATGCACGCCTCACACACACACACTGCACCTTTCACACACACACACACACACACACACACACACAAAAGAATTAGAATAGAAAATCGAAAAAAATAGGTAAATTTAAATACATACATTTTTTAATTTTCTTTTTTTAAACCGTTCATTCTAAAAAAACAAAATTGCCCTTGCTAAAAAGTTAGTTACTGCGGCACTGGTGGGCAGTATTGAAATATACCATCAATAAAGATACAAAAGTGGGCGGTAGGTATTAAAAAGTTGACTACCCCTGGTGTAGACGATTAAATTGTGGCACAATTATTACTAGAATTCTTTATACCATGTTGTTTTCAGGCTGAAGTTTATATTTGGACCCACTGCTTTGCAAGCCTTAGACTTGGTTGACCAGCGATCAGTCACACGTGTGACAAGTCCCAGCGGAAGGACCACCTTCCAGGTGAGTTATGGAGGATGAAATGTGAACTCCAATGCTTGTAGGTTGGAGGAAATCGACTGTTATCAGTGCAACTTTGTTAAATTTCACAGCTTTTGTCATACATTTGGTATTTTGTATTATTATGTCATGACATGTGATAAATGTGGATTGATATCTAATTTATACAAACAATTATACATTAGAAATAAAAATGGTTATTAATGACTTAATACACACATTTTCTTTTTATAAGACACAGAGAGACTGGTTGATTTATGTATTTTAATACACTGCTCAAAAAAATAAAGGGAACACAAAAATAACACATCCTAGATCTGAATGAATTAAATATTCTTCTTCTGAAATACTGTGTTCTTTACATAGTTGAGTGTGCTGACAACAAAATCACACAAACATAAAAAAATGGAAATCAAATTTTTCAACCCATGTAGGTCTGGATTTGGAGTCACACTCAAAATTAAAGTGTAAAAACACACTACAAGCTGATCCAACTTTGATGTAATATCCTTAAAACAAGTCAAAATGAGGCTCGATAGTGTGTGTGGCCTCCACGTGCCTGTATGACCTCCCTATAATGCCTGTGCATTCTCCTGATGAAGTGGCAGATGGTCTCCTGAGGGATCTCTTCCCAGACCTGGACTAAATCATCTGCCAACTCCTGGACAGTCTGTGGTGCAACGTGACGTTGGTGGATGGAGCGAGACATGATGTCCCAGAAGTGCTCAATTGGATTCAGGTCTGGCCTGGGCGGGCCAGTCCATAGCATCAAAGCCTCCATCTTGCAGGAACTGCTGACACACACCAGCCACATGAGGTCTAACATTGTCTTGCATTAGGAGGAACCCAGGGCCAACCGCACCAGCATATGGTCTCACAAGGGGTCTGAGGATCTCATCTCGGTACCTAATGGCAGTCAGGTTACCTCTGGTGAGCACATGGAGGGCTGTGCGGCCCACCCAAAGAAATGCCACTCCACACCATTATCGACCCACTGCCAAATGTTGGAGGATGTTGCAGGCAGCAGAACGTTCTTCACGGTGTCTCCAGACTCTGTCACGTCTGTCACGTGCTCAGTGTGAACCTGCTTTCATCTGTGATGAGCACAGGGCGCCAGTGGCGAATTTGCCAAACGTCCTGCACAGTGTTGGGCTGTAAGCACAACCCCCACCTGTGGATGTCGGGCCCTCATACCACCCTCATAGAGTCTGTTTCTGACCGTTTGAGCAAACACATGCACATTTGTGGTCTGCTGGAGGTCATTTTGCAGGGCTCTGGCAGTGATCCTCCTGTTCCTCCTTGCACAAAGGCGGAGATAGCGGTCCTGCTGCTGGGTTGTTGCCCTCCTACGGCCTCCTCCACGTCTCCTGATGTACTGGCCTGTCTCCTGGTAGCGCCTCCATGCTCTGGACACTACGCTGACAGACACAGCAAACCTTCTGGCCACAGCTCGCATTGATGTGCCATCCTGGATGAGCTGCACTACCTGAGCCACTTGTGTGGGTTGTAGATTCAGTCTCATGCTACCACTAGAGTGAAAACACCGCCAGCATTCAAAAGTGACCAAAACATCAGCCAGGAAGCATAGAAACTGAGAAGTGGTCTGTGGTCACCACGTGCAGAACCACTCCTTTATTGGGCATGTCTTGCTAATTGCCTATAATTTCCACCTGTTGTCTATCCCATTTGCACAACAGCATGTGAAATTGATTGTCACTCAGTGTTGCTTCCTAAGTGGACAGTTTGATTGGACAGTTTGATTTCACAGAAGTGTGATTGACTTGGAGTTACATTGTGTTGTTTAACCCCTTAACGCCGTTACGGCGTTCTATGCCGTCTCGCATTAAAAGGGCTTTAAAGCCGTTGCGGCATTACCGCTGGACGTCTGGTGGACTTACCTCCGCTGCGATCCTCTTCTGGAGGGCTGCCTGACAGCCCAGGCAGCCCTCCCACGGCAAATGAGGCCCCCGGTGGCCATGTGATCGCTCTCAAAGAGCAATCACATGGCCTGCTGTGGATCTGCCAGCAGGGGGACTGTCTGAAATGTCAGACAGTCCCCCTGCTGGTGGGAAAGTAAAAAAAAAAAGAATTAAACATGTGTAAAATTAAAATAAATGTATTTATAATATATATGTATATGTAACATCATACAAAGTGTATTTTAATATCAATATAAGTACATATATTAGTATTAAAATACACTTAGAATGACGTTACATATATTATATATATAACAGATATATATACACACACATATATATATATATATATATATATCTATATATGTATAATTACAATAATAAATAAATAATGTAATTTCATTCTAACTGTATCTTGTTATTAATATATATTGGTAACAAAATACACTTAGAATGACATTCTATATATATCTATCTATATATAAAATACAAATAACCGCAAATATATAAATACATATAATTACATAAAAGATTACATTAGTATACATGTAGAATTTAAATACCTATAAATGCATATATATTAAAATTCTACGTGTATATTTAAGTAATCTTTTAACATAATTATGTGATTTGATTAATTAAAATTTGATTGACATGTCTGACAACACAGGGAGAAAGTGCAGAGAATTTAATTCGCAAGCACTATATTTGACCCTTTAACTCTCCAAGACACCATAAAACCTGTACATAGAAGGTACTGTTTTACTCGGGAGACTTCGCTGAACTCAAATATTAGTGTTTCAAACTGATAAATTGTATTACAACGATGATATTTTAAGTAAAAGTGACGTTTGTTGCATTTTTTGCAAATGAATAGCATTTTTATGGACTATATTATTGTTGTTATATGTTTTACTGTTTTAAAACACTAATATTTGTGTTTAGTGAAGTCTCCCGAGAATAACGGTACCCCCCCATGTACAGGTTTTATGGTGTTTTGGAAAGTTAGAGAGTCACATATAAGGCTTGCATTTCATTTTTTGACATTGAGAGCATATTGTAGCCCAGGAATGAGAATTACCCCCATGATGGCATACCATTTGCAAAAGTAGACAACCCAAGGTATTGCAAGTGGGGTATGTCCAGTCTTTCATAGTAGCCACTTAGTCACAAACACTGGCTAAGTATTAGTTTTTTGCTTTTTTCACACAAAAACAAATATGAACGCTAACTTTGTCCAGTGTTTGTGACTAAGTGGCTACTAAAAAAGACTAAACATACCCCACTTTCAATACCTTGGGTTGTCTACTTTTTCAAATGGTATGCCATTATGGGGGTAATTCTCATTCCTGGGCTACCACACCGTCTCAAAGGTAACATTACTAATCTGGCAAATTTCAATTTGAAAATGTAATGTGCTATATTAGACCCTGTAACTTTCCAAAACACCATAAAAACCTGTTAATGGGGGGTACTGTTTTACTCGTGAGACATCGCTGATTACAAATATCTTTCCTTTTTTTTGCAGTAAAACCTAACATTATTATGACCTTAACAGCTAAAATGTCAGACGGAAATACAAATTTTAAAAACAAAATCTTATTTTCTCACATTTTTTTTAAATTTTATTCATAATAAATAATGTTCCATATATGAATAGTTAATGATAAATTAAAGCCCTGTTTCTCCTGAACAAAATGAAATATAATAAGTGTGGGTGCACTTAATGTGACAGCGGTGAATTACGGTTGAACAGACATATAGCGCAAATTCCAGTTTTTGTTTAGGTTTTGTTTTGATCAGAACGTGTACTATTGACTCCGTCCTGAAGGGGTTAAGTGTTCCCTTTATTTTTTGGAGCATGTATTATTGACTAGCGCTTTGGGTGTAGTCCTATTTGTTTCAAGCTTTTCCCATCAGCTTATTTAAATAAATAAAGACATAAGGGGTATCCCAGGCAACCAAAGCTTACCAATTAGCTTAAAAGATTTCTAAATCAACACTTTCTGACTACGGGTCACTGAAAGACTCCGTGGCAATTCAGAGAGAAATGTCTGCAGCGATTAGGAAGTCATCCTAATCCCTATTGATCACAGACAAGATGTCCACTATGAGTGTATAGCACAAGCTCATGCTGTCGAAACACTTGGACAGATAATGAGCAAGTGAGATTTCCCCACTATGTAGTCATTTGTTAAAGGGGTGGGTTTTGTGTGCCAGGGATTTTTATATATATATATATATATATATATATATATATATATATATATATATATATATATGTGTTAATAGAATTGCATACCCGATTAGTAATTATGATAATTGTACATTTTCCAACAATTTGATTAAATTTTTTTTTTTTTTTTTTTAAATGGCTCTACCTTTTGTAAACTTGTTATTTTAGACTTTGACCTTCAGACAAAGAAGTCCCTAATTTGTGTTATAATATATTTAGATTGCAACAGATTCAATATGACTATTTTATAAAGATGTAATCTTTTAGAAATACACAAAAGTGACAGATTGAGGACAGAGACAATTTAAACTGAAACTCAAATGAAAGTTTTTTTTTTTTTTTTTGTTTTTTTTTAAGGCATAAATTATATATAGCATGAAGCCAAAATGGGTGGTAAACTCAACTTGGAACATTGTTTAAACGTGATTGCATGTGTGAAATGGTCTGCTGCTATGATTGTAATTCACACCTCTTACGTGTTCTGGTCAGAAATTCCTAGTAACAGTTCACACATTGGCAATGGTTCATAACACTTCTAGAACCCAAAATGATTGAAACATGACCACTTTTTTGATTTGAAGTGGTCATAGTACCTGGGCTCTGAACTCTGCACATACAGAGATTAATCCCTTTGCTTCCAGACATGTAACTCCCCAAAAAATGTTAGTGCATCTCTATGTATTGGTTTGCTTAATATTTCCCTGAGGGAAGTCTTTTTTTTAATTTTTTTTATTATTTTTGGTGCGCAGTGAGTTATACATAAGCTTGCCTTGCCACGACAGTAAGGACGGGTGCAATCATGATAATACAGTGTGACAAGGAACAAACAGTGAGCGAAAATTATAAGGAACTATGAGATCACTTTTGATATTATGCACATTTTTAAAGTATATCAGGATTTTAGCCCTGGCTGAGGAGTAGAGGTGAAACATTCTAACGTGGTTGTTTCATGTGGCATCAATCCCCTACCAGGTTAGTTTCAGGCAGTATACATGGTCAGGCGAGAGTGAATGGGGGTGTTGGCATACTGGGTGTCTATAAGTAACAAACTAATTACGTGGAGGTAGTAGTAGAGTATAGGTATAGCTTCGTTGTTCATGAGGGTTTGATGTGAGAAGAGCGTACGGGTACCCAAAGTAGTAGATTGTGTTATGAGGAGGACTTCTTGGTTCCCCAAAGTTGTAAGGACCCCTTATGGGTGTGCCTAGTGTGTATGTGTGTGCGAGACAGGACTTGAACTGCTCCCAGCAGGACCTGGCAATAGAAGGTATGAGCAACAAAAGGGTAACATAGTAGTATTTTGGTAACAGAAAAAAACTAAAGCAAAAAATACAAAAATAGAATATTGATGATCTGTTATAGGTTGCTTCCAAACGTGGAGCAGCATCTCCTTCCTTCAGGTGGTTGGCGTGATCCTCAGTGTGCCTCTTGGCACGAATGGTACAGCTGACTCTGGGTTCCGGACTTGGGTGAGAGGTGGTGCAGAGGTTGTAGGCGTGGCGTCAGCAAGGCCCAGAGCCAGGAGCAGCGCAGGTGCTTCAGATTCCGTAGAGAGCTTTTGTGGGAATTGTGGGAAAGTGAGTCAAAGCTAGTCAAGCGTAGGAAAAATACATAAGACAAAGTAATCCCTACTTTGTTTATGCTTTAAAGAAGCTAGAGCAGATAGGAAGAAAAGAAGAACAGATCCTGAAAGAGGGAGAGAAGAGAAAGCGATTAGGGAAAGGTAAGTTTGGCATGACAGTGCTGCTTTAAGCTCGTGTGTATATCCATCTATTTATGATCTTTTCCCATGTGTTCCTGTTCGACTCTGCTGGGAATAGACCGGCATTAATTGCAGCACTTACATAGAAACATAGAATGTGATGGTAGATAAGAACCATTCGGCCCATCTAGTCTGCCCAATTTTCTAAATACTTTCATTAGTCCTTGGCCTTATCTTATAGTTAGGATAGCCCTGTGCCTATCCCACGCATGCTTAAACTCCTTTACTGTGTTAACCTCTACCACTTCAGCTGGAAGGCTATTCCATGCATCCACTACCCTCTCAGTAAAGTAATACTTCCTGATATTATTTTTAAACCTTTGTCCCTCTAATTTAAGACTATGTCCTCTTGTTGTGGTAGTTTTTCTTCTTTTAAATATAGTCTCCTCCTTTACTGTGTTGATTCCCTTTATGTATTTAAATGTTTCTATCATATCCCCCCTGTCTCGTCTTTCCTCCAAGCTATACATGTTAAGATCCTTTAACCTTTCCTGGTAAGTTTTATCCCGCAATCCATGAACCAGTTTAGTAGCCCTTCTCTGAACCCTCTCTAAGGTATCAATATCCTTCTGAAGATACGGTCTCCAGTACTGTGTACAATACTCCAAGTGAGGTCTCACCAGTGTTCTGTACAATGGCATGAGCACTTCCCTCTTTCTACTGCTAATACCTCTCCCTATACAACCAAGCATTCTGCTAGCATTTCCTGCTGCTCTATTACATTGTCTGCCTACCTTTAAGTCATCAGAAATAATCACCCCTAAATCCCTTTCCTCAGATGTTGAGGTTAGGACTCTATCAAATATTCTGTACTCTGCCCTTGGGTTTTTACGTCCAAGATGCATTATCTTGCACTTATCCACATTAAATGTCAGTTGCCACAACTCTGATCATTTTTCTAGTTTACCTAAATCATTTGCCATTTGGCTTATCCCTCCTGGAACATCAACCCTGTTACATATCTTAGTATCATCAGCAAAAAGACATACCTTACCATCAAGACCTTCTGCAATATCACTAATAAAAATATTAAAGAGAATGGGTCCAAGTACAGATCCCTAAGGTACCCCACTGGTGACAAGCCCAAGCTTCGAATATACTACATTGACTACAACCCTCTATTGCCTGTCACTCAGCCACTGCCTTACCCATTCAACAATATTGAAATTCAAACTTATAGATTGCAGTTTATTGATAAGTCTTCTATGTGCAACAGTGTCAAAAGCCTTACTGAAATCTAGGTTAGCAATGTCTACTGCACCACCCTGATCTATAATTTTAGTTACCGAATCAAAAAAATCAATAAGATTAGTTTGGCATGATCTGCCTGAAGTAAACCCATGTTGTCTCTGATCTTGAAATCCATGTGTTTTTAGATGTTCAACAATCCTATCCTTAAACATAGTTTCCATCACTTTCCCCACTACTGAAGTAAGGCTTACTGGCCTATAGTTGCCCGACTCCTCCCTATTACCTTTCTTGTGAATCGGCACAACATTCGCTAACTTCCAATCTTCTGGGACTACTCCTGTTAACAATGATTGGTTAAATAAATCTGTTAATGGTTTTGCTAGTACACCACTAAGCTCTTTTAATAGCTTTGGGTGTATTCCATCAGGTCCCATTGACTTATTTGTCTTTACTTTTGAAAGTTGAAATAGAACCTCTTCCTCTGTAAACTCATGTATAATAAATGACTCATTTATTCTTTTTCTTAACTGAGGTCCCTTTCCTTCATTTTCATCTGTAAATACCGAGCAAAAATATTAATTGAGGCAGTCAGCTAGACCTTTATCCTCTTCTACATACATTCCTTCTTTTTAATCTAACTAATCCTTGTTTTACTTTTCTTTTCTCATTTATGTATCTAAAAAAAGTTTTGTCCCTCTTTTTTACTGACTGTGCTATTTTCTCTTGTGTGTGTGTGATTTGCTTAGCCTCTTTCTGACTAATCTTATAGATCATTCTGTCTTCCTCACTCTGGATTTTTTTATAATTACTAAATGCTAACTTTTTTACTATTTTGGCCACATCTGCGGAGTATCACAGTGGTTTCTTGAATTTTTTGCTTTTACTGACAAGCCTAATGCAGTTTTCTGTTGCCTTCAGTAGTGCAACTTTTAAATAATCCCATTTCTCTTGGACTCCATTTAAATTGCTCCAGTCTGATAATGACTCCTTCACACATATTCTAATTTTAGAAAAGTCTGTTTTTCTAAAGTCTAAAACTTTTGTTTTTGTGTGGTGTGACTCAGTCACTGTTCTTATATTAAACCACACTGACTGATGATCACTGGATCCTAAACTTTCACCTACAGTAATATCTGATACCAAATCTCAATTTTATTTAGTTTAAATACATCCTAGCAAAACCTCTGAACTGCTCACTTTATAATCCAGCTGTTCTCTTCCTACAGCTGATTATTATGTAGCTAAAAACTGTTTCTTAGATTAGCTATTTTCTACTTAGATCACTTTTAGTTTTTCTCGGAAATAAAATAATAAGGGAATTATGTGATAAACAAACCAGCTGTGCTGAAATAGACTGTATAGTTATTTTGTCATGATCATTTCACGGTAATGTCAACACGAGGCTTAAATCCTGCGGTCTGGAATGTAAAATATCTGGGATTTTCCTGAAGGAGATCATATTATTGCTTCTAATTATATTACATTTTATATGCCAGAAATTAATCCTTAAAATTCTAATAGAGGCATTCCATGTTCAAAAATGACATCAGAGCAGATGATGTAAAGTAAACTTTATACACAGATTGTGTTACTGCGACACAGAACAGACCATGGAGCTAAATAATCCATTTTGTATTTTAAGACCGCTTAGTCATAGACCCAGCTTTAGCCATGTACGTAATCGAGTGAGAAATGAGTGCAACATCTACATGAGAAAAAGGAATCGCTCCTAGATACAAAATCCATCTTTGTAGAAGAGGTCGTTAAAACATTTTCTAAGGTTCCAAACATGCTATCAGGCAGTATGAACCCAATGTAATTATTTTAACCCCTTAAGGACCAAACTTCTGGAATAAAAGGGGTTAAAGAAGCTTTTCGAATGTTGACAATTTGTTCGAAAAATGTTTCAAATGATTTATTAACAGAAATCACAATTAAAGTTTATAGAAATTTCATGTAAATTAATTAATAATTCAATAATTTGAAAACATTTGCCAAAATATTTTGATAATATGAAAAGCTTATCCAAAATAATTACATTGAGGCCTATAACACAGACCTGAGTGATAATTAGGGATTATTCTAGCGTCAGTGACCAACTAATCTAAATTTTATTAAAGACAGGAGGCGAATATTTGCTTAACTTCCTTTACTGAATCCTACCAGCAGCAAAGAAATAGTTAAACAGTTTGAACAAAAAAACAACCAATCAGAACAACATCTAGTCAGTAATATATGGCCGTGAGACTCCTCCCAACTCTTCTTTCTTGATGCAGCCGGAATGTGATGTCAACCGTGTAAACTAGAAACAAATAATCTTCAAAGAACCATAGTCAACCATGTAAACGAAAGGTAGTCGAACCAGTAGATCCACAAATCAATGATGTCGTGAAGAGTACGAAGATAGTTTCACACTAGAAAGAGAAGAAAATTTGTGAAAGTATGGTGTGACTGGCAGAATGGCAAATTTACAAACTCCAAGCACTAAACTAAACTTACGACAACAACAACAACTTGATATGCTATATATAAATATAATATATACACACACAAAGATGTATAAATACAATCTAATGACTAAACGGGTTAGTGAAAAGTAACACAAGGAACCTGAAACAAGACAAGAATGAGGCAGACAAAACATTTGAATACCTTACCTAAATATGAAAAGAATAAGGCACATAAAGCTCTTGAATACCTTACCTGCGTATCCCTTCATGGATGAAACCAAGGTGGGGGGGGGGTGGATACGAAAAAGATGTCCAAGAAGACATAGGGTGGGAAAATATTTGCGTCCTGTCTTTAATAAAATTTAGATTATTTGGTCACTGACGCTAGAATAATCCCTATTTTTATGGCAAGACAGGAGGCTTCATATTTGCTGTTTTAACGCCCGGAGAGTAAATGAAACCCCGGATGTGATTGAGGCTAGGAATAGTAGGTACGGAAGGTGGATTCCCTTGGCCAATCCGCAGAGAACTCCCTGCGATAAAGGCAGAGGACGCAGCCGTGCCCCACACCGAATGGGCGCCAAAGGAGGCCTCAACGCCTGTAAGGCCACCGGATCCACCGAGCAATCGTGGGACAAGACACCGGATTATGAGGATGAACGTAGGACACAAAAAGAGGTCCCGAAGGGGAGTTTTAAAGGAGACATACCGTTGCAAACAACGGGCAACACAAAGAGTTGGCCTGTCAGGGAAATAAGTTTAAAAACGGAAGAAGAAGGGACCTTAGTGCTTCAAACCACAGAGAAATGTACTCCTTCAGGAGTAAATGCAATAGCATGAAGGTCAAAAGCTTTGACGTCGGAGACCCGAAACAAAGCAGTAGGGCTAGTTTGGCAGAGAGTTGCCGCAATGACAGTTACGAGTTAGGAGGCCAAGCTTCCAGGAAGGACAAGACCTGTGCAACATCTTAAAAATGGGTATAACGAGGGGCTGGGGGTCAGGAGAGGCGAATACCCCGTAGAAGCCTGCAAATGGATGAGTGTTGTCCGACAGGAACCGCATCAATCAGACAATGAGCCGCTGAAATAGCAGAACGAAAAATGTTTATCGTTGAAAGGGATCAATATCCCTTTCCAAACACCAGCGAACCCAGAACTCCACCAGCTGAATACGTCCCTGGACGACGAGAGGGTGGAAAACTCCCGAGGGGTCTCGGAGGAGATCTGGAGCCAGGGGCAGAAGTAGAGGGTAATCTGTGGACATTTTTAAGAGATTGGGATACCAAGGTTGGGCTCTCCAGAGAGGAGTTATTAACAGAACCGCGACTCCTAGAACCCTGAGGCGATGGAGAGTGCGAGGAATCATGGGAAAAGGTGGAAACACATAAGCTCCCGTTGACGGCCAAGGTTTTAGGAACGTGTCGACGGCTTGAGGCATCAGGTCAGGTAGCCAACTGAAGAAGGTGTCTGTCTGACGGTTCAGTCTGGAGGCAAACAGATCCAACGTGCTAGGCCCGCGAGCCGATGCAGATGATAGAAGACACCCGGGTCTAGGTGCCAGTCGCTAGCATCATTCCAGTAACGGGGGAACCAGACCGCCACAAGGTTGTCTGACACGGGCATATAATTCTGCTCGTAGAGAGAGATTCCTCCCTAGACAGAACTGGTAGAGTTCCTTCGTAAGGTCCGACAGGAGCTTAGATCGAGAGCCTCCAAGACGATTGACATAACGGACAGCGGAAACGCTGTCCATTCTGAGAATCAAAGAGCAGTTGTAAGTGTCCTTGGCGAAACTGCAAATCGCATAGGCGCCCGCCATCAGCTCGAGGCAATTGATGTGCTTCGAGCGTTCTGACTCGGTCCAGAGACCTCCCATAGAAAGTGTAGCAAGTGGCTCCCCACCCTAGGAGGCTGGCATGGGACTCGAGGACAAAATTGGGTTGGCACCCGACTATAGCTTTCCCATTCCAGGTTTCCATGTTTTGGAGCCACCACTCTAATTCCACTCTAATTCCAGGCAGACCTTGTCTGTAAGGAAAACCGGGGATCACCCTTTGAAGTCAAGCTTGGGGGTCACCCAAGTGGGCAAATGGGGGTTACCCAAAGTGCAGAAATAAGTGGGATTCACACACAGTATTTATTTAAAATAATACCAACAATAAGACGCAGAAGCAAACCAGCGGAAACCAATGTACCACTGTAGCAAAACAAAAAAACAGGGGTCACCTGTTCTAATCAAGGGTCACCCTTGTGGCACATTTATTGTTTGGGTTTAATAATGAAGGTAACAGATATTGCAGGAGAAAAACCTCTTACCAAGCAAGTTGTGTTAACCAGTCAGTGGGGCAAACAGAGAAAGAGGTGCTCAGAATAACTGTATAAAATAAGATATAAACAAAAAAACAATATAATACTGAAATTATAGAACCTACCTTGGAACCAGTAGGAATAGCTAAATAGCCGCCAAAACGGTAAGTCCTCAGTGCACGACCGGCAGAATAAGCTCCATCGGCGAGATAAACCGCCGCACAGTAAGATGGCCGCCGGCACTAGCGCGGAGGCGGAGCCGTACACAATAAGAAAAGTGCGAGAAAGGAGAAAATTAAGCTGTAAACAGATCGTGGCAGTATTCTTCTGAGACAGAGTGAAATTGCAACTAGGAAACAAAAGCGCGGCCAGATCGCGGTCGGCAAAAGACCATGGGCGGTAATAGTGGAGTAGGAAAAACACACAGTGGGTAACACAGGGAATGTTGTGGGGAGGACCAAGGCCCTGTGGGCCGACAAAAGTCGGCCCCGAGGCTGGAGACCCAGTAAACAAACGGGATTAAAAAAAATAAGCCAAAATATAGAGGCAATAAAATTAATGAGACATTTAAAGTGTATTAGAAAAAACATAAATATATATATATATATAAACCTATAGTCAAAGGCTTGTATATTTAGAATTGACTCACTTGGGAGGCAAGCAGCAAAGAAATAGGAGTTGGGAGGAGTCTCACAGCCATATATTACTGACTAGATGTATTCTGATTGGTTGTTTTTTGTTCAAACTGTTTAACTATTTCTCTGCTGGGAGGATTCCGTAAAGGAAGTAAAGCAAATGTGAAGCCTCCTGTCTTTGTATAAAATTGAATACACTTACTCACTTTATTTGTTAAACAGTATTTATTAACAAGTATTAACAAATGTTAAAAGGACCACTAGTTACCAAGAGAGCCTAGAGGCACTTTTGCTGTGAGTAATCACAGCTCAACTCCATTTCATTAGAGAAGCACTATGCTATCTTCACATGCATTTTTCATCCCCAATGCTCCTCTAAGTAGAGAGCGCTGCCTGTGGACTTTTGTCTAAATTTTGTAGCGCTTTTACGTGATCTGCTATGTAAGCAGGGCTGGCGCCACCATTAGGCGAACTAGGCATTCGCCTATGGCGATGGTCTGCTGGGGGCCACCCACCAGGATGTTTCCTGGTGGGCTCTCCCTATCTGGTGACACAGCTCCGGGAGGGCGGCTATTGAGCCGCCCCCAGCGCCGGGCCAATCCTCAAGGCGCCCAAAGGTCGGGGCGCCGAGAGGTGCCCTATCACAGGGGGGACAAGAGGTGGCCATTTGGCCACCTCAGGGGGCGCCCCCAATGCAGAGCTTGGTAAGGCAGAGCAGGCAGCCGCTTACCTTGATGGCAGGTGCCTGCTCTGCCACTAAATGCCGGTGAGAGGGGCAAGGAGAGGAGGAGAGCGGATGGAGATGGCAGGCGGTGAGGTAGCTGTTTTAGCAGCCTCTCACTCCTCCCTCGCGTGCCCATTGTGATGCCAGGAGCCGGAATATGAAGTAATTCCTGCCCCGACATACTAAACGGCGCGCTGGAGGAGTGAGAGGCTGCTTCACACTGGACCCCAGGGAGGTGAGTGTTTGATTGTCAGTGAGTGAGTGTGTGTGTGTGTCTGTAAGTGTCTGTGGGTTTGTCTATCAGTGAGTGAGTGTATGTATATATGTCAGTGAGTGTGTGTATGTCAGTGAGTGTATGTGTCTGTCTATCTGTCAGTTAGTGAGTGTATGTATGTCAGTGAGCGTATGTATGTCAGTGAGTGTGTGCGTGTCTGTATGTCAGTGAGCGTATGTAGGTCAGGGAGTGTGTGTCTGTCTGTCAGTGAGTGTGTGTATCTGTGTCAGTGAGTGAGTGTATGTATGTCTGTCAGTGTGTGTCTGTCAGTGTGTGTGTGTGTCTGTCAGTGAGTGTGAGTGTGTGTGTCTGTCAGTGACTGTCTGTCAGTAAGTGTGTGTGTCTGTCATTGTGTGTGTGTCTGTGTATGTCAGTGAGTGTCTGTCAGTGAGTGAGTGACATGAGGGGTGGCAAAATGGATCTTTGCCTAGGGCGGCAGAAATCCTTGCACCGGCCCTGTATGTAAGACAGCTTGTGGTTAAAACAAAAGGTGGCAGGGGAGAAATAGAAAAGGCTGTTTCAAGAGTTAGCAGTTGAAGAGTTGGTGAAATGATAAGCTGTTAATTAAGGCCTTTACACAGGTTAAGAGGTATGGTATATTAAAGTAAGACATTGAATGTAGGGTGGGCAACTGCATTCTGAATGTTGTTCTTTGTGGGGAAAGAATCTATGTTGCAACCGAAAACATAAGGGGAAATTAGATTTATATCAAGGGAGTAGAGAACATACAAGGGGTGCATGTGAGTGATATGATGTTACAACCAGTTGACCTCCTTAAAAGGATTTAAAAGCTCCTATCCTCAGTGCTATTAATCAAGGCATATAAAGCGGGCAGGGTGTATTTGGTTTAAGTCAAATCTGTTTAAATCACTAGTCATAAGACTCAACTGGAAATATGATTTTTAAAATGTAAAGACTCATTTTCCCTGGTTGTTATCTTTAATATTTGCAACCAGATAAAGAATAATAGTAGTGATAAGAATATATAGATAAGAATGTTTCCTCATAAATGTATAGCTGTAGAGATTCCATTCCTTGGAAACTCATCTATTGATAAAGGTTAGTATAGAATATTGCTATGTAGAATTGTCTGTTGCACCTTAGCAGGTGTGAGGGACAGAGTCCAAGAATATAAATACAATCAAATGTAAGTAATTCATATTTTTTGGAACACTGTTTCTATTTTCTTCATGGTAGAACAGTAAAGACTTGTCCTTTATTGGTTGTCAAACGTTGGATTCGCCCAGCAAGTCAGCCTACCAAGGTGATCCATTTTTTAGAGTGAAATTTTGGAGTGAATCGAATTTTTGCATTTGAGACACAACTATTTTATTTTATTTTTTTAATTGGGAAAAGAGTTTCTGACTGCATGTATGTTTTCTAACCCAACATTTAGTGTAAACACATATTTCGAGTGGGGATTGGTGCTGGCTGTTGCTGTAATAAGATGATTTAGAAATGTTCTGGCTGAGGATCACTGTGCATCCTGCGTTCTTACATCACTAGATGTAGTAACCTTGCTTTATGTAATGTAGAAGATAAGGGCTCCCAGTAGCAGAGCAACCTATATGCTAGACAGACTCTGATATTAATGATAACCTTGCCAAAAAGGTGATATTAAACTCAATTCTTAGGTCTGCTTTAGCTCATTACTTACCACCTTCGAGCTTGACAATGCAGAGTATGCTTTTACTTCCTTACATCAGTAGTCATCTCCTATCGCCTTCCTCATTACTGTCCACAATTCATCAATCTGGATGGGATTTTAACCGTCTCCAATGCAGAAACTGACCATGCTACACTACCAAAGAGCAAAGTATTTTTTTTTCTTGCACATGTACAACATACACCACTGCCCAGTCACTGACTGCTTGCTGTTAAGCAGAAGTGTCCCCATTCACAGCACGACAGGTGGAGGCAGGAGCATAGGGGAGTTTTAAAACCTACCTTGCATTATGGGTGTGTCATATTGACTCCGACAGGTATTACATTTTCATTTCTTTTGAAATGAATAATATTGTTAGTCATTAAAAAAGGCTGTTAAATGTGCTTCTGAAGGACATTGATCCGAAGATGTTTCTTGAGCAACCAACACCTTTTTTTATCAGGTTCAGCTGCTACAATGTTGGCTGGCATTACATCCAATTGAAATTCGATAATATCTGCTATCACCAGTCAATAATCCGTAATAATTAAGATAAACTTTGAATTAATCACAGTGATATGGAAATAAAAAAATCTACTTACCAAGGGACTGAAGTGGTAGTCTACTCTACTTGCCCCTTATGACAAGCCTGGGAGTATTCTCGCACACCTACGATATCGAGCTCCTACAAAGGCAGGACATTAGGATAGGAAAGAGGGGTAGAGGGATTTGAGCCCAATATAGGGACTGCTCCTCCTAAATAGAGACAGATGGGGAAGGTATACATTCTAGTCTCATCTTCTTTATATAACTCCATTACTCACCCTTTCTATTCTTCCTTTCCCTATTAACAATAAAAATGGCAGATTCTTATATATATTTGACTACTTTGTTATGACTTGTGCCCAGATGTAATTTTGCAATAGAAATGTACTTTTGAAAAAAAGAAATACAAGTTCAAGAAATACAAGCTAAAATACGTTTTAGAAAGCCTGTCTTATGAAACCTTTTAGTCTTTTTAGTTTATTAGAACCTCCCAGCCGGGGCATCTGGTAATATACTTTCTTCCCTTTAAAGAAAATAAAATTAGACTGGCCTTCTGCCATAAGCCATTTTATTTCTTTATGTATTGTTTATGACCTTTACATTATAATACTTGAGCAAATTACCTGCAAATTTGTGTTCTTTCTATAGCATAAAATGCAGACACTTTCAGTAACTCTCGTTGGTTTAGCCATATGTGTTCTTAACAGCTTTGGAAATATTTAGAATCTTTGACTTTGGCTGAATTCTTTTGAAGGGTCACAGTTGCTTTTCTATTAATAAAGATGTATTTGATCGTCTTGTTGACTTGCTTGTTCATTAGGGACTCACTGTCCATCATGCATACATCTGGCTTGTTCAAAACTGCAGTTTCCAAACACAAAAAATATTATTTTTGGAAAAGTCATCATACTTTCTATATATCTTTTTATTGCACAACATATTTCTCATGGTCTTTTGACCCAATGACTGCAGTTGTTGTGGGTGTTCCTATATTGATTATTTGATTATTGATACCTGTTTTTGTATAGAAGAAATCTACATACATGTACGTAGCTAAGCCTTGAAAGTTATGGTTTAAAAGTTGTGCAAGCATTAGGTTGTTAGAGTTAGGGCATGCCAACATAGGGTACATTGGCGTTGTGGCCGGCTTATGCAATGTATGATAATTTGTAACTCATTGATTAGGCCTACGAGAAGGGAGAAGTTGGGTAGCTGTTGTGCAGAAATACCGTGTTCTAGTTTGATATTGTCCCTGTTAATGGGACCAGTCTCATATGCTAAAGGTTTCTTCTGTCAAGACACAAACAAGTTAATACAGTATTTATTTTTAACCGTCCATAGAGTTGGCAGTTACATTGTATATCTATTAAATGTTTTGTCATTAGTCTTATTCTCAAATTTCATATTAAATTCCTATATCTGCCTGTGATTTCACAGCGGTATCAGCGAGAATCATTCAGTGTATATGGGAGGTTTGGATACTGTTAAGACTAAAATAAATGCTTACTTTATAGCTGAGGATCAATGTCGTATAATGTGATTGTGTTGAATTCAGTGTAAAACTCAAAAAAGACTTGATAGCCAAAATGCTGGGATATGTCCAGGTTTTCTATTCCACAACTGGACTATCGTAGCCTTCTTTGTGGGCATTTATTAGGCAATAACATTGTTGAATTAATTTCAGTGACGTATTTGCGGTATTAATGTTTTGGTATAAGTTTTCTAATCTATGTACGAAATAAAAGAATTTGCATTAACCTTAAATGGAAGATAATTGATCGTAATCTGCATCGACTAACATTTTTTTTTGTACTTTTTTTCATTCACAAATAAATTGCCTCTGACCATACATATTAAAAAAAAAAACACTATAGGCCTGACAGCAGACCGAGGCAGCTGCATGCAACTGGGGCTCCTCCACAGAATCCTACTTTTGACTAATTTCAGGGGTATTATACCTGCTTTTTTAGCTGCTTCCTGAGCTCACATAAGCGATTTCTGCAAACCGATCGACTGGTTGAAGCGTAGCTCGTAGCAGCCACTACTGCAAGCATCGCCGGCCTACTTATGCAACCGAGTCAGAGAGGATGGCCGCTCATTCGACTCATAAGGATCAACTTGTTTCAGGGAACTGTTCCTCCCCCCCCACCCCCCTTTTTGACCGGGGGCTCCACCAGTACATGCAGAGTGGGCTTAGCTGTGGGAGCCTGCGCACTTCGAGTATCAGAACCTGCGGCCTGCATCCCAAGTTGGCTGCCAAAGCAGCACTGGCAACCCGACCCTCCACGAGGAGTGAATCCAGCAGACCTTTGAGCAACTGTGGACGCAATTCTGGGCCAGAATATCTCATCGGGCGAAGAAGTTGACAGCAGCAGACAACACTCAGGGTAGAGACCTGCCAGGGTCCGCACTACAACAGCCCTTACAACGAGAAGGCAGGGAAGATTTTGGAGAAAGCCATGACCACAGGGACGCAACTCGGAGAAAAGTTGTCACTCATCTGGGCCTCAGTCCAACAAGGGCAGTATCCCTCTTCACAGCTCACATAATCAGGAGGCTCCGGATATGCAACACTCAGACAGAGGATCCCGTAACCCAGTTCGGGTCACTGAACGTGACCATATGCGTGACAGTATTGTGCAGGACTGTGTCAGTGCGTGGGGCAACACTCTGGGGGTCTGGTACACTAAAAATCAGCTGAATGTGAAGTGCTGTTTGTTGGGCGTAGGCTGAACATCCTACCAGCATTAGGGCCTGGGCACCACATTTCTTCTGGCCCTTAGGCTCACATGGGGCAAATGCTTTTAAGTTTTAATGTTGTGTGCTTTGTGTTCTGTTGGTGGGCACCAGTGGTTTTATATTCCTGTTATAATATCTGCCAGTTTGATAGCATATTTACTGTTTACCTAGCAAGTCTATCCATGATCATACCTTTTAAGCATTCTCTTGTCTGAAGTTCCTTACCTAGAAAGCTAAGATTACGACATACGCTCAGTTACATGTGCCTATCCTGTTTTGGATAAGTGTCTTTATGATTTAAAAATTGAAGCAGTCTGTGCCAGGGATTTATTCTTGCAAGCTTTTTGACAAATAATACTGTTATATAATGCCTAGCATACCAATTCAAATTAATATTTGGCCTAACAGCTAGACACAACTGACTTGCTAGTTACTATTACTTACTTTTTATAAAAAATGTGTAATGTTTATACATGCCATGCTTTATATTACTATGTGTGTCATTGAGTGACTTGTCTATGCTGTCGTGGCATCGCAAGTGCTTATGTTCCTACTTGTATGCACTGAAAAATAAAGAATGTAAAAAAACACCAAAAAAAAAACTATAGCGTTAGAAATACAGCTGTATTCCTAACGCTACATCCCTGGTGCCCTCTGTCAATTAGGTCCATCTCAACTGTTTTTTGTTGTTGATTTTTTTTCAAAAAAATATGAAAAATAGATTACTCAATTTGTCTGCAGTGCTGAGTCTTCCTCTGCGCTGCTGTGACCTCCTCCCCAGGTTATGTCTTCTCCAGAACGAAGGGCCAATCCAATGCTCCTCATAAAGGAGCATTGGGGAACATAAGGCGCATGCATGGCGCTTGCTGCAGTGCACCTACGATTCCTCCACAGGGAATCATTGTACTCAGTGAATCGACAATGATGGCATTGGGCGTGCACACGTGACGTCACGATATGTTACGGTAATGGAGTCAGAAAGTAAGACTCCTGGCTCTTATCCCGAAATGGCTTGTATATGTGTCTTAAAGCCATGCTTCCAAGCCTTCTAATAAGTTTAATATTGGGTTTTGGGTAGGACAGTGTGACCAGCACTAAAGGCACTATAAAAACTTTAATACAATGAAGTTTAATAAGATAAAGTGCATACAGTGTTCCTTTAGAGTTTTTTTGTGTGTACATGCATATTTATTCAGCTGGAATTCAGTCTAATTGTAGTGCCTTTTAACTGTTGTCGAAATGAATGGGAACATTAGAAAATATATTGATTAGTATGCTGTGACAATATTGTGAAGGAGATTAAATATTATACTCTGGACTTAATATATGTCTGATTTAGAACACACTAAAGAAGAAATAGAATCTTAAATGCACTATGCCCTTTAATATTTAATATTAATATTTTATATTTTTGGATGAACTTGTAAATATTTTATTTCCCTCCAAAATATTAAAATATGAAAGATAGATGATATATTAAGAAACATATCAAAATATTAAAATATTTTTGAAAAGATTAAATCATTTGAAAAGCTTATTAAATCAAGGCCTTAATTTTATTTCTTCTTTAGTGTGTTGAAACCCAAGTTGGTAGTTTTCTTTTTTTATTTCACATATTCATTCCAATAGTATTCTTAATTATACCAAGGTAAATACTTCAAAATCGTTTTTACGGAATAACATTGACAGGCGCATTTCTCAAAATGAGTCACCTTCAGGTATGTCCCTTATGCTTATCACCACGTCATACAAACCAGACTCACTCCAAGCTTTGTGGATACCAACAAGCAAAAATCATTATGGCTGAATATATCTTGCATTCAGTCCAATGCTGTAGATATGAATTTACATCTGTATTATTACCTAGAATTGATGCTTGTGTATCTTGTTTTACTTTTGTTCTTGCTCTAAATCTTGAATGTCTTTATATCTAAGTATCATTTACCACAGTACTTTTAAAACTTTTACAGAGAAGTACCACTGCAGGTCTCAAAAAACTAAAATCCTAAGCACCCCTGCCGTGAGAAAGTAATTTCTGTTAAATCTAAATTCCAATTAAAATGTGTAGACACGGATATTTAAGCTTATCCCATATTTTAAGTCCACCCATCCTCCCTAACTTTGGGAGAGATGGAGTGGATCATTTCCCTTGGGTCCAGTGGGGGATGCTTTCTTTGGGGTCCAGTGAAGATGCTTTCTTTGGTGTCTATTGTGGGGCTTGTGTGATTTTTGTGCTCTTCCACAACTGCTCCCTTGCATACTGTTTAGTAATGCCAGGGCCAGAGTGGCATTATAACCCTGCTACTTGCATCACCACAAGGCGTGCGAGGGAGCAGTGCTGGAAGATCATGAAGATTACTGCTCCCTCTTAGCTTCCATTCTCCTCCAGCCAGCTGTCTCCTGGAGTAAATGTAGAAAGTAATCCAGGCACTCCAACAGATTCCAAAATCAAGGCAATTTATTAGAACATAGAACTGTTTCTAATAAATTGCCTTGATTTTGGAATCTGTTGGAGTGCCTGGATTACTTTCTACATTTACTAAATTTATTTTTGGTCCATTTGGGTACTGGGACTTTCCATGGAGCACCCTGGATTCCACAACGAAGGGTTGAGTGCACTTCCATTTCTATATATGTTTAGCTGTCTCCTGGAGGGCACAAGAAGGTCAGATGGCCACCTTTTGGCGCACCCCCTGTGTGTAGAGCACATACGCCCTGGGGTACGTGTACCTTAGGTTGAGAGACTAGGTTTTAGAAGGTTATGTTCTCGTATTCAAATGGCGATGTACTCTGTGCATGTATGTATATGTGTTTTACCAAAAAGCATTTTTATTGTACTTGCACACAGTGGGAGATGAACATCCAACAAGCTGCTACTCAGAACCGTTGGTTCCTGAGTGATTATTGGTAGAAACATTTTAAATTGGTTTGATGCTGTATTTGGGTAAAGATGGACCATTCCTTCTCCAAGTAGCATTGTATCAAAAGTATGCCAACACTGAATTAAAGCAATAAAACGGAATTAAGTTTAGTCACCCACTTAGGGCTACTAAAATGCAAAATCACATCCAGCCACTCCTATGAACAGCTATGTTGCCTGGAGTATCTGGGTCCTGCATCACTACTAAACAGCTGTTTAGTTTTCTATGTGCCCAGTAGCTTGAAGCCAGGGTCAGAGCTAGCCAGGATTAAAAATACCAGAGCGATATAGTCAGACGAGCCAGATTAAATCCAAATAATTTCTAAAAAAAACAAAACTGCCAAATGAAATCACTATCAGGCTCTAAGGAACCATGTAAGGGCACTGAGAGTATAGTGGATTCTGTTTAAATGGGGTGACATTCACTACCAGTTCAGCCGGTCTTGAAATTTCTGGATTGCATGCACAGACCCATCTAAAATTCTTCACCAATATTACATATTCGGTTGGTTGGAGTGGGCTTTGTTGGATAGAATGCTGTGGGTTTCTCATAGCAGTACACACAAAGACGATACATGGAAACTGGATCGTGACCTTGTACCCTAGACAATGCAATACAGAGAAGACCAAAATATGTTGGTCATCCTGGAAATGAGCCAAATACTGTAAGATTCTAAAATTAGCATCTGTAACAGTATCTGTGCGTTTCATGTTATGATGGGACAAGACATGCTATAAAAGTTAATGGTCCTGTTTTGTTTCAGTAAAAGAAACATGTATTGCGAAAACGGAAGTCTTTCACGAGAGACCCCCTGCTCTGTAGATCTCATGGCATGCAACCAACCCATCTGTTGACCCATTTGCTCTCTTTTATTTCCAAGTTTAATCAGATATCAGTTATTTCCTTCCTTTCACATGGATAGTGTATAAGAGGCAGTTGTTTGCTTTACAGCTGACGTTTAAGGCGCTGCTTTGGTTTTACAGTTTCCTAATACTTGTAGTCCTTTTCTATGTCCCACAAGCTTCAATTACATTTCCGCCGATAACATTTATCAGTAGTTTATTTAATTGACGATAATATTTTTATCATTTGAATCATTTACATGGCCACCGTTAAATGCATTATTGGGAAACAATAAATATCTGTTTGAATAATATCGATTTTCTTAAATTATTTGTAAAAAATTCTGTACTTGACATTAAAAATATCAGATTTGGCAAGTCAATAACAATTATTGAGCACACAATACTTGATAAAAAGTCTTGAAAATATTGACTACAAAAAGCTGTTGATTAAATTTTTTTGACTATTGGCGCATTGGTAGAACTAGCAGACAATATACAAATATATATATATATATATATATATATATAAATGTATATTTTTTTTAAATGCCTATCTGTTAAAACAGCGTAGGGGAGGGGGCATCCTAGTTTCCCTCTGCCCCCACGGGGAGGCCAAGCAATTAATAAAGATTAGCGCTCTGACTTATGAGCTCTCAATCAGCAAACTTGGATTATATTTTTGGACTATATTTTTTTATATGCCTATCTGTTAAAACAGCGTAGGGGAGGGGGCATCCTAGTTTCCCCCTGCCCCCACGGGGAGGCCAAGCAATTAATAAAGATTAGCGCTCTGACTTATGAGCTCTCAATCAGCAAACTTGGATTATATTTTTGGCGGGTTTTTTTGCTCTTTTTTTTTTTTTGCAATACAGTCCTTTGTTATTTAAAAACTTAGGTCAGGACAGCTCTTTTTGGGACTAAAATAAAGAAAAGAAGATTTAAAAAGAAGACATCTATGGTAAGTGTAAATGAAGATAATACTAGCGTAGTGTACTAATAATCTTAATTTTAATAATGACAGGAGGCGAGTATTTTGCATTAACTTTCTTTACTAACTCCATAGCAACAAAGAAATAACAAGTGAAATAAAGAACCAATCAGAACACAGCCATAGTCTATTTAACTGAAAGCTTATCCTGAGCACTTCCTTTTGTCAAATGAGACATCACAAGTCCATAACCAAACGGATAACTTCGAACGAAAATCAACTTTAAACTTGAAAACAATAAGGGAAACAAATTCCTCCCATAGGCGCTGACGACTGGTTAAACTGAAAGAAAAGAGACTAGTTTCAGTCAACCGACCGTATGAATATATAACAGTGAGCTTATGTAAGCAGTTGTGAATAAGACTAAAGTTATCTAACGATATCAGATGTTATCATAACTAGAACTATTCACACATGCAAGAATGAAAATTCCATTACTGATAATAAGTCTCATACATGTCATATAAAGTACTAGAAACCCCAAGTGTCCTATGACCCTATAACTTACCTTATACCAGGGTTGGGAAGAACAACAAAGGGGGGGGATACTCTCCCTTCTGTCATTATTAAAATTAAGATTATTAGTACACTACACTAGTATAATCTTCAATTTTACCTCATGACAGGAAGCTTCATATTTTGCAATTTTAAAGCCTAGGAAGAAGAGAGAACCCAGTGTTAGACTGTGGAAGCATAATGTCCGAAACATAGATTCGCGTGAATAGTCGGCCGCTTGTAAGATATCCAAAAGTGACGCGCCCGCCATAAAAGCCGACGATGCCGCTGCTCCTCCGCAAACGGAGTGGACACCGAAAGACGGGTCTATCCCGGCCAGTGTAAGGAGCCATCTTATCCATCTAGACAGGGTGGTGACCGAAACTGGACCGTGAGGACTGACATATGACACCAGTAGTTGTCGGGATAATGTTGGGTGCAACGTCTCTGTCGCCTTCACATATGCCTGCAATGCCGTAACCACGCATAGTTGCTGGTCTGAGGCGAAGAACGGGTAGAAGACCGATGACAAATCCGAAATACCGATTGTGACTCCCTCCGGAGCGACAGTAAAAGCGTCCATGTCGAAAGCGCGCACATCCGAGACTCATCTGAACGAGACCAGACACAGTAGGAAGGTACATTTGGCCGTCAATTGTCATAAGGATAGATGTTCGTTAGATGGCCACACTCTCAAAAACCGAAGCACTATGGCCACATCCCATAGAGGTTGATATTTGAGAGCTGGAGGAAGTCTGAGTTTGATGCCTTGAGATCAGGGAGTCTTGACATGGACTGCCGATTTAGCGGACCTGATGGTGCAGTATGACTTACCTTCCTCGAAGAGTTAAGAGAGTAAATTCATGATCGCGACAATAGGTGCTGTAAAGGGATCAAAAGTCCTGTCCCACACACCAACTGGTACAAGATCGCCAGGCAGATAGGTAACTTTTCCGTATTCCTGGGGCCATGGAATTCAACAGCAGATCTCTAGTTGCTGACGATAAGTCGTTGGTACACCATGCACCCCTGAAAGAGTCCAGGCAACTAAGGACAGGCGTCTGTCAAGGAGCATAGGATGTTGGTTCCCCACTGGGTCCTGGAGTAGCGTTGGGTCGTCCAGCATTAAAATTGGATCCTCGCAAGACATGTCGAGGAGGTCTGGGAACCAGGGTTGGCTCGGCCATAACAGTGTCAGAAGGAGAATTGTCACTTCTTGTCTCCGTATTTGGTGGAGTACTCTCGCAATCATTGCGAATGGGGGAAAAGTATAAGCCCCTTGACTTGGCCAGTGTTGGGTGAATGGCGCCCACCACCGTGCATTCCGGGTCCGGAAGCAAGCTGTAAAACACTGGTAGTTGATGGTTCTTGCGTGAGGCAAACAGGTAGGAGTAGACCTCTCTAGTTGTTCAGGCATGCAAATATCTGAGGGTTAAATTTCCAGTTGTTGTCGTCTCTCCAGTGTCTGGAAAACCAGTCCGCTGTAAGGTTCGACTCCCCCGGTAAATGTTCGGCCCTGATCGTGCTGTTGCGCGAGAGGCAATAATCAAAAATTTCCTTTGTTAACTCTGTCAGTGTCTGGGAGCGAGTACCTCCCAGATGATTGATTTAACGTACGGCAGAAACGTTGTCCATCCGAAGGAGAATACAGCAACTGGATTGCCCTTTTGCCAAGCTGTGGATGGTGAAGGATCCGGCCAATAATTCCAGGCAGTTGATGTGCGTTGTGAGTTCCTGGGTTGTCCATGCTCCTCCCAGTGGATGCGCCCCCATCCGTAGCACCCCATCCCCACTGGCTGGCATCTGACTCCAGTATGCAATTGACCCACCATTCAAGTTCTTGACAAACCTAATCTGTCAGCAGAACCAGCTGGTTGTATGTGGGGTTTCGTCTGAGGAAGCAGGTCTTCAGCCGTAGCATGGCACGGTAGTGCAGAGAGCCTCGAAATATGGCCTGGATTGAGGAGGACAGCAGGCCAACAATCTGAGTGAGTTGCCTGAGCGGGATGGAGTAGAGCATGAGGACCCTGCGGATCTGCTTCGGAATGGCCGTCACTTTGGAAGACGGAAGTTGGAGCGTGCAGGACCGGGAGTATATCTCGAAGCCCAGGAATTTAATTGTCTGGGCGGGAGTCAGTGCACACAACAAGTGTACCATATAGAAACATAGAATGTGACGGCAGATAAGAACCATTCGGCCCAATTTTCTAAATACTTTCATTAGTCCCTAGCCTTAGCTTATAGTTAGGATAGCCTTATGCCTATCCCACGCATGCTTAAACTCCTTTACTGTGTTAACCCTCTACCACTTCAGCTGCAAGGCTATTCCATGCACCCATTACCCTCTCAGTAAAGTACAGGGAGTGCAGAATTATTAGGCAAGTTGTATTTTTGAGGATTAATTTTATTATTGAACAACAACCATGTTCTCAATGAACCCAAAAAACTCATTAATATCAAAGCTGAATATTTTTGGAAGTAGTTTTTAGTTTGTTTTTAGTTATAGCTATGTTAGGGGGATATCTGTGTGTGCAGGTGACTATTACTGTGCATAATTATTAGGCAACTTAACAAAAAACAAATATATACCCATTTCAATTATTTATTATTACCAGTGAAACCAATATAACATCTCAACATTCACAAATATACATTTCTGACATTCAAAAACAAAACAAAAACAAATCAGTGACCAATATAGCCACCTTTCTTTGCAAGGACACTCAAAAGCCTGCCATCCATGGATTCTGTCAGTGTTTTGATCTGTTCACCATCAACATTGCGTGCAGCAGCAACCACAGCCTCCCAGACACTGTTCAGAGAGGTGTACTGTTTTCCCTCCTTGTAAATCTCACATTTGATGATGGACCACAGGTTCTCAATGGGGTTCAGATCAGGTGAACAAGGAGGCCATGTCATTAGATTTTCTTCTTTTATACCCTTTCTTGCCAGCCACGCTGTGGAGTACTTGGACGCGTGTGATGGAGCATTGTCCTGCATGAAAATCATGTTTTTCTTGAAGGATGCAGACTTCTTCCTGTACCACTGCTTGAAGAAGGTGTCTTCCAGGAACTGGCAGTAGGACTGGGAGTTGAGCTTGACTCCATCCTCAACCCGAAAAGGCCCCACAAGCTCATCTTTGATGATACCAGCCCAAACCAGTACTCCACCTCCACCTTGCTGGCGTCTGAGTCGGACTGGAGCTCTCTGCCCTTTACCAATCCAGCCACGGGCCCATCCATCTGGCCCATCAAGACTCACTCTCATTTCATCAGTCCATAAAACCTTAGAAAAATCAGTCTTGAGATATTTCTTGGCCCAGTCTTGACGTTTCAGCTTGTGTGTCTTGTTCAGTGGTGGTCGTCTTTCAGCCTTTCTTACCTTGGCCATGTCTCTGAGTATTGCACACCTTGTGCTTTTGGGCACTCCAGTGATGTTGCAGCTCTGAAATATGGCCAAACTGGTGGCAAGTGGCATCGTGGCAGCTGCACGCTTGACTTTTCTCAGTTCATGGGCAGTTATTTTGCGCCTTGGTTTTTCCACACGCTTCTTGCGACCCTGTTGACTATTTTGAATGAAACGCTTGATTGTTCGATGATCACGCTTCAGAAGCTTTGCAATTTTAAGAGTGCTGCATCCCTCTGCAAGATATCTCACTATTTTTGACTTTTCTGAGCCTGTCAAGTCCTTCTTTTGACCCATTTTGCCAAAGGAAAGGAAGTTGCCTAATAATTATGCACACCTGATATAGGGTGTTGATGTCATTAGACCACACCCCTTCTCATTACAGAGATGCACATCACCTAATATGCTTAATTGGTAGTAGGCTTTCGAGCCTATACAGCTTGGAGTAAGACAACATGCATAAAGAGGATGATGTGGTCAAAATACTAATTTGCCTAATAATTCTGCACTCCCTGTATATCTCCGGTATGATGTTATAATAGGTTGCTCGTCCAATTATATAATGCATTGGTTACCTTCGTGCGCAATTCGCAGAGTTCCAGTTCTATGAGATGAGCGTCTGTGGCTGAGAGGTACAGTGGGTGGGGAAGGGGGTTCTGTATAGGGAACGTCTGAAGTTCGATGTGATAACCTTTGACCGTCTGTAACACCCATGCATCTGCGGACAGTTTTTCCCAATTCTGGGAAAAAAGTGAAATACAGCCGGCAGTAACGGTTAAAGTAGGCACATGTAACTGATGGTCTATTACCTGTGGGGTATCTTGCACGGGCATGTCCATGACCTCCACAGCCTCTGTCCGATCCCCAGTAGTATGGGGTATTGCTGTCTTGGGCCCGCTTCCAGGTAGAATTGTTGTGGGTGTCCCGGACGGGGGCCTGATGGCCAAAATCAGTTGGTGGCACGGCCCCTTTGCCGAACAGCCCTGGAAAAAACACCCCTGGTGGGGTTACCTCTAGAGACCCTGCGCATGGCGGTATGGGCTCTGTTTAGAGAGGTGAACACATTTACGTGCTTGTTTAATTCCTTCATGAAGCCTCTCCAAAAAGTTTTCCCTGTGCCTGTGGGCCTAGTTCTTTTGCCCCAAGATCTGCCACTTTGGGATCATGCTTGGTGCCGCTCGGTTGAGAGGGCAGCATTGGTATTGCCCATAAAACAAAACCCTCTTTGAGTCCATTCTCTATTGCCATGCGCCTATTCACGCACCAAATCCGCCGTGAAAGATTCTGCCCGGGCATATGCGTCATCCGCCAGGTACATTACACGGGCCAGTGGCCCCATCGCGTCCAAGAGCTTATCTTGTGCTCCACAGAAGCTCCTTTCAACCCCTTTACGAGGGTCACGACCTCCACGTGCCATAAATGCCAGCATTAACTGGTCGAACTAAGGCATAAAAGCTACTTTATCTGGTAGCGACGGCCTGGAGCATTCAGCCCTCATCCGCTTGTGGATGTGTTTGTCCAGGGGCTTCCATATCCAAAAGTTCATAAACTTAAGGAGGTGTTCTGGTGGAGCCCACTCCCCGGAGCAGGGATGTCTGATGTTCCTGGGGTCGAACATCCTCTGACCTGTATTATCCAGAAAAACTTCCTGATCCTGAGCAGTGGACGCTTCTGTCGTCTCTGCATCCTCCTTACTCTGGGGCTCACCCAGAAAGGTCTCCCTGATGTAGGCGTTGGAGCCCCAATCACCTTCGTCAGAGTCTGAGACCTCTGCCTGCCACTCGTCCAAGATGGAGAGGAAGTGAGGCATATTTTTTTCCTCGTACGAGGAATCATCCTGGATAGGCATGGGGGCCATAGGAGCTGGGCTTTTTTTTTGTGCTTGAGGGGCGCCTTACCCTTGCTAGGGCATTTCCTGGAGCCCTTGCCCTCCAAATGACGTTTCGCCAGGTGTGCCCTCTCTCTGGAGGAATCATCAGACTCATCTGAGTCTTCCCTGCCCTGGGAGCATTCAGGAGCTGGCTTGATAGAATCAGGGGCCGCTGGGACACATCATAGCCTGGAGGTCCATGGGATTCTGGGTATCTTCCATGTCAGGGCTATATATATATATATATATATATATATATATATATATATACTGTTATTTTAATAACCAGGCACAGGTAGGAGAGGTATAGGGACCTTTTGGGAGGGACGTGAAACAGGTCGTAGGCCTTAACTTACACACAGCCAAATGGCGTGCGTCAATTAAACAGACACTTATAATCACTGGGGCTCACCCAGGAAACCGGAATTGCAAATACAGATTCTGTTCAGCAGCACTCTGGGTAGTACCCAAATGGGTGCTCACCCCTTACCAGAATACTAGGGTATACCTGACTGGCAGTCCAACTCCCCAGGGGTATTACACCAACCTGACCAGGTCCCTGACACTATGCACAGCACAGCTGGACTACAAAACTCAAAAACACAGAGAGCCTCTTCGTGATGGGAGTAAGATGCACGACTAACACCACCAAAAAGATGGCTAAAATGGTGTAAAAAGCCAGCTAAATGCGTTCGCGGGAAAATATACGAAATTAAAAGGGAATGTTGTTAGATACGAACGGTCTGTTCGCGTAAAACTACCGAACAATATATGCGAATGGGAAATCTCGCGAATGGAGAGCCGCGAACGGCCAGTTCGTGCACAAGCCGCCAAATGCTATGGCAAGAATAGGCACGAACAGGAAAAACCCGCGAACGGACCATTCGTGCATAAATGCATGAATCAATAGAGTTCCCTGCCCGAACACACTGAAGTCAATGTGAACGGCACGGGAAAACAAGGAAAGTGGCAAACGTAGCCACCGGTGAAGGGGTAGGAGGAGGAATAGGCCACCTCAGGGAAGAGAGAACCTAGGGAGAGTAATAAACAGCCCCACTAGAGAGGTGGAAATAAAGGATAGTCCCCTGTAACACCCACAGGAAAGGAAAATAGTAATCACATACAATAAGTACAGTTTTAAAACAGAGGCATAGAACAAGTACTCTGACCTGACTTGTGATGGAGCAGCAAAGAAAGAGGAAGTGCTCTGGATATGCTTTCACTTATATACACTCTGACTGTGTTCTGATTGGTTCTTTATTTCACGTGTTTTTTCTTTGCTCTTATGGAGTTAGTAAAGAAACTTACTGCAAAATATGAAGCCTATCATGTGGTAAAATTATTATTAATATTTTATTTAGAGAGGGGGGGCTAAGGACTTGGGGATTCCTAGCCATATGGGTGGGCATGGACATAATTTATTTTGGGGTGGACATGTCCACTACCCTTATATTTAATTGTAGGCTCAGTGGGTGAGGTTTAGGGGGGGACAATAGGCATCCACAGTTTTATTAATTATCTCCACCCACCGCTCATGGCTGAAAGCTGGGATGGATAATGTCTTCCCCTATTTATTATAATTATTGCTCCAATCCACTGACTATGGGGAGTCTGGGGTGGACACTAAGCTCCCCCCTGTTTATTCTCCTACAAATTGGCCACAGGTGGGAAAACAGGGATGAACTGTTACTTGTCAACGCCCCTTCTTTGATCTGAAGCCCCTCTGCTTTATTAATTTATTAGCCCTCACCCGCTACCCATAGATGGGGCACAGCAGGGTCTTGTGTTATTAATAGAGATGTGAAGGCCCGGAAAAATTCGGAAAAAACTTTTTTCTGTTTTTTTCCTGAAGGCTTTTTTTTTTTTTTTTTTTTTTGAAAATTTTAAAAAATATATAAAAACTGTGGAATATTTTATTTTAACATGATGAATAAAATATTTTAAGACAGGGTGTTCAAATATTTTCCAAATCATCTCCAATGCAAGAACAGTATGCATTTCTTCCTTTAGGAGGTGCTGTGCTGCTATTGTAACAAGAAAAAAGGTTTCAGTTTTACCAGTAATCTGGTTCTTCCCCCAGTGACCCCCACACACATAGATTAGTGTCTTCTTGCAAAGTAGTCATTTTTTCTTGTTTTTATTTCCTACTCCCCTAAGAAAAATGGTGAGACCAACATCTAGCATATAGAGGCATTTTCACATTACAAGTTCTTCTGAAAAGAAAAATGTGATTTGCAAATATTGTCAGATGCAATATGCATTTCCAAATGCTACCAGGATGACAAAACACATTATTGTATGTAACAAGTGTCCTGTAGATATTAAAAAATCCTTCATGGATCGAAGTGAAGAGGACAACAATGATGACAATGCACATAGTTTTTCTCAACGTTCTCGTTCAAGAAGTCTTCTTTCTACTCCATCTATAACGTCAGCAGCAATACAAAATGTTGTCCCATCAGCAGCATCTTCAAGTAAACAGATACTGAAGACAGTTGCATCCAAAAATTATTCACTAACTTCATTTATACACAAGATGACACCTGAAGATCAGGAAAAATTGATCAAGCTCTTGCAAGAGCAATATATTCTTCTGGAACGCCGTTTTCAATAACTGAAAATACATACTGGCAGGAAGCTTTGAAATTATTAAGGCCATCATGCTAATTGCCCAGCAGACATTCTTTGAGCAAGCCTCTTTTGGAGTCAGAATATGAACGTGTAATGGAATCGGTGCAAGGAAAAATTAATGAAGCACTGTGTCTTGCACTACTTACAGATGGATGGACAAATGTGAGAGAAGAAGGAATTATAAAGTTTGTTATAACAACACCTCAGCCAGTTATTTTACAAAAGCATTGAAACAGGAGAGAACAGACCTACTGCAGAGTATATCAGCTGTAAAATCTGTGATGTCCTACAGCAAATTGGGAGTGGTAAAGTATTTGCTTTGCTTACTGACGATGCCAGCAATATGAAAGCAGCATGGGAAATCATAATGGAGAAGTATCCACATATTACTGCAATAGGATGTGCAGCCCATGGGCTAAACTTGCTTTTTAATGATATTATGAAGTTGGACACCCTTCAAATGGTCTATAGACGAGCAAAAGAAGTTATTAAACATGTAAAAGGTACTCATATTGTAGCTGCAGTTTTCAAGAAGAAGCAAGTTGAAAAAAATGCAAAGAATAGCATAGTTACGCTGAAGCTCTGTAGTAAAACTCGGTGGGCTGGAGTGGTGATCTCCATTGAAAGTTTACTAAAAAGTTTACTAAAAAACAAAGAAGCTCTTCAAGAAACAGTAATTGTTGAAGATCTTAAAGTACCCAGGAGTGTAAGAAACACTGTTCTTGATCAGGATGTCTTCTTGGTTCAGCTGCAAAGTTCCCTGAAGATTCTAAAGCCAATTGCTGCAGCAATCACTGCATCTGAATCAGATAAGGAATTTCTGACAAAAGTGCACTATCTAATGACCAAGATAAAAACAACTGTTTTTTTAAATCTCAGTATATCTCCACTTACAACTATAGAAGAAAGTAAAGGGAAAGATTTTATTAAAAAGAGGGAAGAATTTTGTTGTCATCCAATTCATGCTGCTGCAAATCTGTTGGATCCAAGATTCAAAGGTGCAAACATAAGTGATGATGACACTGCATTTTACTGGATCACAAAACAAGCATCACATTTAGGACTTGATGTTGGGAAGGTACTTTCAGATGTTGCAGAATATAGAACATCTTCAGGGATTTGGTCCAGGAATGCAATCTGGGATTCTGCCAAACATATTCCTCCTGCAACTTGGTGGCAAGGTCTTTGCACAACACAGCCTCTGACTCCTATTGCTTCTCGCCTTCTCCAGATACCTCCATCTTCTGCAGCATGTGAAAGAATCTGATCTATGTTTGGAAACACTTACACTAAGTCAAGAAATAAACTGACATGTGAAAGGGTAGAGAAGCTTGTTTTGATCCAGGCAAACCTTCAGTTTTTAGAAGTTCCTAATTGTGATGACGGACAAAAAAGAGTAGCTGCAGAAGCAGAGATGGATACTGACAATTTCAACTCAGAAAATTATTCTGATTAAATGTACATTGAAACTTAGTCCGACTCTCTTCTTAACACTTCCCCCATCTTCAATTTTTTTTATGAGAATGGGGTTTTTATTTTTATTTAATACTGTGGAGAGGAAATATGAAAAATTGTTACTTTTGGTTTTGAAAATTGTTTTGTGAAGGCTTTTTGGCTGTTACACATAAACTAGTAAGCAGTTCAGGAGATTGTTTCTCCCTTTGTTACAAATAAATATTCTTAAAAAGTAAATTCTGTTTGTGATTGTTTGGCTACACTATATTTATATGCTAGTTGTGATAATTTTATGCCAAGTCAAATTGTCCATAGTCATATTTTATGTTCCTAAAGTAACATAATGACTTTCAATCTTAAAAAGACAAAAAAAGTGCTTATGTAGCATTTTGTTTAATTTTTCCGAAAATTTCAGTTCCCCCCCCCCCCCAAAAAACTGTTTTTTTTTCTGAGTTTCAAAATTTCCAGAAATTTTACATCTCTAGTTATTAAGTGTCTTATTACAACTGTTTGTCGCATATGCAACCACTAGCAGCATAGCAAGTGGTTGCAAAACATCCCTTGTACTAATAGGGCCCCATCGGCTTTTATTAAAATTTTTAATAACTGACAGAGTTAGTCATTAAAAAAAAGAAAATGCTGATATATGTTCTTTCTTGGGCAGCCAACCTGTTGATCAGGTTCCTTTGCTATAATTTTAGCTGGCGTTAAATCCAGTTGAAATTTCATAAACATGTTGGCGCAAACCAGACCATATTTATTGATCGTTTTCTGCCAATATGGAATTGAGGTAACCGTTTGGCATATTGTTTACATATAATAATCGTGGTAGGCTAAATGTACTTACTTTAAGCAAAAATCTGAAGCGAGAGCTTTGTTTTATGCAACATATTAAAAACTTAATATTCTTGATTGTTTTTCTCCCCTCAATTATTGGTGCTTAATGTGGTTTCAAAAAAGGATTTATAATGTTTGCAGTGAAATACCTAGTTATTCTTCAGATAAAGCCAAAAATGCTCTAAGACTAATGCTGCTGTCTGTTTTAGCTGGCATGTTTCTACAGTTAACATAAACTATGTGTCTACTCGTGTGCAAAAGAAGTTGTAAATTTTACAACAGAAAGATCTTTCCATAAATAAATCTAATCTTTGCTTTTTCGATTTACCTTCAGTGCTGCTACTGTATGACTCCATTTTGGCAGCTCTCTGATTTCATATGACCGATGTGCATTGTTCTTTCCTTGTGCTAGTTTAGTTTTAGAGGATGGTTAGTGAATCTTATTAAAACAATATTTGGAATGAAGTTAGAAGGAAACATAACTATCTGTTTGAAGATGAACAAATCCATTATTTGCGTCTGATTTCTTTTTATCACTATAAAACCATTCTACTTGTACACCATGTTTTGTATCAAGACTTCAGTTTTTAAAGCTCTCTAACTTCCAGAAGAGTTAGAAAAGAACAGTTTTGCAGTACAGCTAGCAAACTAAGTTTAAAGGGACACTGTAAGGCACTATAAACATTTCATCTCATTGAATTTGTTATAGTGCTTGGAGTCCCCTGACACTGTCCCTTCATATAGCATTACATAATTTTCAAGCAGCTTAACACCAATAAGGATCTCTTGCCACTGCAGCCCTGTCCTTACTGAAGGTATGACTAAGGCAGAGATTACACTCTTTCTTCTAGCCTACCTATTCATACCAGCAATGGGAGCTTTGACTGGCTGAATACAGTCACAGGTGCCAATTGCTGCTCTGGTTAATCTATTCATTAATACCCAAGCAGCACAGATGGGGTGGGATGCTAAAGAACTTAAGGGTACGCTATTGTCAACAAAACATTTTTAGATCAATGAAGCGTTTTTTTGTGTATAGATCATGCCTCTGAAGTTTTACTGCTTAATTCTCTGCCATTTTAAGAGTCAAATCACTTTTGTTTTTATTTATGCAGCCCTAGCCACATCTCCTCTGGCTGTGACTGACACAGCCTACGTGAAAATAAAGTAGTTTTATTTTGAATCAGATGTAACTTACTTTAAAAGTTTTTATCTCCTGCTCTGAAAATTTAACTTGTATTAAATACAGGATGCTCCTGCGAGGTCTAGCCATCTATTAACATAGCAGAAAATAAGAAATTGTAAATTAAACAGAATTTGCAATAAAGGAAGTATAAACATTAGTTGACTCTTTACAGGAAGTGTTTAGGCAGGCTGTACAAGTTACATGAAGGGAGATGTGCCTATGGCTGCATAAACAAAGTGAACGGCTTGAAGGTTGGGGGAGGGGGAGATAGAGACAGGATCTTACAGTTTTGTATTCACAATGCTATAGTGTTCCTTAACCCCTTAAGGACACATGACATGTGTGACATGTCATGATTCCCTTTTATTCCAGAAGTTTGGTCCTTAAGGTGTTAAAGGATTTGGAAGCCTAAACATGCTTTAGAAGAAGCAAAGGGAGGAGATTCAGCAATTGTAGGTTACTGATATAGTTCAAAAAGGCAGCTTAGTCACTGGGTCCGGAACCTCTCTTATCCGAAGGAGAAAAGGAAGAAGGGTGATGCAGTGTCTGATATGTCCTTGTAGATACGTAAATAACAAAAAGAAGAAAATGTATTACAACGATGATATCGCCAGTAAAAGTGAAGTTTTTTGCATTTTTCATGCACAAACAGCACTTACACAGACGATATTATTGCTGTGATACTTTTTGCTGTTTTGAAACACAAATATTTGTGTTCAGCGAAGTCTCCAGAGTACAACAGTACCCCTCATGTACATGTTTTAAGGTGTTTTCAAAAGTTACAGCGTCAAATATAAGGCTTACGTTTCATTTTTTTCACATTAAAATTCGCCAGATTGGTTACGGTGCCTTTGAGACCCTATGGTAGCCCAAGAATGAAAATTACCCCTATGATGGCATACCATTTGCAATAGTAGACAACCCAAGGTATTGCAAACGGGGTATGTCCAGTCTTTTTTAGTAGCCACTTAGTCACAAACACTGGCCAAAATTGGCGTTTTTTGCATTTTTCACACAAACAAATACTAACGCTAACTTTGGCCAGTGTTTGTGACCAAATGGCTACTAAAAAAGACTGGACATACCCCATTTGCAATACCTTGGGTTGTCTACTATTGCAAATGGTATGCCATTATGGGTGTAAATTTAATTCCTGGGCTACTATAAAGTCCCAAAGGCAACGTAACCAATCTGTCGAATTTCAATTTCAAATGTAACGTGCTATATTTGACCCTGTAACTTCCCAAAACACAATAAAACCTGTACATAGGAGGTACTGCTTTACACGTGAGACTTTGCTGAATACAAATATGTGTATTTTATTGCAGTAAAAGCAAACAGTATTAAGACATTGACAGTTAAAATGTCATGTAGAACTATAAAAATCAAAAAAATCTTATTTTCTCCAATTTTTTTCATATTAAATTATGTTTCATAGCTAAATATTTGATATTAAATGAAAGCCCTGTTTCCCCTGAATAAAATGATATATATTAAGGTGGGTGTACATTTGGCTCCGTCCTTAAGGGGTTAAAAGTTGTATTTTTCATTCTGAAGACCCACTCGTAATGCTAAGCTTGAATACATATGTTAAAAATGTGCAAGGAACTCATGCCACTACCTAACCTGTATACATATGTTAATATACGCTGTTGTGGCGTTGTGACACAGTTTTGTACCTACCTGCACAATAAAAATAAAGAATTAAAAAACAAACAAACATAATTTAGATCCCATTATGTACTCTGGCTGCCTGAAGGTGATAAGAGTGTGATTGTTGTCAGCTTGTTCAGTTAATGCCAAACTTGTGTAGAAACGTGACCAATATTTGGTATTGGCATCTGAAAAATTGGAAAAATTATATTGGTCAAAAAAGAAATATATATATATTTGTACACACACATATTGTGTGTATCTCCAGGCCTTCCTTGCGTGTCCTTACTAGGCCTCCTTTTTGCTTTATGTGTTTGTTTTTTTTTAGTCTATTTTACTGCTATTTTTAAGGTTTTACATCCTTCTTGTATAATATTGCTGCAGCAGCAAGAATGGATCAGGGAGGTAGAGAACTCTACGACAACAGAGATAGAAGGTTGGTCTTTTGGCCTCACTAACAGTTCATATTTTCAGCAATCTATGCATTCCAAAGTAAAATGTAATCACTTGCACATGTTTCAAGCAATGTATGTGATAGGCCCTTCAGATCATTTTAAAAGGTACAGAGTTTTCACTTGCAAAATTCACCACATCTGATTTTCATTTTAGTTGGTTTTGCCAGACCCACTAGTTACATCTTATAATATTGACAAATTCAAGGTTAATCCTTTCCCATTCATCTGTGTGCCAATTAAAACATTATACCACCCCACAACATATTTTTCATGTCAGTACTCCCACTACACAGAAGAGTCTGCTCCTCTTTTCTCCGTTAGATAACTGGAGTGTTTCCTGAAGAGATGATGGTTCCTACGGGATGGCTTGTCTATAATAACTTATATTGTTTTTAGAAATAAAAAGGTTAACCTCGTGCAGAATGGGCAGACGTGGCCTCTGCTGCTTACTGTGCGAGCTTCCTCCACACAAACATCTGTATGAACATAAAATGTGGGAAAGGAAATTCTCAGTTTGACATTCGCTCTTTCAGAACTTATGTATTCAGAGTTGCAGTTGCCTCCACCTGAGGAGATATATGACAATTTCTAGGTACTGTTTGCTTTAAACTAGATATGTTATGTTGTTTCATCAAAAGCACCAGTCTTTGCTTCTGGAGTCATCTTTCAGAATTATGGCATCTATGGGAATACGTAGAAACACAAGGGAAAAGACTGAACAGAATTATTTAAGGTTTTAAAAATATATATATTTTTAGAATTCTTTTTGTCTATTCCAAACAAATATTAGTACATTTATAGACCATTTAAAAAAATATATATATTTTCCAGAGGAATGGTTTCTATGTTAGATGGTCTCCAGTGACATGTTATTTGTGAGCCTACAGTTATATGTATGTAAGGTCAGGACCACCCACATTTAAACTCCAATCTGGTCAATGAATGGTTGTGGTTTCATTTATTATTTTAGAGCATAAATTGACCAGTTTGTATCTGCCGGGGTTGTAGTTTATCATTTTTTTTCCTCTTATATATTTTGAAAACAAAACCTTGGTACAAAACTTACTACTCCCCCATAGGGAGGCATGGTTGTATATTTTAAGCAGATAATTGATTAAGATGAAAAATCTATTTTGTGGTGATTTGGTTAGCGAACAAAATAGCAGTTTAAAGTTTAAAAAGGTTTCAAGTATAAACCTTGATCCCCTTAAGACACATGACATGTGGGACATGTCATGATTCCCTTTTATTCCAGAAGTTTGGTCCTTAAGGGGTTAAAGGTAGATTGAGAGGCAGATTGATAATTTTATGTTTCAGCATGATAAATCTCCAAAAGTGAATTATCTGCTGGATGTGGTTATTATTATTATTATTATTGATATTTATATAGCGCTCAAAAATTCCGCAGCACTCTACAGTGGGTGGAAGAACAAACATGTAGTTGTAACCAGACAAGTTGGACACACCGGAACAGAGGGATTGAGGGCCCTGCTCAATGAGCTTACATGCTACAGGGAGTGGGGAAAAGTGACACAGAAGGTAAGGGTAGTATTAGACTAATGACAGTTGCAAAAGAGGAATCAGTCGGTAGCTATTAACAGTTTAATTGATACGCTTTTATGAAGAAGTGGGTTTTTAATGATTTTTTTGAAGGAGTGGTTGATTTGCTGCCGAATCCATTAGTCGTGCATTACCAGTGTTATGCTATTAAACCATAAGGAAATGCAAAAACTATATCCTGCAATAATTTACTGTGTGTATATATAGACACACAAAAGAAATAAGAGTGTGTCAGGGAGGAGGAGGTACTGATAAGTTGCCTATGTTGAAATTAGTCCGAGTAGTGTGTAGAAGAACCGAATAATGGAGGAAGGAGAGTGAACTGGGCTATGGAGGCGAAGGAACTGAGGAGGGCAACTGAGATAACATTAACCAGGAAGATGTTAAGCTATCCTAAAGAGGTGTGTTTTCAGTGACTTCTGAAAGGACTTGAGGTTCAGAGAATACCTGATGGTATGGGGTAGGCAATTCCGTAACAACGGGGAAGCCCTTGAAAATCCTGCAGATGAGAGTTGTCTGTGCGGAAACGAGCCAATGTCAAAAGAAGATCGCTCACAGATTGAAGGGAACAAGAAGCATTATGTATTTTTTGAGTAAAGAGCAAATATATTGAAGAGTGCAGAATTTGTAGGTACATTTTAGCAGTTTCAGTTGGATTTATGAATATTACAGGAAGCCAATGTAATGATTGACAAAAGAGTGTCGTGTGGGAGTAGCGGTCAGTCAGGGTGATAAACCTGGAGGCAGAATTCATTACAGACCGAAGAGGGGAAATGCCGCTATTTGGAACGCCGATTAGTAGTGCGTTGCTTTAATCAAGTCAAGAAATGATGAGTGCTTGAACAAGTTTTTAGTTATATCTTGAGTTAGAAAAAGTATTTTCAAAGTTGAAGTTACAAGATTTGAAGACTAAGTGGATGTGAGGAGAAAAGGTAAGACTTGAGTAACAACTTCATGTCAGTGAGCTTGAGTAAATTGGATTATAGGTGTCCCTTTTACTGGCAGGGAGATAGATGGAAGAGGGCTATTTGAGGGTGGGGAAAAATGAGGAGTTTGATTTTAGATAATGGTAAGACAGGCAGTTTGTGACTCGTTAACTCCTTTCTCCAAAAGGACAAGAGGTCTCTAAATTTCTTCTATCCTCTCGCCCCACCACCTGTCCTCTTATCCCTGTAAATTGTATTTGAGGATTTTTTTTACTATTATAATTTATATAGTGACAACACATTGTGTAGTGCTTTACACTCATAAAATGAGGATAATTGACAATAAGTAGTGAACAATTAGTTGACATTAAAAGAGACAAGTGGTGAAGAAGACCCACCTAAAACAAGCTTACAATCTATGACGTATGGATGTAGACACACAAGAAGCACCACAAACAACGTATATCTACAGGTACAAAATATATAGGACACACATAGAGTAGTAAAGCATAAAATATATCAAAATCTTTATGTTTACTGAATGAACTCATAAGAAAGTATTCTATGGAAGGCACTTCAAATAGTACCGGTGGCACTTCGTTAGATAAGTGCTTTTACCTGGGGTATCTTCCTTCAGTTGTTACACACATGTGAGGGACAAAATAATGAAACATTGTGCAATATTCCAAAACATAAACACACTGCTTTAATAATATAAAACTTACTCGAAGGACAATTTAGAAATGACCTATTGTCCTCCCCTGCAGCCCCACCCCTGAGTGGCGGGTGGGGGCCCTAAATAGCAATAAGGGGGGGACCTGTTGTCCTTCACCCTGGCCCCCACCCCTGAGTGGGGGCCTGAAATAACAATAAAGGAGGAGGGACCTATTGTCCTTCCCCTGTCCCCCACCCCTGAGCTGCGGGTGGGGGCCCTAAATAAAAATGGGGGGAACCTATTTGTTTTTATTACGCTCTGGTTTTTTATTTTATTTTCAAAGTGCGATGGGTATTATGAACTTTTATTTGGCCTTTTTTGGGGCTGAAAAAAGATTTTACAAAAAAAGAAGACAACAAATGCTAAGTTTTATTTAGTTTTTATAGGTATTTAGTTCTCTGGTTCCCCCCCTCACTATTTAGGGTGAGGGAGGTAGGTAGGGGTTTATTAAAAAAAATTTTTTGGGTGGGAGGGTGACTAGGGGCTTTGGGACCCCTAGTCACCTGGGGGGATTAACATTTTCATTTAGGGCCCCCACTCCGCTCATGCGTGGAGGCCGGGGGTTTGGGGGGGGTGGACAATAGGGCCCCCCCCATTTTCATTTAGGGCCCCCACCCGCCGTTCATGGGTGGGGGCCGGGGAGGGGGACAATAGGTCCCCCCCCCTTACTTGGGGCCCCCACCTGCCGCTCATTGGTGGAGGCGTGGGGGCAATAGGTCTGGTTTTTTTTTTAATGTTTATTTTTTAACAGTGAGCAGCCACTGGCTGCTCACTGTTTACTAGACATGCCCCTATTCGCTGTATAGCAAGTAGGGGCAGAATTTACTAACACTAAGTAATCTTTACTTAGTGTTAATAAATTTGGCTGAAAGACCAATTTAGGTATTTCAGCCTTTTGGTAGATAGCTGCCTAATACCGTGGGAATTAGGGAGCTATCTACTAAGCGGCACGAATAGGATCGTAGTTTCATTCATTAGAATGAAATTCTGATACGAACAAAGTCCCGAATTGCGTCCTAACATGAATGAACAAACTGTTCTCATTCTGTTATGATGCAATTTGGCAGTTTCGCCGGCATTCTGTCTAAGTGACAGTACGTTTGGGAATAATGATAGGAAGCATCGCAAGATCACAGATCAAAGGTGAGAATTGTGGGAAAATTGCTTTGATCATCAGAAACAAAGCACCCATTGCTCCTCCGATGGTCAGAGCTGGTCAAGCGTAGGAAACCTCCATAAGACAAGGTAGTCCATACTAGAGCAGACAGGAAGAAATGAAGAACAGATCCTGACAGAGGGAGAGAAGAGGAATCGATTAAAGAAAGGTAAGTTCGGTATGACAGTGCCGCTTTAAAATCTTAAAATCTCTACCAATATTTTCACATGTCCAACAGAAATTCTAAGACAAGTAAATAAGCAAATGCAATTCTGTTATTTAAAGGAACACTTTAAGGACCATAACCACTACAGTGCAATGCATTGTTTTGTCCCAGATTTGCCCTGGCACCCCTTCAATGATATTAGCCAAACTGTTCTCTAATGGCTTTGGTTTACCAGGCTTTGTTACTTTCTCCACTGCACAGAGCTTCTATTAGCTCTCCTGAGCTAAATACTGCTACACCACGCCAGCTCATTGACTGAAGGTGTCAACTGATTGTTCTTAGCCAATGAACTAAGCGCTGCAATGACAGGTTTACCTCAATGCAAAGACCTTCGGACTGTCATGGAGGAGATGACGACTGGTGTCCTAAAGACGCCAAGTAAGTTTCCATTACCATATTGTTGAATTCTTACATTGGGCGGTGGCAGGGCACTACTGACACTATAACCACTACAGTGTGCTACAATGGTTATGGTGATTTGAGTATTTATTTCAAAACAACAAAACTCCTAGAACAGTTACAATAATGCCAGCATTCCTAAAAGTTAAGCAATTACAATTTCCTGAAGAAAATAAGGAGAAGGGATGCCTGGGACAATTACAGCATGTTTTAATCTCCCAGAATTTAGTAGTTTTTATGCATACACAATTGATTAGCACAAAGTCTGCCTTCTAAGTTCTGTGCTATCACATATTGTTCATTATAGCCAAGCATCATTCAGGGCTGTGCATAATTTTACAAACACAGTGGAGTTTGTTTTGTTGTGTTGTGAAACAGTGCAGATTCAGTGAGAGTTTTCTCTTCCTTTGTGGCAAACAGAAGAATGGGATTAGAAAAAGAATTGAGCAAACATTCCACATAAATTGCACTGTTGTCATAGAAACAAGTAAATATTTGTTTTAGAAATGTTTACTTTTTATTGTTGTTAGGAAAATAATGCTAGACGTGTTAATGTTTTAAAGTGCAACATAAATGTAGCATGTGAAGATTATTTACTTTCCCAGATTTAGTTCCACCGCAACTTCAACCACCCTCAAACATAAGCAATCTCTGTACTTGCTGAGATTGATAGGCAGACCTTGAAACTCTTCTAGATTTTTTTTTTTAGTTGGTCATGGACCAGATAATGATGGGCATTGAGAGCAAAAATATGGATCGTACAAAAATTATATTATTCACTCGACATAGAGATCACGGTGGTTTTAACATTGGTCAATTCTTTGTCGCTTACCGATCTTAATAAATAGGGATTAAATAAAACAATAAACTGCAGTCAACTTTTTTTTTATTATTATAAAATTGCTTGTGTGATTAATATAATATGGTCAATTACTTCAAGCTAGTAAGGAAATAGATCACTGGTGACCAAAAATATATATTTTGATTAGGACAGCTAAATATAAGTGTGTATAAGCGACTTTGAAGAGACCAAAACTCAAAAGATATGTGCGCTCCTTAATAAGCCAACTCAGAAAAGGCCTTGTTTTATCAAAAATAATTCTTTAATGAAATAAAATCACAAAATATCACTGAACCTGTTGCTCCTCCCTCAATGACTACTAGATTGCTAGTGGTAAGGCCAATCTCATGTGCACAATAAATAAAAATTAAATAAATAAATATAAGAAATTTAGATCTGCAGACACAGCTACATAAACTAAACGTCTTGCCAAAATGATACAAACACTTATCAAAGCACCTCAAGCCAGGTATGTTGCAACTGTATCAGAAACATGGAGCAGCATGTTGCAAACTGGCGTGGGGGCTGTGGTGTATCAAAATGTGTCAAATCACATCATAAATTGATTGTTAAAAATTATAAATCGGTCAAATTAATACAGTACTAAAAGCATACAATGATGCAAAAAAGAGATTATTATTGGGACAATATGAATAAGGATGCTTTAAGATAGAGTTCAGCACCTTAAATATGTTACCATAGCTGGGACACTACATTAAAAAGGGGGGGGGGGAGTACCTGACCTCGGTGGGGCCCCCACCTGAGGTAAAAAATTATATCTCTGTCCGCGTAAAAACACAAAAGAAGAAGGAGCCTCAGTGAATCCTTCAGATGAAACCGGGATATCTGTAATGGCTGAGCTTTCTGCCGTCAGGAGTCACCAGGAAACCAACAGGTACTTGCAGGCTGTACCGCTCTTATTGCTAATTACTTCAAGCTACCCAAACAGCTATTTGTAGATTGAATAGAATTTAGGGAAATAATTTTTTGCAGATGGTAGAATTCATATTCAAGTTTGAACTAATGGGTTGCTCAAAGCACAACAGCATAGAATGCAAATACATTTTTTTTATTATTCTTTATTTTTGATTTGCACAAGATAACACGCACATGCTTGCACTGCCACGACAGCTAGTACAAGTACAATGTATTTAAATAGAAGGAAACAGTCATGGCATTAGAATCATCTGCACGTATTTCTAAATGTATAAAACAAAAGTATGATATGCTCAGGCTAGGTAACTGGCTAGACAGCGTTAAATTCAAGCATTTGTTGGTAAGGTATCCAGTCTGGCAAGTAACTGAGATGTGATCTTGCTAAAACAAGCATTATATCAATAAGTAGAATTGAACCATAACTCTGTGCATTAATCTCCTGGTTGGGGCACTCTGAGTGCTTGGGCCATGCCGTTCCGGTTCACCCTATTCCTCGGGTAGGCTTCGATAGCGAGCTCTGTTCCATGCCTAGTATGGCAAGAGGAGAGTAATTGTTTGATTAGCTAATTATTTTCCACCATGTGACCTGTAAATGTTTCATACAACAAGCTATCATTTTTTGGTATTCTCCCCATATCCATTACAAAGTGCTATGCTTGTAATCGACATCTTGATGAATTTAACAACACAACTGACAACGTTAATACCTTGTCTCAATGTCTTATGTAAAAAGCGTAAATAAGTAAACCAACCATGTGATTTTCTGAAGTGTTAGCTGAGGTTACAAATCCCACAGTACAGTCAGGAATGACACACCAGTTATTTTAGTAAATCAAAGTGGGATCATACTATCAAACAGCTGCTACTCCACCCACTGTAATGGATAAAATACGGGCTGTTTAAACAAATATTGCTGATAATCTACAAACAATGGATTCGGAAACCTGGGAACACTTTTATCATGTTTACAGTTGGGGTTGTGCTTATAGTTTATGTAAGCATGAGCTACTTTTGTGGTAATAGCACTACACTTACAAATGTACCATTTTCCTTTTCAATGTATTCCGCACACACATTAACCATCACATTACACATTAACCTTAAAGCTTGTTCTAGTTGCTGCATTAGCTAAATTAATTTCTCTGGGGTTTTGCAGAAATTTTAACCCCATTTTAGACTGCTTCCAAAGAATTAAGTGCAATGTTTCTTACCTTGAGAATGAGAAATTGTCTTGCGACACAAATAGCTTTGAAGCTGTTTGGTTTTCTATGCATTGTGCTGGTATCTTCTGATAAGTATACAAGATGCTTTTTTCTAGACTTGAATTTTCCTTTTTTCCCACCAGTAAACCGTTACTGTAAGGTACAATAACAAGTAAAAAAGACACTAAAAAGTATACAAAAGATAAAATTATAATGTATCAAAGTATGAAGATGCATCTAAAAATGTAATAGCCTAAAAAATACACATAAAATGTTCAATCCCAAAAATAAGTGCGCTATGCCCTTAACTACCGGAACATAGAAGATCACCAGGCTCTTGAAAAAGTCTATGAGGACGAAACGCGTCAAGCGGCTACCATGAGAGCTGTTCCCCAAAAGGATTTATATAGCCTTTACCTCCACCAGAGGAACTTTTATGGACCCTCAAATACAAAGTGGACATCTGAGAAAGTGAGACTATTGGTGTCAAGATGTACCATAGGCTACACCAGGGAACTTTTGCACATTTAGGAGTATTTCTAATTGTGCTTTGTTTTTTGTGAGTGTGATTTTAACTATTTTATAAGATTATTTGTTGTTAATAAATTACTATACTATGATTATATTTTTTTCTTTTCCTCCAATATATGGATTCATCATCTAAGTGGTAATTATTGTCACACCATTGTGATTGTGGCGCTCTATTTTTTGTATATCCGGTGTGATTATACTTGAGCCCTTTCGCTATGCCTTTAAGGCTATCAGAATTTCATTTTTACACAATAAGTGCAAGTGATAAATATAATTGTGCAATTATCAAAAAGTACACTGTGCCACCTTGTAAACATTCAAAGTGCAAAGATGCAAGAATACATATATATCTATAACCAGAGTGCATTATACACTGTGCAGAAGTGCCTCAAGTGGGCAAGTAAAACACAAACTTACTAACCCTTTGAATAAAAGGTATTGGAACTTCTCATGAATGATATGTAAGTATTTCTTCCAAATTCATATGTTGTACCATATCATCAGAAAAAGATAGTGTAAAACAGTAAATGCATTAATAATATCTACATGTAAAATTGGAAATTCACTCATAAGCGGGGAGCAAAAAAGGCCTGCTCCAACTTCCAGCGCTTTTCATATAATAAGCGCAGTATGGCAAGAAACTGATAACTCCAACAGATATTCTTTCAAACTTTAGTCCAATATGCTGATCTATAAAACATCCTCTCTGTGCAACTGAATACAGTCCCTCTGGCTGTCAGTGCTTGGGAATTCTTTGAGAGCGGAGCTTCGTATCGGCACTTGTGACGTCACGTAATGTGATGACGTGTTTCGTACTGCGACTTCCTCAGATCACCGTTACTGTGAGGTGACAAATTCTTTTCAAATTCAGGCAAAAGCTAGCGTTTTTTTAAAGGTATTACTTTTAGATTCTGCTTCTTTAGTGATAATTTTGTGGCACAAAAAGATAAGAGACATTTGTGGGGGAACCAAGACTTACATTGCATTGGTGCTGACAAGCTTTCAGTAAAAAAAAGTTACTGGTTAATATATACCATTATTTCAGTTATTTAATTTACTTTTAGAAATTGGATGCAATAAAAAAATTGACACTTAATTAATTTATAATATAAAGACATACATAAAATGTGTTTTCTAAGGTTGAATGAACAGTTTGTATTTTAAAGTACTAGAAGTAGTTGCTAGTCGTATATGTAATTATTTCCTAAAAATGAAAAAGTCAAATGATGTCTATAACTGGAAGCAGCAAAATGTACTGATAACTGTCAGTCAATTGGTAACAATATTTTGTAGTTTATGCAAAGATAGTTGTAGAACTTATAAATATTTATACAGAAATATGTAATTTTGCTTGCAAAGATATGTTCTTGAAAGAATAGCTAATATATATTATTATTATTTATAAAGCGCCAATACATTTCTCAGTGCTGCACCATAGATGGACTAACAGACAAGTATTTGCAACAAGATGAGTTGGACGCACTGGAACAGAGGGTGTTGAAGGCCCTGCTCAAACTGGCTTACATTATAGAGGGAGTGGGGTAAAGTGAGACAAGATGTAAGTAAAGGATGTATTTGATGTACAAGAAAAAGTAGGTTACTAAAATAGTTTACAATGAAGGGTTATATTTTTGAATGACACAGTTGCAGGAGACTGGGTGAGATTCTAATAGAACAGGGAAGAGAGGGTAGCTCTAGAGAAGTCTTAAATGTTTTGCGTCAGAGATCCGAGTACAAAAAGGGGAAAGACACAGATCTTAGACAGAGCGTAGGGGCCTGGATGGGGACACACTTATGACACACTTAGTCACGCGACACGAGTCAAGAAGGATTGATGAGTTTACCAAGGGAGGCAGTGTTGATCACGAACAGGAGGGGACCCAGGACAAAACCTTGGAAAACATTGACAGAAAGTGGTTGCTGAGAAAAGGAAGAGCCAGAAAAAGAAACGCTAAGAGAGCATTGGGAGTGGTAGGAAGAGAACCAGGAGAGAGCAAAGGCTCGTAGACTGAGATTACAGAGGGTAAAAAGAAATTGTTGATGATCAGCAGAAGCAGCAGAAAGGTCAGGTAGAATTAGAAGATTTAGCAGCAATTAAATCATTGGATACTTTGGTTAGGGCCGTAATGTCAGAGTGATGACCTTGGAATCCAAATTAAACCAGGTCAAGCAGAGAATTTGATTCATGTAAGTTGTTCAATCTAGCATACACAATTGGATTTTGGAGGCAAATGTTAGTAGTGAGATAGGACTGTAGTTGGATTGGGAGTTAGGGTCAAGTTTGGGCTTTTTTTAGAATCAGGGTGATGGTTGCATGCTTGAAGGGTGAAAAAAATATGCCAGAGGAGGGGGGAGAGACTAATTATTTTAATAAGTGGCAGTGCAAGAAAAGGAGACAGAACACAAGTGAGATGTATGGGAATAGGATTGAGGGAACAAGGGGTGGAATGGGAGGAGCGAAGCCGAGCAGAAACCTCTTCTGCCGTAGTGGGTGCGAGTGAGTGGGGAAAATATTGGTAGCTCACCTAAGTCTTGTAGAGGTCAAATTAGTAGTAGGAGGAGCAGCAGCAAAAGGGAGACGTAGTGAGCTAAAAGTGTGAAAGAGGCATTTGGGTTCTCAGGAGAATGTGGTTATGAGGTATTGAAGTAGGTTTCTTTTGCGGAGGAAAGAGCCAATCTATATTAGAGTAGAATGCATTTATAGTGGAGGAAGCATTCAGGAGTTCCTGGAGTATTTTTGGAGGTGAGGTTTGAGATGGGTAAAAATGGAGTTTGGGGGTTGGTGAAGAATTGCTGTAGGTCAAGGCAGTGGTGGTTTATACAAGACTGATGTACCAGGAGTGGTATAATTTAGATACAGGGTATGCCAAAGTCAAAGGTCAGTAGATGGTGGTCAGATAGAGGAAATGGAACATTAGAGAAATTAGAGGCAGTATAGAGGTTGGCGAAGATGTGATCAAGGGCATTTCCTGTTGTATGAGTTGCTGAGTTAGACCTTTGTCGGAGGCTGAAGGAGGGGGTTACAGAGAGCAGTTTGAAAAGGCAGTTTTTGGGGTCCTCAATGATAAGAGAAGGAGTTCTAGAGGAGAGTAAGTGGCGTCGACAAGAAGAAAAATGTTCATTGAATAGGCTAGTATTACAAGGGGAGCAATAAATAATGTCAATTCTTAAAAGAGTGGGTTTAAATCCTCAGTGATATAAACTAGTAGTCTAAGTTGTCTGAACCCACAATGTCACTGAGAATGTCTTCAGGAACTTTACATGGCTTCAAAGGCTGTCATGCCTTTAAGGTACCTGCAGGGTTAGATCCTTGTTGCTACCAGTCATTCCATGTATCACTCAATACTTGGGGCTCACTTTAGTCAGCTGGGGCCACAATTAATGACCACGTACTGACAAATGGGCTGTGTGCAGCACTCAAAGTAAGTTCTGCGTACAGCCCCTTTAATACATTTAAATCACTGTGGCTGAAAGTTTGAGAAAACAAAAATACAAATGAAATAAAACCAGCAATTTTGACCAAGGTTGGTGATGAAATTATTTAAAGAAAAGTCTCAAAATGTTCTTAATTAAATGCTCTTGGGGTATCCCTGATTACAAATATATACTTTTGTATTGTGTGTTTGGATTCTGTCACCATTATTAAAGTTGTAATCTCAGCTCATGAAATGTTGCGAAGGTTTAGGTTTAAAATCAAAATTCACTCCTTACTAGATATTTATTTTCTTTCATCTGAGTTTTTATTATGTTAAATTATTTTAGCTATCTTGTTTTTAGTAGTGATGCCCCCTTTTGTATTTTTGTTTTAATTTATAATTTTTTTAATTTTATATGTCATCTATTAACTTTTTTTTTTTGTTAATCATACAATACCGGTATAATGACAAGGGTTGTATGAAAACATACAGGGTTGCACTTTGTAAACTTAAGCGTCACATCCAACATCGGTTATGTTTCATAACAAGAAACGTAAGCGTCACACCTTATTGTCGGTTATATTTCGCCATGGTAAATGTAGAAGCAACCTCAATGTCAAGAAGATATGGTCGTAGATATGGTGGCTCGGTTGATCTGATTGATCGGGCTACCTCCTCTAAATGAAGAGCTATATTGGCTGCATACCTGCCACCCGGGCACTCTTGTTTGTTTAATGTTTTACCATTAAAAATAAATAAATAAATATATATATATATATATATAAAAATATATTATTCAAATTTAATGTTGTGTCATATATGCATATAGAGTGTCAGAAGAAAGGCCTATTTCTCTTTAAATGATATATAATATGTATGGATGCACTTAAACAGAAACAATGAATTTGTGACAGAAAGAACAAAAAGTGCCAAAGGTCACTAAGCACCGCATCACAAAAGAACATTGGTCCTTAAAGTTTATGATATATTTTTTGTTTCTACTCTCACCCCTCAACAACCTTGTCACAGGGTGACATAGGCATGCATGTACTTGATATTTTCTTGAGATTTACATATTATAAAGGAGATTTATGAGACCTAAAAAAGCGATATGCTGAGGCAAAGTGCAAAATATTAAAACGTTCTGTTTCTATGGTGATTGTTAGTAGCCAATAGAATAAAAGCAGTTTGCATTCATAAAATCTCCCTCTACCTATGTCTACAGTTACGGTAAGCTGCAGTATACTTATCTACAATAGGACTCTGTGTGTGTATATACATATATGTATTTTAATATCATGAATATGTATGAATATACGCACAATGTAGGTCTTAATACAAGTAGGTAGCTATTCAGATTTATATTTCTTTATAATCAATAAGGTGTAATGAACTGTTTGGCTACAGAAAATGTAAACCATTTCCATCTTATATTATGTCAATTTCATTAAACTAATAGTGGTCTTACTTGTATATCCCATTACCTGATCACTAAAGATACCGCAAATGAGCTTTTTTTTTTTTTTTTTAAATAGATATTTTTTAATTTTAGCTCAATCAAAAGCAGAGCGAGACAATAGCTAAATGTTTAAAGAAAATGAAATCGAACTATTCCTGTAATGTTACTTTACTATATAAAACAAAAACAGTGTATTTATCCTCATTTAGGAATTAATAATTTAAGCATTTATCTGTGCAGAGGCTTTTCTAAACTTTTAAATGTGTGTTCAGCTGCTCTGGAACAGTATTTGAACTGCTTAAATTGACTACAGTTGTCTTTGTTGTGCAGTGTCTCGTAAGTTGTCAGTAGTGTCATTCTAAATGGACATGATCCCGGGAGAGGGAGAGTTGAGCATTATTGGTTGGAAGTAGTTTTATTTAGACAATGTTTGACCAGAATAATACACCCAAACTTTTAATTTGTTGACATTTTGATAAGAAATTTCTTTATATGAACCTTATAATGTGAGATGATTCTCCACGACTATTTTTGGACTTCAGCGTGTTTCATTTTTAGCCACAAAAAATAAGAATAAATGGTATTAAAAGAAATAATGTGGCTTTGTTTGGTTTTATTACATACACTGACCTCCAAAGCAGTAGCAACTTAAGACTTTAGTTGGAATCTTGTAAAAGCAGAACATATTTGTTCTAGAGTTGGGTGGAAGTTTTCTATCTGTCATATCACCAACAATACAAATGTGAAGGTGTCAGTTAAATTGTTGTGAAGTGTAAATTAAAAATAATTGGAGATGCTGCTCAGCATGGGAGCTGGCCTGAGTACTGAACCTACTTCTCAGAGGCATGCATCTAATTCCAGATGCTGGAAGTAGGCGTATTCTCGTCTTATCACATGGTTATCAGAATAAATAAATGAGACTCCTCTATTATTACTCAAACCGAACTCCTGTTTCGTTGTGCTGGTTCAGTCTTCATGCTTCTACAACTCCAGCTATCTAGTCGACACATTTAAAGGCTATCATGCTAGATGTCATTAATGCTTGTTGAGCATAATTGTAGAGATTTCGCTCAGTGACAGCCCTGAAATTGATGATACTCAAACAGCCCTGATCTTTTTGAAAGTCACTGAAATGTCTCTCTTTAAAAATATCCTGTAATATAATGTTTTTAAACTACTTGTTCTATCTGGTGTTGTTTATAGGCTGTGTTACTTTTCCGTGTTCCAAACATTTTTGGTTGGGGGTAAGGGGGTGGGGGAGATGGGGTAGTTGTTAGAAGGAACATGACCACTTATTTTTTTAGACATATACAGGTTATCTTATATAGATTGTGTGCTATGACTAAATTTATTAGAATTTATGAAAAGGGACTGCACAGAAAGGATAAGTAATAATACATCTTACAATGTTTGTTATATATCTGATCTCAGTGACTGTGTGTAATACTATAGTTTTATCGTTTGTTTTTGAGACATTTGTTCTAAAGCTAGAACAAGATAGAGAAGATATTTTCTTCATTACCATTCATCTTTAACAATTATATTCACATTTCTATTTCCTGCAATCTGTGATAGTTATACATCACCCATTATTTTGCTATCCTTTCAGTCATCGTTATCATGTTATTAAACCATCCCTTTGCCATTAGCAATTCTAGAAAGATAACATATTTTAATATATCATCGAGTAGTGCACCCTTTTTAGAGACTGGGCCAGATAACTGATTGAATTCTAAACGTTGTCCAAACACATGTCAATGAGATGGTTGTGCTTCAACCACTGATTCTACACACAAATCCACACCACACAAATGCGTTCCTGCATTAACAGATGCAAGCACCCATACATTGACCATCCACCCATATGCAATCCTGTATTTATGTACATAAACATTACACAAATATACACCACTGCATTAACTGGACGAATACACCCTTTTTTCACACACAATAACTCACACTTTGAATTGACAAATATACATTCCCCTCATTTCACACTGTTGAAACCAAGTAATGGATTTACTAAACAGTGAATTTTGCTCAAGACAACTGATCTGTCTACTGAGTTAAATAAATCTTACTGTTTAGTGAATAGATGCCATAACTTCCATAAAGCTGTGTAGACTAGAATAGCACTAATAATTTATATAGTCTTTATTCCAATAACAGACCAATGCTCATCCCACCTAATGACAATTTTATTCATGAGCAAATAAAGGGGATCATCTGTCATAATATGACTACTTGTAACCTATATCAGTGGGCCAGTGGCCACTGGCTGGAGATTGTGCACTCTTGTATTAAGCAGTTGTATTATCTTCACAAAATCCAACAATGCATTAGTGCAGGGCTGACCAAAAGGTAGATCCCCAGATGTTTTAAAACTACAGCTTCCATGATGCTTTGTCATTTTAAAGGCATGCAAATGGGAGTTATGACAGAATGAACCATTAATGGGAGTTGTAGTTCTACAACATCTGGGGATCTACCTTTTGGGCACCCTGCATTAGTGTATTCCTAACAAACTATGTATAGTGTTTACCTGCATCTGCAAAAGCAAAAAAAGAGAGGGGAAAAAATGCATCTAATGAATACTACCACATGTAGACTGTGTCAACCCTCTTTTCGGCATACAGTTTTCAGTATGATAGATAATCTGTTATTATTATTATTAAGGCCAATCCAGAACACAACTAGAAACATTTCTGGGATACTTTAATTTGATGACGTATCCTCACTATCATATTGGTTACCTTTGAAGCAACATGCAACTTTAAAGGGTTACTCTAACGCATTTTGGGTGGGACTTTTTCCACTGTCAAATGTCCTATTGGGCACTATTAATTCCCCCCCCCCCCCTCCTCCAACCGCAAAAAAAGCATTTTACTCACCTGGAATCCTACTGTGGGCAAAGCTTCTGGTGCTGCCTTCCACGCCACCTTCCATTCCATGCCTTTCCTCATTTTAGCAGAGGGCCTCGAACAGTCCAATCACATGCCTCTCATAAAGAAGCCTGTGACTGGAGCATTTTGCCAACTCAAAGTGCATGCTCACAATCTAAACTGGCAAGTGGAAGGAAAGGGTGGGAAATTCACTAAAAAACAAACAAACAAGAACACCCCCAGTTATTAAGGGGATATGGAGGCGAGGAAGGCTCAACTCAGGGAGGGACGTGGGGGGGAAGTACTTGCCGGATGAAGCAGATTACGGCTGTCACCAGCATGCAGTGCGCACTGAGAACAGACTGATATTTTGCTTTTTTTAGGCATTAGGCTGTCAATGTCACATGTTCCGGTGGGATTTAACTAGCCTCCGGCATACCAGTTCAGAAACATTACACATACAGGCTCCTACTACCATGACCACTTCAAGTTGCTGAAGTGGGCGGAGCCTGACCCAACGCAAAGGAAAGTCGGCGCTGGATTCAGGTAAGTAACTAAAGGGGTTTAATCCCTTCAGTTCCGCGGAAGGTAGGACGCTAGGGAGAGGGGGCACTCCAGGAGCCTATAGTGCCAGAAAAATCGTGTTGTTTGCCTTGGACTATAGAATCCCTTTAAACGTAGTGCCATTGTGTGCATCTTTTTTAAAGAAGGATATTATTATTAGATAAAGTGAAGAGGAGGACTACACAATTAATAAGGGAAATTGCAGATTTTAGTTATGAAACAAGGCTAAACATGTATGAACTTCCTTAAATTATAAAAAAAGAAATCTCAGAGGGGATATGATAACATTATACTATACACATGGCCAGTACAAAGAACATTCTGCTAAACTGTTCATTGACTGGACTATAAAAAGGACAATTTAGACTTTTAAGAATAGTTTGTTCATTCAAGGACTGGAGTGGAGAAGGAATTATTTCCCATTTTTTTATTGGCAAAATTATAAATCACTTTAAATTGGGTGTTCCACCTTCCTTTAGATCAACAGCTAAAAAATAGGTGAGAAAAGCTGAACTTAATGGAGGTAAATCTAATATCAGACAGTATTAATATATATGCTACTGTATGTATATACCCACTTTGCCATTAGACGGAATGGCATGCTATGACACTTTGTGCCAGCACCGACAAGGCATTCTAATGTAACTTTAGAGTGCATTTAAAGGGACACTAGAGTCACAAAAACAACTTTAGTTTAAAGGAGCACTATAGGGTCAGGAACACAAAATATGTTTCTGACTATATATTGTTAAACCCACCATCTAGCCCCCTTGATCCCCTCTTGCTTCCCCAAATATAGTAAACTCTTACTCGTATTCAAGCCTGAAGCTGCTGGCTCTGCCCCTGTCTGCCTCATAAATGCAAGCTGTATGTGGACATCATCAGAAGTGTTGTTCTGAGCCAATCACAATGCTCCCACATAGGATTGGCTGAGACTGTCAAGGAGGCAGATCAGGGGCAGAGCCAACACAAGTCAAACACAGCCCTGGCCAATCAGCATCTCCTCATAGAGATGAATTGAATCAATGAATCTCTATGAGGAAAGTTCAGTGTCTGCATGCAGAGGGTAGAGATACTGATATGTTGTGATGCAAACTAGGCAAGACTGCTTAAGGAAGCACCTCTAGCAGCCATCTAGTGAAGTTATCACTAGGCTGTTATGTAAACACTGCATTTTATCTGAAAAGACAGTGTTAGCAGTAACAAGCCTGAAGGCAATGATTCTACTCACCAGAACAAATGCAATAAGTTGTAGTTGCTCTAGTGACTATAGTGTCCCTTTAACGAAGCAGTTTTTGTGTATAGATCATGCCTCTGAAGTTTCAATACTCAACTGCCATTTAGGAGTTAAAAACCTTTTATTTCTGTTTATGCAGCCCTAGCCACACCTTCCCTGGCTGTGACTGACACAGCTTGCATGGAAACAAAATTGTTTCAATTTCACTCAGATATAACTTATTTTAAAGTTTTTATCTCTCGTTCTATGATATATATTATTATATATTTGAACTTTAATTACATACAGGAATCTCCTGCAGGGTCTAGCAAGGTATTAACAGAGCAGAAGAAAAGAAATTCAAAATTAAACAGAATCTGCAATAGAGAGGGTGTAAACATTAGATGGCTCTGTACAGGAAGTGTTTAGGAAGGCTATGTGTCACATGCACAGAGGTGTGCCTGTGGCTGTATAAAAAGTGATTTAACTCCTAAATGGCAAAGAATTCAGCAGTAAGACTGCAGGAGCATGATCTATACACCAAAAACTGCTTAATTAAGTTAAAATTGTTTTGGCGACTAAACTGTCCCTTTAAGTTATTTTAGCGTTACATGTTGTCAATGCAAAATACATTTTTTAGTGATCATTTAAAAGAAACTCCTGTTCCCTTAAAAAATATCAGACTCTACCTATTTGATCATTTACATTTCCTTATTATGGGACAAGAAGGTTTAATTGAACTTGACATATATCTGCAGTGATATTCCATTCTGCTTATTTAGTTTCAGAAAAATTACATTGGCCTTTTGGAGTTAGTTCTCATACACTGGGTGGCTGATGCATTTGTCCCATTGGTGAAAGCCCTTATAAGCATACTTACAAACCAATTTGCTCTTAAACATTATTCTGACTCAACCATTTCCATTTGCAAACAGAGATTTGACTTCCTGCCAGCAGTCAGATTTAGAATTTGGCAGCTGCTTGAAGCCAGACATTTCCTTGTTAAACCTCTTGGGAAGGTAAATGAGAATCCTGAACTTCTATATAGATGAAATGGGCGACAATTACATCCTAAAATAATTATGGGTATTACCCTCACTAGTAGGGTTGCCACCTTTTTTGGAGAAAAAATAAATTAAAGGGGTGCTCCTAGCTCAAATTTAGCTTAATGAAGCATTTTTAGTATGTAGGTCGGGCCCCTGCAGCCTCACTGCTCAATTATCTGCCATTTAGACATTACATTGCTTTTCTTTTTGTTTATGCAGCCTCAGCCACACCTCCTCTGACAGTCACTCACACAACTTCCATGGGAAAAATTTAGCATTTTCAATCAGATCTTTCAGCATAGTGTGTTTACTTTAGAAGTTTTTTTTCTTCTATCTCCTGCTGTGTTAATTCTACATTGAAGCTGTTGCAGATTCTAGCAGGCTAATAGAGCAGGAGATAAGAAATTATAAAGTAATTCCCCTTCGTAATAAAGGAAGCTCAAACATTTAGACACTTTTTCAGGAAGTGTGTAGAGAGACTGTGTGAGTCCCATCCCTGTGTGACAGGGCTGTATAAATAAAATTGAAATCACTCCTAAATGCCAGAATGTCCCTTTAACTCTAATTTTAACCCTCAAATTAACCTTAATGCTTGGCGCTGTACTGTACCCCTACCTAAGCTTCTCAGTAATCATAATTTATCTTGCAAACCCAGGTAAGTCTGCAGGTGAGTCCCTAAATAATAGGTTAGACATGTCCTTAGAAGTTACCAACTTTAGCATCACACCATGAAACTGGTGTTACATTGAAGCTTGAGTTACAGACAATTATGGGTACTCAAGGGAAGTTTATTGGCTACCTGTGCTCAAGATTTACAAAAAAAAATCTGAAAAACATAATGCTCCACAGGCCTTTTTATATTTGATGTCTTTGTCCTCATCGCTGTAGATGAATCAATGGGACAAACTTTCTGAGCTCTCCATATTCTTATTGCAAGTTCTCTGCAGAAAATAGCTAGTTATCGTGGCATATGGTTACGGGAACAGTTGCTTATTGGCAGTGCATGTTAGTCCTCTTAGATAATGGGATTTTAGAGGCAATTGAAGTAAAAATCAATTTAGTGGAAAACTGTGGACCTAAAAATACACACAAATATTTTTTCAATGAAAGTTTTGAATTGTATAACTAATAAAATAATTTTCCTATCAATGATACTTTCCTAGAGCAATTGGTGATTGTTACATCATGTGTTCTGCTTATAGGCTTTTCTTAGTATTCTAATCCCTGGCAGACTGCTTGTGTGATTAATTCTAAACCATAGCCCGCTTTTATTTCGATGTTTACTCTCTCTGTAGTACGTTATAACCAGAGAGATGATGGACCTGTAAATACCAAGGGTTATATCTTATGGGATAGGGTAATCTGTTAAGCCAGCCTTTGCTATACCACAGCGTCTAATTTCTAAACTTTGTGTCTCCGGCATTATTCTTAATGGCGCACTGATGACCCTGACTTAAAATATCAGCCTAATCGGACAATATTTCTTTCTTACATTAGGTTACTGGGAGCTCTGGAAAGATGTATACATGCTATTCATTCTGCCATTACTGTTCCTGCCCAGCCTTTTCATTCTCTGTGCTCAGGAAAAATGAGTCTTTGCTGGTAAGTCATGCGCATGTCACCATTAGCAGCATAACAATGGAGGTTCCGTTATTCAGAGTCAGTCCGAGGCCTGACTTACAAGGGGATATGGGGCCTCTGCACATGCCATTCCCTGATATTTAAATGTGAGAAAGCAGGGAGACCCTCTCCATAGAGTTCTGCCTAAACCTTTTTTTTTTTTATTCTTTTTTTTTGCTATGCAAAAGGGTTACAAAGAATCTGGTAGTGCCATAACAGGGAAACACAAGAATAGACATAAGCGAACTGTATATTACTTGGAATTCTGATGGTGCAGTACATTTTTTTTGTAATATGAAGATCAGGCTAGGCAAACATGTCTAGGGAACATAACCATAACCAAAGCTAAATACATAATCGTGGGAAACAATCTAGACATAGTGTGCACTATACAATATTAAGTGCAAAGAAAATGCTAGGTTTACTATGCTTATTGGAAAATAAGAACATATAACATGCTAGCAGTATATAACTGTCTTAAACACAGAGTACCCTGGATTGGTAAGGAGACTGCCTACGTCACTTAGCCTATGCCACTTAAAGTCCAAATTAGATAGGGCAACTTGCTACTGGGCTCCGCTTCCACTCCCTGCACTTTCTGTACTCTGCATGGAAACAGAGAGTACTGTGACTTCCATGGGCCATCGCTTCTGTGTCTCTTGGCAGCATAAGGGGGCAACCTCCGGATCAGGCCGGTTCTGCCGAGGGTGAGGGAATTTGAATCTCGGCAGTCGAGGTGATTAGTGGTGAACATGCTGCTGGATATGATGGAGAAGCCTTGCCTGCCGCTGTGGCTTCCTGCGCCTTCTCTCTTCTTTGGCTGTATGGGAGGGATGTTTATACATGCAGTATCGTGTAGCAGAATGTCTCCCGGGAACCGTTGGGCATTCACCAGACGTGTAGGGTAGCTCTTTGGGGCGCTCTCCCTCTGGAGTTTGAGTAGGTTTTGCCATAATACGAGCCTCCAGTTTTGCCCAGAAGTTTGCAAATATCGTATCTAAGCGCTCAAGTATTTGTTCGGCAGCGTCTCGTTGTGCCTCCATGGGTTGTGTCAGTCCAGACTGGTGGAGCAGAAGAGTGTTTGCCATCTTTGGTAGTCAGCTGCGATCAAGAGTCGTAGGGTGGCAGCCATTTAGGGTCTAAAGAGTTGTTAGCCAGTGGAGACCGGGATCACCCCCACCGGTCCAGAGGGGGAGGGACAGCTATGTACACCGGGACCACTCCGTCCGCTAAGGAACTAGGAGAGCGGCCACCTTTCCAAAAACTCAGGCTTGTGTAGGCCGCAATCCACAATCGGGATGTTCCAGTGCCAGGCAGGCTCACAACGGATATCCACCGATGACCCCTTGAGAAGGTGAGTACTTATTGCGGTCTGACAAATGGGTGGCCCGGGGATAAATCACGATTTTCAGGGCCAGATGCAGGAGCTCTTGCAGAACACATCTGCCTTCTTTGGCAGTCAAGCTCCGGCCCTTTTTTTTATTTCTTAAGTAAAATATTTTATTATTATGTCAGTGCAATGGCGGAGTTTGACTTATCTATAAAATATCAACATCCTAATTTAAAGATTACAACGCTGATCAATGTCATTCAGTGAGTGCTCCATGTTAAATATTGAGTGGTAGATATGGATAGACAGAGATAGGAGACAATGGACCATTTATAATTAGAACCAAGTAACATAACCAGGGTCTTCTGAAGACCTATAAACCACAATACAAAAAAAAAAAAAAAAATTATTTTGTTTTCAGTATATATTTGATTGTTTCCCATAATTAACATATATGAATTACTTCCCATGATGTCCATTCAGCCACAGAGTTACATGATGTTAAACAAACCCATGAAAAAAAAAAAAAAAAGATAATAAAAAGAAGATATTGTATTTCCACTGAAACCACTGCCTATCTATCTTTAAACCTACATGCACCTATGCATATATACATACTCGCACTCAAACATATAGCTATATACAAGCAATCAGTTTAATATGCTTATCGTATATATTTGACTTTCCAGGCTTAGATTTGCCCTTAGTCTTTTGTTTGTTAATGTGCTATTTATTGTTTTGTCATTCCATCAGTCTAATGAATTTCTTTTTGCGTACATGGTCTAATAAATAAGCCAGTCTGAAAACTCCAATCAATATAGAATTTAAAAAAAAAAAAAATGTTTCTACCATCAATCAAAATCTGTGTACTTACATCAGCAGTGTACTTTAACTTAGAAACCATGAAACGTAAAGTTAAAAGAAAAATGTGAGTTCACTGAGTGCAGTTGTCTACATTCGTTAGGGTATGAAGACTTTATGAACAACAGTAACCCTAATGTCAAGCGACAAACACATTGACGATCATGAAAACCAGAGCTGCTTCAATATGTCATTAGTCTGGAGCCAGTATGAAGGACGAATAATATTGATGTATCCAAGTGCAGTGATATATCTGTAATAAATAGGAATGCTGACAGACGTTAAGATGTTGTTTTATAGCAGCACTATTTTATGATGATCATCATAATACAACAAAAACAAGCACCATATGGCCGAATGTATGTGGTCTCCCCTACTAACTGAATTCAGGCGTTTCAACTGCACCTTTTGCTAACAGGTGCATACAATCCATTTCATAGCCAATAAATCACCATACACAAACATTTACATTACAATGGGTCATACTGAAGAGCTCAATGACTTTAAACATGGCACTGTCATAGGATACCATGTTTGCCTTAAGTCATTTTGTATAATCTCTGCCCCACTTGTGCTGTTCTGGTGAACGGTAAGTGCTATTAATGTGAAGTGGAAGCATCTAGGAATAATAGCCTAGCCATGAAGTGGTAGACCATGCAAACTCACAGAGCAGGGGCACTGGGTAATTAAGCAAGTAGCTAAAAAAATGCCTATTACCTGCTACATCACTCACTACAGCGTTCCAAACTGGCTTGGGAAGCAACATCAACGCAAAAAAATGTGCATCAAAAGCTTAATGAAAAGGGTTTTCATGGCCGAGTAGCTGTATGAAGGCCCCACATCAACATGTGCAATTCCAAGTGTTGGCTGAAATGGTAATAAACATGTTGCTAATGGACTCTGGGGTATGGAATGATGAAAAATGCTCCACTATCCTGCGGATGGGAAGAATCTTAATGTGACTGATCCACAATGCATAGTGCCTATTGTAAAGTTTACGTGGGATGGGATAACACTCCAGAGCTGTTTTTTCAGGGTTTGAGCTGTGCCCCTTAGTACCCGTGAAGGGTCATATTAATGGTGCAGGTTACAAGGACATTGTTGACAATTGGCTGCTTCCAACTTTGTGGCAACAGTTTGAGGAAGGCCTATTCCTGTTCCAATTTTACTGTGCATCTGAGTATTCCTTGAAGAAGTGATCTGACAAGTTTGGAGTGGAGGAACTCGAGTGGCCTTCACAGACAGTGACCTCAACCCCAATGAACACTTTTGGATGAATGGGAACACCAAATGCTAACCAGACATTCTCATCTAACATCAGTGCTTGACCTAACAAATGATCTTTTGACTGAATGGGCACAAATTCCCACAGATACAGTCCTAACTCTTATAGAAAGCTTGCCCAGAAAAGTGATGCCCACAAAGGGGGGCAACTTCATATTAATGCCAAGGTTTTGGTATATCCAGTAAGCACTTATTGGTGTGATAGTCAGTTGTCCACATAGTTTTGATCATATAGTACTAGTTATCTAGTTCTAAATATGCTTTATATGTTTATAATTATAAAATATAATTAGCTATAACTAGCTAACTTTACTCTAACCAGTCAAAGGATTCTGAATATAAACCAAACGAATCAGTAAATAGAAGAAAGAACTGAGAAGCTGCGGACGATATGTTGCTAAATGCCAAGAATCTCTAGGAATCTTCCAGCTGGCTGGCAGGAGTATAGTCAGCAGGTGCCCATTTATTTCTAATGATAATTCAGGCACGTACTTTATTTAAATTCAGTATAATTTTTTATGTGTGCCTGTTCCATCCACTGTGAAATAACGTGTTACACATGCATGTAAAGTGCGAGGTGTGTTCTCTCTTTATAAGTATGTGTGTCTCATCACACAGCGTACCTTAGCAGTCTGATATGTAATTTAGGCTTTCCTGGGTGTGTTCAAGATATTTCCAAGTAAGAAATTTCTTACCTATTTTTTTTTTTTTTAAATTACTTTGTAATTAAATTCTCTCAATATCTGGATTAATCATCAGTCGTTCAGGGCGTTGAACCCTGCTACAGCAGGAAATACAGTCATATTCAGCTGAGTTACTGCATGATTTGTAGTCATTGCCTAAATTGTCATGTTTATTGGAATGGCTTCAAGATACATGTATATCTTCAGTGCTAATCCTTTAGTCACAGCAAGGTTAAATCCAATGTCTAAAGAAGCAATCTTGTGTAGTAGAAAATACTCCGCCTAATTAAATGGACTATACTGCAACATCATTCTGCAACAACAAATAGCACAGCAGTCATCAAAATGGTTAGACTTTTCCAACAACATCACTAACCCATTCACATTTTATTTTGCAGTGCAAGCATATTCTTGCCGTGTACCTGAGCCAAGCCACAGGGACCTGCCAGGAACGTACAGTATCAGATCAGCAGATATGTGACATACTGTTAGCAAAGGAGCTTTAGACCCTTTTTGTCTTTTGCAGAGAAGACATACCTCGGCATGTCAGACAGCAGTGGTGAAACTTGTATTTATTAATTTATGATGTTCACTGATGCAAAATGTATATAGAATTCTAAGGAAACATAAACTTTTAATGATGTGATATATTCGGAGTGATTTTTTGGGGGGGTTTTGTTTTGTTTTGTTTTAAATTGTGTGTCTGATTTGACATCCTGAGTTGTCCAGTTCACAGTTTTTCATTGATGGGCAAGAATGTGCGACTTGGTGATGTTAATAATTGCCTAATTCTGCAAACTCTGACTCATATTTAGCAGGTTCAGTACCAGAAACCATCTGTATTCTTTTTATGCATTACCTACAATACCTTTGGAATTTCATTTTAATTTAATTGTATGTGTTTGTTTTGACAAAGGTAGGTACTTGGCTGGATTGTAATGCCTGAACCCTGGGATTTTTGAAAATAAACTTTTACTATGACACAGTGTCAGTCTGAATATCTTGATCTTATTCTGGAGATCAGAGAAACATGGAGTATTGCCCCTTCCACAACAAGCTTCTTTCTCGGAATACTGTATATATTGTGCTTCCAGGTATAAAAAAAAAAAAATCACCATATCTCTAAAATAGAACGCACTGTCAGTGAGCCCAGACAATCTCAACTAGCTGGATCCTTTAAAGTACTTGATTTATTAGTTCAATTTGCAACATGGTACAAAAAAAGTATACAAACAGATCTCATAAGTGATATGGGATCCAGATAAAACTGTATCAACGATACTATAAAAAAAAATAAAAAATCCCTAGAGTAATAAACCACTTTAGAGAATTCACAGTGCTACTTAGCTCCCAAGTTTTATTTTTATGATGGATAGTCTCAAATTTGAGCCCAAATCCATCTGTTCTTCTTTTCTATTTCTTTTTTCCTAAGAGCTTCACATGTTTAGGTGAATATGAAATAATTTCACGGCAATAAACCTCATAGTAGTTCTTAAAGTACAGTAAACTAATTTCGAAATTAACTGGTTTACATAACATTATTTTATCTTCTAAAATCATTTGCTTGTTATAGAAATGGTTATAAGGAGGCCATGACCTCCCCTAAATGTCCCAGATACGCGTTGCTTACTGACACATACCCAGTCACACCGCCTAAAATAAGTGTTTTCATTTACTTATTTGGAATGGTGGGAGTTTTGTTGCTATGCTATTGCTTACCATTTAAGTAAGCTGCAAAATAGCTGGAGGAGGCTAGCATCTGTCATTTAAATATGACTAGGGCAGCAATGACGTACCCAGTGTCACGGATTGTCAGGGGAACCTAAACACGCAGACAGGTCACAGACACACAGATTTGCAATACCGGTCCTTACAATGGCCGGGCTATACAAAAAGATAGAATAGTCCGAGTACAAGCCGAGGTCAGGGATAACAGAGACTGAATACGAAGAGACAAGACGAGGTCAAGGATCAGAGAGGACAGAATAAACGTAAGACAAGCCAAGTTCAATAACCAAATAATCCCAACACAGTGTAACACACTATTGGGCTAATAAAGATCACAACAGGGAACTGAGGCAAGGGAAAGGTTTGTCTATATATGCTTAGCTTGTCTCTGATTGGCTAGTCTCCAGTTAGTGTTAATTATAAAACTTGGGAGGTGTTTCTTCTTTTTAGTGTGGCCTGTGACATCATATTTGCGTGCTGAGTCAGGTGACTGGCTCGGGCACCTATTTAAGCTGGCGGGGTTTAAGAGAGCCGTGAGCGGTGAGCATGCTACAGAAGCCACCTCTCGCAGTGAGGAGTAAAGGGAAGCGGCGAGCGGAAACCTGAAGCCTCCACGAGCAGTGAGGCACTGGTAAGGAACCTGACACCCAGGGCATGTGTGCCACACCAGGCATGCAGAGGTCTCTCTGCTGGCAATCTAGTCAAAGGTTTAATATGTCACAGGTTCTAAAGGCTGATACATCTGTAAGGTGGCACAGATAACCTTATGGTGCACCAGCTGGAAGACATACCCCCTGAGCATATTGCTGTCTTCCAATCAATAGAGCAAATTTATGTAATCTTTTGCCAAATCTGCAATCTAGTAAATAAAACATGATTCCTTGGCTGTCAGCTGATGCAGTGCATGGTCTGCACCGGGAGGAGGTGCATACCATATCAATTGCTCCCTCACAGTTCTAATGGTACTGGAGAGAGTCACACTGCAGCTGCCGGGTTTTCTAGCCTGCACTCCTTTCTCACAGCACTGTAAGGAGCGAATAATATGTTTTGCACTAGGTGGGATTTCAGATCATGCACTTCACCACTGGACCAACAGGAATTAGTTATTAAGAACTATGGAACACCAGGGTTTTATTATTAGCCCCACTGGACCGCCAAGGAAGATAAACTAGGGGGCAGATTTTTTTTTTTTAATGAATGCTGTTAAAATAAACTTAAAAAAACCCAGTAGGCATATTACATTCAGCCTGACCTCCATCTTTGTATTTAATTGCAGTGTTGGTACTTTAAGATAAATATATTTTTGAGTTGCTATTTTGGTACCTGGGCTCAAAAAGATTTGCCCCATAAATGGACCAGGGGCCAATGTACTGGAGTATTTTTTATTAACCCTTCCAACAAACACATTTACATGTCCAGAAATATCTGGACACTGACACGTTATTTACTAAAATAATTACTAAGAATAATTCAAGTTATAGATAAATAACGAATGTGGCCTTAAAGTGCAGTCTCTCGGCTTTAATTTGAGGGTATTCACATCCAAATTGGAGAAAGGGTTTAGGAATTACAGATCTTTTATATGTAGCCCCCTCTTTGTCAAGGGACCAAAAGTAATTGACTCAAATGCTATTTCATGGACAGGTGTGGGCTGTTCCTTTGTTATTTCTTCATAAATTAGGCAGGTAAAAGGTTTGGAGTGATTCCAGGCGCTTTCAATACAAAGTGAAACAGGCCATCCTTAGGCTACAATAAAGAAATCCACCAGAGAGATAGCTAGGAACATTAAGACTGGCTAAATCAACAGTTTGGTGCATTCTTAAAAAAAAAAGAAATGCTCTTGTGTGCTACAATACAAAAAGGCCTGGATGTCCATGGAAAACAACAGAAGTGGATGATTGTAGGACCCTTTCCATAGTAAATAAAAATCCCTTTACAACATCCAGCTAAGTGAAGAACACTCTCCAGGAGGTAGGCATATTATCTAAGTCTACCATAGAGAGAAGACTTCACAAGAGTAAATACAGAGGGTTTACCATATGGTGGAAACAGTGGCGTACATACCAGGGTCGCAGGGGTCGCGGCTGCGACCGGGCCCGGCCCACCAGGGGGCCCGGCCGCCCCTGCGACCCGGTATGTACCCACAGGGCCAGCCTCTTCCCCTGGGGGGCCCAGGAGCCGACCACCCCAGGGCCCCCCGAGGCTGGCCCTGCTGACACCCGGAAGGCGGGTGGCCGGTCGGGCAGGCAGGCAGTGCGAGGAGCACTCAGTGCTCTTCAGCTCGGCACTGATCGGAAGATGGCGTCATCTTCCGGCACCGGCATCCCTAGCGGCGAGGGAGCTGAAGAGGAAGCACTGAGTGCTCCCTCGCGCGCCCGTCTGCCTGCCCAACCGGCCACCCGCCTTCCGGGTGTCAGCAGCACCACTGGACCCCAGGGAATCCCCCCAGCACTCCAAAAGGTAAGGAGGCTGGGGGGATTACATTTAAAAAAAATAAAAAAAAATAGTGTTAGTGTTAGTGTGAGTGTTAGAGTGAGTGTTAGAGTGTGTGTCTGCTAGTGAGTGTGAGTGTTAGTGTGAGTGTTAGTGTGTGTGTCTGCTAGTGAGTGTTAGTGTGTGTGAGTGTTAGAGTGAGTGTTAGTGTGTGTGTCTGCTAGTGAGTGTGAGTGTTAGTGTGTGTGAGTGTTAGTGTGTGTGAGAGTGTGTGAGTGTTAGTGTGTGTGTCTGCTAGTGAGTGTTAGTGTGAGTGTTAGTGTGTGTGAGTGTTAGAGTGAGTGTTAGAGTGTGTGTCTGCTAGTGAGTGTTAGAGTGAGTGTTAGTGTGTGTGTCTGCTAGTGAGTGTGAGTGTGAGTGTTAGTGTGTGTGTCTGCTAGTGAGTGTTAGTGTGTGTGTCTGCTAGTGAGTGTTAGTGTGAGTGTTAGTGTGTGTCTGCTTGTGAGTGTGAGTGTTAGTGTGTATGAGTGTTAGAGTGAGTGTTAGTGTGTGTGTCTGCTAGTGAGTGTTAGTGTGAGTGTTAGTGTTAGTGTGTGTGAGTGTTAGAGTGAGTGTTAGTATGTGTGTCTGCTAGTGAGTGTTAGTGTGAGTGAGTGTTAGAGTGAGTGTTAGTGTGTGTGTCTGCTAGTGAGTGTTAGTGTGAGTGTTAGTGTGTTTGTCTGCTAGTGAGTGTTAGTGTGAGTGTTAGTGTGTGTGAGTGTTAGAGTGAGTGTTAGTTTGTGTGTCTGCGTGTGAGTGTGTGTGTGTCTGCTAGTGAGTGTCAGTGAGTGTGTTACTGTGTGTGTCACTGTGTGTGTCTTACTGAGTGTGTGTGTTAGTGAGTCTGTTTGATGTCTGTTAGTGAGTGTATGTTTGTCAATGAGAGTGTATGTTTTGTAAGTGAGTGTGTATGTATGTCTGTCGCTGACTGTGTCTCTGTTAGTAAATGTGTGTGTCTGTTAGCTAGTGTGTATGCGTCTGTAAGTGTGTGTGTGTGTCTTCAGCACTTACCTTTCTCCAGCGCCGGACTCCCTTGGCGCTGAGGATCCCTCAGCCTCTCAGCTCCGAATGCGACCGCGCACGCATTCAAACCGCCCATAGGAAAGCATTACTCAATGCTTTCCTATGGACGTTCAGTGTGCTCCTCTAGCGGCTGTCAGTGAGACAGCCACTAGAGGCTGGATTAACCCTCAGTGAAACATAGCAGTTTCTCTGAAACTGCTATGTTTTCAGCTGCAGGGTTAAAACTAGAGGGACCTGACACCCAGACAACTTCATTGAGCTGATGTGATCTGGGTGTCTGTAGTGGTCCTTTAAAGGACCACTATAGTGCCAGGAAAACATACTCGTTTTCCTGGCACTATAGTGCCCTGAGGGTGCCCCCACCCTCAGGGGCCCCTCCCGCCCAGCTCTGGAAAGGGAAAAGGGGTAAAACTTACCTTTTTCCAGCGCTGGGCGGAGAGCTCTCCTCCTCCGAGTCGGCTGTATGCGCATGCGCGGCAAGAGCTGCGCGCGCATTCAGCCGGTCACATAGGAAAGCATTCATAATGCTTTCCTATGGACGCTGGCGTGCTCTCACTGAAAATCACAGTGAGAAGCACGCAAGCGCCTCTAGTGGCTGTCAATGAGACAGCCACTAGAGGAATAGGGGAAGGCTTAACCCATTCATAAACATAGCAGTTTCTCTGAAACTGCTATGTTTATGAAAAAATGGGTTAACCCTAGCTGGACCTGGCACCCAGACCACTTCATTAAGCTGAAGTGGTCTGGGTGCCTAGAGTG